AGGTCTGCTGATGGTCGCCTGCCAAGCCCAATTTCAAACGTCCTCGAGCTATTCTCTGTGATCAGAGGTATAAGCACCATCTTAGAACCTTTTCAACACCCTCTTAAAAACTCTTCATTAGCAGCTTTTGTGCACGGGGTCTGGACATACAACTATGGCAAAGATTGGTCTATAAGGTGAGATTAATGGACACAGTTCTTCCTGTTCAGCACCTTCTCTTCCTGAAACTCATATTGCTCTCAGCTCCGCATCCGAGAGTCTCCTTCCCAGCGATATTATATCTCAACTAGGGAGTCTTCGGGGTTTGGTCGAGTCCAGCAACCTCAGCCCGGACGAGAAGGAGGACCATTTGTCCGCCATTTCGACTTTAGAGCTCTGTGCCAAACACATGGCCGTAGCCGGTCTGCGCATCGAGATCGGCATGATTTTAGTCTGGCCTTTTTCAATCCCACCGCATATCATGCGTGCTATTGATAACAGGGAACCCCTGGGACTCATATTCTTGGCGCACTTTTGTGTTCTGTTTGCCTTTTTTGAACACCAATGGTTTGTAAAGGGTTGGACGAGGCAGGTCCTTGCCGACATCATACCTTGTATTCCGTCTTCTCATGCTTCGTGGCTGAATTGGCCGAGGGAGCATGTTTGGAAATCTCGATGAGTGCCTAGGCTGGTCGAACTTTTCAATTACAAAAGATTAGATTTGCCTTGCTACTACACAAAATCAGCATCTGAAACACCAGCACTACGACCTTGGCCCCAGCTGCCGTGCCAGTCCACCAACAACCAGCATGAATCAGTCGTGAGGCTCTGTGGTTGCACCCATCATACAATTGCAGATCCCTGATGCCCGAGAATGCGCCTTACGGGTCTCTCTGTCCCTGGGACTAGCGCTGCGCCACTCTCTAGAGAGAATCAACCAAATGAAAGTTGACAATACTATCGATCGCACTAGGTAGTGACCTAACGAGGCTGTGTGCCAACAACGGCCCCAAACCACTCACCATGATTGGAGCATTTGAGCCGCAACGCCCAAGGATCTAACCCTCATCCTTACGAAAACGAGAAGCAACTTCTCACTCCAATGCTCTCAGCCGCCAAATCCAGCACGACTCCATCACTCTAACTAGTCAGTCATGTCCAATCCATCTCTTGAAATCCCAGGTCACCCCATCTCGCTTCGATCTGAGCACATTGCGACATTCGAATCCTGCATCCAATTAAAGCAGCTATCCAAAATCCCGCGAACGCGTTGGGTCCCTCCAGATTACATGATCCAGGACAGCAACGGTTCACAGCCCTGGGGAAAGAATGGGGGGGGGGCGAGATGTCACGAAATCCGCGACGCGTCGGGTCTCCCGCTCTTTGAAATCCTTCACAAATCAAGCCTCTTCAAACAGACCCTGGGGCGTTTATCTTCCAGGAACTCGAGATAATCCGTTAGCATCGGCCAGGGCTCGAGTTGGTGCCACCCACTTTCAGTTCGACATTTCTTTCCAGAATGCCTCGGCGCTTAGGGGGTACGGATCCACGCTGTTGGAGGTCCAGCGGGACGATCCCGCTATAGTTCACTTCTCAGTTAGCACCATGGGGAGCAAGGTAGTTAGGGTGCTGCATGCTCGTGGAGAGTTTCCGGGGACGCATCAGACACTGCCGGGCCTTGTTTTTCTGTGGAAATGTACGGTTTCTGCAGGTGTGGATTTGTCGTTGGTGTGTTTTTTTGATGATATTGGAAGATATATCATATTTGTGTGCTAGCTTGCTCGCGCTATAGGCCGCATTAATTCTACTAATGATTTCGGAGCTGAAGGGTAAGGCCTTCTGAGAAAGATCCTAGGATAGGATAGGCGGACGGCTTTTGTCATCTCCATATTGATTCTCTTGATACCCGTTGGTAATAAATATAGAACAGCATTGCTCTCTTGACTTTAACTATCCCTCATAGTAGCCGGTTCCTGATACGTCTTTGCTCTCGAACACCCATAGAATATCATAATGCATAAATCCGGAGATAACAGCCAAGCAAAGAAAAGAATCCATCCTAAACAACTCCCCACACCCACCCAATAAACGCCCCATATAAAAAAAAAAACCGCAAACCCATGGTATAAATAAGCCCCTCATAACGCCATCCCTCAAATCGAAACTAAAGCATATCGTCTCGCATACCGAACAATCAACGCAATAACTACGCCTACCAGACACCCGATAATGAAACCCACGCATATCCGCAGCGCAATTACTCGCTTCGGTGTCTCGGTCCACTCTTCACAATTCTGTTGTTGCGTGTATATCTCGTGGGTGTCGTTGGACTCGAGTGATGATGATTCAGAGTATCTGTCGTTCGTTGGGGCGTATGACATTTTTTATGATGTGGTTTCGATTCTGACAGGGGGGTTGAAGATGGATGTTTTTTGTGCTGTGGTCGTTAGGGGAATGGTGGTGCTGGTGGTGGTTTGTGGACTATATACCTCTCTATGTATGGGATTGCTCGGTGTGGAATCAACCAAATGAACAGTTTTTTGTGAGCAGTCATAGTTGATAATAATCATCACCTATGTCCTCGGCTCCAGAGAACCGCTTATAGCACTTATATACACCCAGTTGCAGTTTCGAGTATTGCTCGTTCTCGTTCAGCTCGGTCGGCTGTGCTACTACTAATATTCCTCTGTGAATACCTACTAGTCCTCCAACTTCTAGATAATCTTCTAGCTTCTACGGCCAGCACGGTAAATGGCCCCCACAGGACCCGTCACTCTAACAGAGCCTCAACCAACATCAGGGCTGGAGTAATACTGTGGGGTCGTAGCACAGCCTTGTGGTTATTTTTTAGCTAATAGAGGCCAGCTATGGATATGCTGGATTAGTTCATATGCCCCTGGTAGACTGCGAGGTCTTTGTGGTCTTGTTTTGGAGGCCAATACGCTATCCGGGTTGTTTGGGATTGGTGTGCCTCACTGTCGCTTCCTGTGGGAGGAAGGAGGGGTGAGTTGGAGATAAGATGTAGGCTCTTAACGCTTGGTACTTGGCTTGGTGCTTGATGTAAGACGGTGATGGATGGAACGATGTGTTATGTAGGGAGTACGATGTTGGTGTCTTTCCTTATGGTAGGTTCATGCTTTGAGAAAGTAGTGTTGTTTCTTCAACGGTCGATGATTGATTTGCACGTACATTTCTAGAGGAATATGGTTTATTGTATATCTTATTTCCAGTGTGTCTGTCTCGGGATCTTGGCTCTAATCGCTAGTGCTTTTGAAGAAACGTTTCTTATATGTGTACATTGTTCCGCTGCCATTGAACCCTTGCGCAATAACAGTGAATGTAAAACTTCAACTTACGATTTCGAGACATATAAACTCAAATGAGAGCTTCAGACAACGGTTAAAGCTTGGTTAAAGGTTCATTCTTCTCGTTGTTTCTGACAAAGCCAGCGTTAGATCTGGTTAAATAAAGAGTTTCAAAGGACAAAGGGGTCAACCAGTTTTTTTGGCAAGTAGTAAACTCTCGCCCGCCTATGTGAGACATGCGAGCCCGATAACTGCCTGTGCTTTTCACTTAGGGGACTTTGTACAGATTTCGTTGGCTGTCTTAATCCCCTAAACAAATTGTCTTCCAAAAACCTCTACCCTTGAGCTTAGATATATATCCAGCGGCTCCAACGTATGTCAACTATTGGGTATGATTGTACAATAGAGGTTACGCCTCAAAAACACTATATTATAGATGAATAGAGTAATGAGTCGACTGACAAGTGTTCATGATGCCCTCATACTAGGCATGGGGTAGCCACAACACCTGCTGTAAACAAATGCCAGAGGAACAGACAAGAAGATTAAGCGGCATAAAAGCATAGCATTATAGTGCACATATTTCCAACCCTTAAACAACAACAGGCCGGCTGGCCCAATGGCAAGGCGCTTGACTACGAATCAAGAGATTGCAGGTTCGACCCCTGCGTCGGTCAATCTTTTTGTTTTTTTTTTGTCTTTCATTTTTCCGCCCGGGTCGGGGCGGGATTCGACCGTGCAAAGATTCTGGTTTTATTATTTTTTATTTTAAAGACAAATATAGCCGCAACAATGGGCATGCATCGGTCGGAATAGACTCCTTGACCATCTGGTTGCAAATACGGCCGCAGCCTCGACCACCGGCCAGCGTTCATTCATGCAAGTCTTTTTTGGTCGCTTTGGTTAAACACGAGTTTTTGAGTCCGCGTATACTCGAATTCCCATCTGACTATGAACTATAAATAGATTACTCTTCACCTCACGTACGTATCCGACTCGTTGTTTAAATCAGGCGTTCTATATAGAGTGGCAGGTTGCGCGTTATTGCCCTATCTCGGAATGCCCGTCCTACAGATGATGAATCCAACTCTAGCATATTGAATTACTGGATTGCATGCAACCACCTTGCTGCGTGCTGAGAGTTGTACCCACTCCTCACAGAGAACCGAGTTTGCACAGTGCACACTATATTTAGTGCCCCGCAACTCGATCACAAATGTACATTTTGCCGCATAGAGATAAAAGTACGCACATGCATACATACACAGCAAGGTAGGTTTCATGCGGTGGCTGAGCTAAGCCACCTTGGCATCCGTGTTTTTTTGTTCATTCCATCTTCCTTTTGCAATTATTTCCGAGAATATGGAGATGGAGATCGTGATGTGCTCAAGTCTATTTGGCGATCCCGAAAGGGCTGAGATAGTGTTTTGTTGATCCTTGATCTGCTGACGATCATTATTGGGCCCAGGTGGGGAGGTATCGTCGAGCCTTATGATTCAGGACCGTTTTCTTGAACGGAGAATTATCTATCTGATTTATTTGTTTGCTCTTTGAAGTGTTGAATTTATATCGGATTTTTGTCCAGTATACGCGAGATTGTAATCCTGTGGTTGAGCGTTTCAGATAATCATTATTGTGCATTTTTATACATGGAAATAGGTAGACATGACATCTTAATTATTCTAAAATTTATATAAAATTCATAGCGTCATAAATTTACGGGACCTCCTCATATACCCGATCGCCCTGCTTCGGCGGCTCCAGGAAATCCGACGGAACGGACTCCGGCAGCTGGTTATGCTCAGCCCAATCGCGAATAGCATCAAAGTTACGGCAGCGATGCTTCGTGTTAAAGTCGACGAATGGCTCAGGGCTGTCGGGGTGAACCCAGACTTGACCGAGGACTCCGACGTCGACGGTGCACATGAGCTGCTGTCGGAGGATGTCGAGACAGTGGGCTAAAGGAGTCAGTACTGGTCAGGGCCGAGGAAGCCGTGTGAGTACTTACAGACGTGGCGACGGACAATGAAGTCGTCGTTCTTGAAGGCACCATGGCCCTGCTTTTTGTAATAGTCGTGGTTGTAGTAGAGAGACTGGCGAAGAAGGTTCTGAGGCTTTGTTAGTGGGGTTCATAGGAAGTGAGTAGTAAACCTACCAGGCAGTGAAGGTGATGAAGACCCTCAACATTTGCTGGGTAGCCTCCTCCATACTTCTCGCTGATCTTGACCTGGTCCTGTGCAAGGCCCGATCTTTTGGCTTCCTCGGCAGGAACCCGAATGCTTCGGTCTGAAGATTGTTAGCATGCTTGACCGAACTGCGATCAGAAGGAATGAAAACCTACAGTCAGCACCGAGGGATTTCCACGCCGCATCGACCTCGGGACTGGCGTCCTTGCGGTAAATGTTCTCGTGAAGGAACGAGCCGTTGAATTGCTCCTGGTGGTACGAAATGCCGACGTTGGAGATGACGGGAGCTGCCGCTGGAATTAGCCAATGTTCCCCGCACCTGACCGGATGAAGCCCTACAATATTGAGCAACTCGCAACGTGCAAGTCTTGTCAGAGTCTTGTTGCTGATGCCCGACCAGTGCGCCGATTCCCAGCGACACAAGAGCCGTCGCGATGACGAGAAGGACGGTGCCCCATCTTTCCCAGTTGCTCTGAGGCTTCCGCTCTTGTCTCCACCGTGCCTCTTCGTCGGGCAGGAGCTTGTCGTTGATTTCCATGTCTTCGGTCGGAGTTGGGTGTCTTATTTTCGCGAAAAGAATTGAAGGACGGTCTTGAATCGTTTCGAAGGAATAAAGAAACAGCCGACTGATGCGACCGCAGCAGAAGCTGGTGATTTATGAGGCCGGGCAGCCGGAAAAGAGAAATCCAAGCAGATGGAAGTATCCCGAGGCCACCGACCCAATAAAACCGGCTGGAGACATGCAATGAGGGTAAAAATAACTCAGGCCGCTGAGTTGTGAGACAAGAGACCCGGTTTTCTGCAGGACGCGGCAAGCTACTTAGTGTGGCTTGAGACATGGGCCGCCTAGCCGCATGTATGTCTCATTGGGCATATTGGGGTAGACCGGTAGACACTTGACTCGACCCTCTAGATTCCAGGTAGAAGGCCCTAGGGCAACGCTAGCCTTCGTGCCAGTGCCGCCTAGACGAAGTTTAACCCCGCCTGCAGCTTCGATCCGCAGCCACCGGGTGATTTCCCGAGCTTTCCACAGTTTGCCAGGTGAGACAATGAGGCAAGGCTGGGGGGTCTTTGTCTGGCATTGAGACCTCGATTGTGTGATAGGAAGGAACAAAATTAGCACGGAGACCTGCGCTGTAATGCACTGCATTGCACCGCATCTCTTGGGAGGCAAGTTGGTGAGAAATAAAAAATCTTCCGTCGAAAGATCCCCGCGTTTGTAGGGTCGATTGGCGATGATACCATTCTCCGCAACGGGCTGGCCGGCTCATTTTTGGAGGTCGCACTGCATGAGATGGCCTTCATGCGTCATCGGGATTTCTGCTGATTGGAACATGCCAGGTTCCAGCTCGTTCTCCATCATGGAGCCGGATGGGATCATCCGAGACATGCCCAATTGTGGTGACTGGCGGTTATCACCGTGGAAGCCGACATTAGACCTATTTTTGTTCGGCGTGGTATACCTAACCTGTCCGACATTGGTATAAATATGCCTGGGAGCTGGGAAGATATCTCAAACTAAATCATCATCAAGCCCATCTCCTCTCCTCTTCATCCTTTCTTCCTATTCTTACTCCCGCCAAAATGCACTTCTCTTCCAAGTCCATCGCCCTCTTCCTCGGCAGCAACTTGCTGGCCGTCAATGCCGCTCCCGTGAGCAGCTCGACCTCGACTGCCCCTGCCACTACCACCACTGCTCCCGCCGGCTACGGCGAGTATGGCAACTACGGCAACTACGGCTCGTATGGCTCCTACAAGCGCGATGCCATCCCCAAGAAGGACAAGTCCGAGACTACGGCCGTCCCTACGACCACCGCTCCCGCCGACTATGGCAGCTACGGGAACTACGGAAACTACGGTACCTACGACAACTACGGCAACGTGAAGCGTGAGGCTCCCAAGGAGGAAACCGACACCACTTCGGCTGCCCCGACCTCCACTGCCCCGGCCGACTATGGCAGCTACGGCAACTACGGCAACTACGGCAACTACGGCTCGTACGGATCCTACAAGCGTGATGTTGCTCCCGAGAAGAAGGAGGAGCCTTCTACCTCCGTTTCCTCTGCCGAGCCTACCTCGACCGGTCCTGCTGAGTACGGCAACTACGGCAACTATGGAAACTACGGCTCGTATGGTTCCTACAAGCGCGACGCTCCCAAGGAGGACAAGGACGAGGCCTCGAAGACTACATCCTCCGCTGAGCCTACTTCCACTGGCCCTGCCGAGTACGGCAACTACGGCAACTATGGCAACTACGGCTCGTACGGCTCGTACAAGCGTGATGCCCCCAAGGAGGACAAGGAGCCTTCCAAGACGACGACCACTGCTGCTGAGTCTACCTCGACTGCTCCCGCCAGCTACGGTGACTACGGCAACTATGGCGCCTACGGCAACTACGGATCTTACTAAGGGTCCGTCTTTATGAGGCGAGGTGCAGTGGTACAGTGACACATCGCAAGAGCGTGTTACTGTCGTTGCCTACATACCACGAATTGTGCCGAGTAAATAAAAATCACGCACAAGGCGGGCAACAAGACAAGATGCATGTTGATCACGGTTCGGAAGAATGATAAATGTTAATTAGACTGAGTTGTTACATAGCGATCATAATACTTAGCAGCAGCCACTTGCATGTTTAATTAAGTTCTGCTGATCTTTTCTCAAGCCACAACGAGCATTCCTCTCCACATTCCACCGATAGATAACACAGGTGTCACCTGTTCTCCTTTCCCGACAGGACGGTATTGGCGAACGATGGTTCGCAATCAAATGGCGTATCATCCCCTGTTTGGGCGAAATTATCAGTGCTCATGCATGTCTTCCCATAGTCTGGGCGGATAATCGTTATCGTGCAGCCAATATTGGCCCTTCAGCCACAGATCGACATCCATGCATCTCGTGCTGGTCTTGTCGAGTCGTCGCCACCCCCTAGCATGAGAGATAATTTTTGCTAGCCAGACCTCACTTCCCAGGCGCAGTTGGGATTTTGTTTCTCAATCTCCCTGTCTCGTCCTGAAACGCGACACATGCACCCTCCGTTTCCTGCTCTTTGTTTCAATGACAATATTGTTCGAGTCTAGGTTGAATTATCCGGATTCCGAGTGCCCAGCATGGAGGGACCAGGTTTGTTTGCTAGAGGGAAATATGATCGGACCCCATTGCTCACCTACCTACGCTTCAGCGAAACCTCCTCCGTACTATGATACCCTAAGACCCGCCTCCGATGTCGAAGTCACGAATTCCCCGCATTCGTCAGTTATCAATGAGCGCAAGCTCGTGGCCAAGATCGACCGGCATATCGTACCATGCCTCTGCGCCATGTATATACTCTCATTCTTGGACCGGTAAGAAGGCATTGCCAACAGTCAATGGATGGCAAGAATGCTAAGGGGTACGGACAGGGTCAACATCGGGAACGCGTCTATAATGGGTCTCAAGGAAGACTTGAACATCGAAAATGGGACCAGGTATAATACCGCCCTGACGATACTCTTCGTGCCTTACATTATCTTCGAGATCCCGTCGAATATTCTGTTGAAGAAGTTCAAGCCGCATGTTTGGCGTGCGTTTCTCCTGTCTTTTCATGTGGTAGACCCGGCGCTGATTGAAGACACGAGCAGTGCCGCTGTGTATGTTTGGATTTGGCTTTGTCACGATATGTCAGGGTCTTGTGCAGAACTGGGGCGGATTGATGACAACTCGATGGTTCTTGGGCATGTTCGAGTCGGGTCTTGTTCCTGGGTGTCAGTCGCCTGACTTCCGATCCCCAATCCTTTTGCTGATGGATCGTCTTTAGGTTACTACTTGATCGGAATGTGGTATAAGCGCAGTGAGGCCCAGAAGCGGTTCAGTTTGTTTTTTTGCTCCACAACGGTGGCCGGGGCCTTTGGTGGGCTGCTTGCCAGTGGGATCGGCGAGATGGATGGTCTCCGTGGTTATCGAGGTTGGCGCTGGGTCTTCATCATCGAAGGACTCTTGACCTGTGTGGTTGCGATTATCTGTTTCTTCTTTGTGGGGGATTTCCCAGAGGATGCAAAATGGTTGAGTGAGGATGAGCGGAAATTTGCTATCGCGCGGCTTGCGACGGATACAGGGAAATCAGCTCCGCAGGCCCGAATGGGGATCAAAGATGTTTTGGATGTCTTCAAAGATTGTATGTGATGACGGTGGCCATTCGTGATTTCCTCTGACTAGAGACCAGACAAGATATTCGTTGCTGGATGCATGTATTTTGGGGTTTGCATCCCGATCTACTGTGAGTGGAGCTTAGATGACATTGACACTGGGGCAATGCAGCTGACAAGAAACAGCATACGCAAACTTTGCACCGACAATCATCCAGACTTACGGCTATGACAGTATGTCTCCATCGACCTGCTACATTTCCACCTGCTAACAGTCCAGCCATCCATACGCAACTCTTCTCCATCCCACCCTGGGTGGCAGCATTCGTCTGCTCCATGCTCGTTGCATACCTCTCCGACAAATTCCGACATCGCTACATCTTCGCAATGATCCCATTATTGATCGCGCTGGGTGGACTGGGAATCCTACTGAACATCTACGGCCCCATGCATCGGCACGTGCAATACGGAGCCCTATTTCTGGTCGTTAGCGGATGCTTCAGCGCGCCGCCCGTCCTGGCATGTTGGTTTGCTATGAATCTGGCTAGTCATAGACGACGAAGTGTGGGTATTGCCTGGATGGTTGCGTTTGGGAATTGTAAGTTTCATGTATCTCGTTTCTTGTTGTTTCTTTCTCTTGTGGAGAATAAGCGTTCTAATTGATGGATTATAGTGGGTGGGATCATTAGTCCCTATTGCTTCCTGTCGAAGGATGCCCCAGCTTATCGTGATGGGTATATCATTTGCATTGCATTTGTCTGTCTCTCGGCTGCTACTGCCTCGATCTACTTGTTCGGGGTGTGGTTAGACAATGTGAGGCGGGAGAAAGCTGCTTCAAGTGGTGCTGTTGGAGAAATTTCAGAAGAGGAAAAGGAATTTATGGGCGATATGGCACCTAGTTATCGCTACGTTTATTGACGATAGCCGGGGTCAGTGCTAGAAATCAAATAGAAGAGGAATGTATAAGGTTTGATAAATAGTCTACTAGTGAACATGCCATGAAACCATTTCAAATGATGCATAAACTGTCAGTTTTCTCTGCCATATCTAGTTGACATGAGATGATGAGATCGGGAAATTGTAGATGATAAAGGTTCCTGACCACTTTCTGCTCTCTGGGATCACTTATTAATGAGTATCAGTCAAGTTGATAGCTTAAAACAGTCTCATATAAACACCTACACCATAAAATCCGTGAACAAGAGCCATTTCTAAGCCCTTCAGGCAACATGTAGCAGCATATTTTCACAGCTCGTTCATTGTTGGTCTGTGACCCAGTCCATTCAAGCAGGTATGTAACGGGTCATCTGCAAGATCTGGGAGCATTGAGTCCTGAATATTAGGGTCGATATCGATAATGAAAGAAGAAAAGTCGAAATGTTAGCGATAGATCAATGCGGAGAAAGTATGCTTTCTAAAGAAAGGCCAAAGCGCCACCAGCCTTACGCAGCATCTCATATTACTGTTTGCTATATGTAGTAGAGCCTGGATCTCTATCACATTATCTTTGAAGTCATGGTGGGGGAAGTTTATATCTGCACAGTATAAAATACTGCACCTATATACCGCCCTTAATCGGGGATTATTGCTAGGTCATGGTGAGTCTTGTATTCTCTAGTTTGACAAAACAAGTGAGGCCATTGGCTTGGTTGAGGATATAGATCGAGTATGAAACACCGCGTCTTTATATAATCAAAATAAAACGTGCTGTCAACAAGTAGCTCGCATGGCTTAGTTGGTAAAGCGCATGACTAGTAATCATGAGATCCTCGGTTCGAATCCGAGTGTGAGCATATCTTTTTTCTTTTTTGCTCTTTCAGCGTGGAACTTTTTTTTCTCTAGTCTGACGTTAGCGTGTTTGGCAATCGCCACTTCTCGTATTTGGTGGGTCCCGCCAGGAAGGCAATAGTGGCCGACTCCGCATGCTCCGTCGCTTCTCCGTGAGGCAGAGATGTTTGTGGCTTGCTCGCAAGCGCCGTGAGAAATTAGACCATTTTTTTTTTTTTTTTTAATGATTGAATAATAATTAACTAGTCTTCCTAATGTGCTTTCATTGCCAACATTTATCTACTCGTTGATGAGTACAAAATTACTCCATGGGATTGCCGGTTTATATAATTAAGCCACCCTGCTGATCCATGTTCCACCATCATTGGAAGTATGGTGTCCTAGGTTATTTTCAAAAACGGCTTCAGAGTACAGTACCGTACCACGGAAGAGCTCAGCCAGTGTTCTGAAACAGCATAAGAACGCTCTTGCTCTTGTATTTGGGTTACCTGTATTCCTCTGGTGTCCCCAAGTAGATCCGGGGCTGACCTACTGTTTCTGCCCCGGGGCTGGCAATGGTCGTAACTTCGGGGTAGTGTGGTATACTAGGCACCTTGGAAAGTGTCATTAATCCCCCAAGATAGTATGATCGCGGTGTTATCACGAGCAAATCACCAACTATTGACCAGTTATGCCCGTCAGTGTCATGATTGCATCCCACCGGAACCAGCCGGTGATTAATCTAGAACCAGGCATACCCATGTCTTGGACGAAGAAGTAATCCTAGGTAGCATTTACCTCGCAGCACAATATGTAATGGCTTGGGGGAGTAAGAGTGGAGTAGGCACATACGTATGGTCCGTCATCTATAAGAGGCAGGCCTCCAGGACGACGAAAGGCCACGATAGAGAAACAACAGTGGTACGACTCATTAGACTGGGCCTAACACTAACACTAACACTAACACTAGCACTAGAGATGCCGACTCTGACAGAACTCGCTGAAGAGGCTCTAGCCCATGCCCGTCGCCTGGATGCGTATACCGCGGCGCAGGGCCTCCCCCCGGTCTCTCTGGCTGACGACACGCTAACGAGCGCCCAGCTACCGGCGGACTTGGAGACGGCGAGGTCAGCGCTGGTCGACTCGGCGCAGATGATGAAGCGATTGGCTCAGGGGCCGTTGGGGAATATGACGGAGATATTGTACAGTGTGAGTTTTCCTCTCCTGGTGTTGCTGGGATGAACATGAAAACAGTGAATTTTAGAGAAGGAATGAGTAAATGACAGTGATACTGATAAAACCCGTATATAGTTCACGGACATTATCTCCCTCCAAGCTGTCCACACCTACGATTTACCGGCTCAGGTCCCTGAGAGTGGAACGGCGTCTTACGCTGACATCGCGCGAGCAGTGTCCCTGCCAGAATCTATCTGTCGACGACTGATGGTGCACGCCATGGAGAACGGCATCTTTGAGGAAGTCGAAGGCTGCGTAAAGCACTCTGCCTTCTCGCGCATGCTGGCCGTTGACCGCGAAAGCATGCAGGCTGTTGGCATGGTGCTTATGGAGCTCCTCCCCGCCGGCCACCGCACTCTTGACGCCCTGACTCGCTTTCCAGGCTCACAGAAGCCTACGGAGACGGGATTCAACTTGGCTAACGACACGCCACTACCGCTCTACAAATTTCTGTCACAACATCCAGAACGACTTGCCCGTTTCGGTATGGGAATGAAGTTCTTTTCGCGCGCCGATGGCTTTGATCTCAAGTTTTTAGCTATGGGATTTCCGTGGAGGGAGATTGATCGTGAGGATGCCGTCGTAGTGGATTGTGGTGGCGGAGTAGGCACCGTGTCGCGCCATTTGGCCACCGCGACCGAGAAACTGCAATTTGTCGTGCAAGATATGGCTGGTCCGGTGGCTCTGGGGAGGGATACCTTGCCTGTGGAGTTACAGGGTAGGGTGCGGTTTGAGGAGGCTGACTTCTTCACGCCGCAGAAGCTGATTGGGGCCAACGTCTACTTTTTCCGTTGGATTCTGCATAACTGGAGTGATGCCTACTGTGTGCGGATTTTGCGCAACCTAGTGCCCGCGATGCATGCCCATTCGAAGGTGGTGATCTACGAGTATATTCTGGCAGAGCAGCCGGAACTGAAGTGGTCGAGGAAACAGGGCCGGTGAGTTTTCCCCCATGGATTGAACGATTCAAGCACTAACTCGAGTAGAAACTTGGATCTGGTCATGATGGCCGGTTGGAATGCCGAAGAGCGATCTCTCTCTCAGCTGCGTCAGCTTTTTGCGCAGGCAGACGAGCGATTTGAGCTGGAGGGATCGTGGCAGCCAGAGGGAAGCACCATGACAGCAGTCTCGTTTGGATGGAAAGGAACGAAGAAAGATGAGTAGTTACTAGCAGTAATAGTAGTGTTCATGGCATTTTGTTTTCATTTGAGCTTTTGACCAGGTTTCAGTTTTTAAGTAAAAATGTATAGATGTAGTTCCTTAGCCCAGGATCAAATCGGCCGCCTTCTCGGCAATAGCATAGAGGATTGCCTGATAATGTCCCGTCACAGGGACTGGCATCACACTGGCATCCACCACGCGCAGTCCCTGCACACCCTTGACGCGCAGCTGCGTGTCCACAACCTTGCCCATGGCTGCCGATCCGGCCGGATGGTAGAAGGTCTGGCCGCCGTGCTTGACAACTGCATCGATCGCCTCGTCCGATGAATTCTCCTGGATAGCCGCGAAGCCGGGTCGTGCCAGTTCCCCCTCGACGATGGCCTGGCCCTCAAGCGTTCCGGTTAGAACCTTCGCAACTTGTCGAATGGTCGCGCGCAGCACTGCCCGGTCGACCTCAGTGGCATAGTAGTTGGGATCAATGCGCGGCGGCGTCTGCGCATCTGCCGATGCCAGAGTAACGCGGCCGCGCGACGTGGGCACCATACCCAGCACCGCCGTTCCGATATGCGTGCCATCCATGGGCACGTCGACCCCGGAGATTTGAGCTCCGGCCGGCGCATACACAATCAGAGTCTCGGCGTGGGCGAAGTCTGGTGCCAGGTAGGGGTGGCCGTCGACCGACTCGCCGTCGATCTTCAGCGCGCGCTCCAGATCTGCGCGTGGTGTCTGCACCGTCGCATTCCAGTCGCAGGGCAGACCCAGGCCGTAGGCCGGGCTACTCCACTGCGCTGTGCCCAGAGACAGCCCCTGCTCAGGGTTCTTGACCTTCCACCATTGATTGAAGGAGAAGTGGTCGTGGAAGTTGCGGCCGACTTCCGGGGCATCCACCACCGCCGTCAGACCGTGGGCCTCGATCTCCTCGCGCGGTCCAATGCCCGACAGCAGCAGCACTTGGGGTGTGCGATAGGCACCGGCCGACACGATGACTTCGCGGCGAGCAGTGAATGTGCGTCCGTCGACCGTCTCGACGCCTGAAGCCGTGAGCTGGCCGTCGCGCGTCTCCGTCAACACCTTCTGGACCAGTGTCTCGGTCACAATGTCGACATTTTGCAGCTGGCGCAAACCATAGGCCTCGCTCGACAACTGCCGTTTGCCCTGGTTCCAGTTCTCCACCAGCTCGCCGAGCCCGAGTGGCTTGCCCGCGTTGGCATCTGCCACCACCGAGACGCCCACTCGTTCCCAAGCGGCCCGCAGCGGCTCCTTCAGTGGATACTTGCGCTCCGCGCTGCTCGCCGACGCAGTAATGTTATGGATGGGCCCGTCCTTACCGTGCGTGGCCTCGTCGGCCTCGCCAAACGGCAGTTTAGTCTCGCTGCGCTTGAAGTATGGCAGCAGCCCATCATACCCCCAAGAAGCGTCCCCAACGGTGCGAGCCCAGAGTTCATAGTCAGCTGCGTTTCCGCGCGTCCAGGTACCGTAGTTGGTAGCCGAGCCACCGCCGACGGCCTTGCCAGCGCTGTTGTAGCAAACGCGGCCGTCCAGGTGCGCCTGCGGCGTCGTGCTGTACGCCCAGTCCAGCGGCGAGTAGTGGGCGCCGAAGCAAGCCAATGGCGCGCTTGTCAGAGGGTGATCAACGACCGAGGAGCCGGCCTCGAGCACGAGGATGCGCGCTTGGACATCCTTCTGCGCGAGGCGGCCGGCCAGTGCGCTACCGGTCAAGCCGGCGCCGATGATGATGTAGTCGTATTCGTCGCTGATAGACATGATGGAATTGATTAGAGTCAAAGTAAATGTAAGTAAAACAGCGGAGGAATCGAGTGCGAGAAAAAAGATAATACGATCGAATCCAGCAGGATTGGCAGGAATCACCGTGCCTGGAGCCACCACCAAGAATCCCTCGATTTAAATGACCGGATTCTCAGCCTCGCGCCCCTCATGGTGAGGTTTTACGAGGTGGAATCCGGAGTTTGAGTCTCATAGGACCATCGAATCGGAGTAACTCATTTCACGCTGGGCAGAGCTTGGCTAAGCACTACGGCGGTAGCTGGCGCCAGGCGAACGGCTGGAAATTGTAAGGGCTGCGACGAGCAGGGACAACCCTGGAATGGAGGGGCCAGAGCCTAGGCATTGTCCAAGCTATTCTATCTGACGGTTAATTACAGTAAGTCGATGCTGATTGCTGACATGCAGATGGGGCGGGGGCTCAGGTCGAATGGGCCAAAGGAACGCTAATCTCACGCTGACCTAAGCAGCGCCCTTGACCCAATATGGAGAAAGAAGTGCATTAAGAAATTAAAATGGAGAGTACTTCGTAAAGCTACGAAATACGGAGTACTAAGCATAGAATAAAGAAATCAAGACCCACCCCAGTTCAACGCCAGACGTAATCCCACCCAAACCGGAAAGTTCCCCGATGCGAGGACTGTATTTGACTTACTCAGTAAATCGCATGTCCCAAACATGTCGAGCCCTTGCCTGGACCCCAAATTCTACTGTAACGTTAATTTGAGCCAGGCCCAGGAATGCATAAAATAGTACAAAAAAACGAGGTAAAGGAAAACAGAGGACTTTCATGTCGCGCCTGACACTCGCATCTCATTCATCTCCCATTGCGTCTGCACGGTAATCTGGCCTGCTTTGCGACTGGTCCCCGGGTCCGTATCGGTCGTGCGTCCAAATGGCATGGTTTCCTCGCTGGCCTCGAGTCGGCGAACCTTGGAGACTTGCCGGAAGTACCGGAATCGGCGCACGAGGGGCCCAAGTAGAGGGCCGCAAGCCACCGTAATACCCAGGGCTGGCTCGAGAAAACTCCACATAAGAGGGTAAGCAGCGGAGTAGGTGATGTCCGTGTAGTCGGTTTCCATAAGACTTTGGATGCGGAGGATGCTGATGATCATGGTGCTGTCGAAACGTGGCTGCGTTAGTGTCTGTGCTTGCGAGAAGAGTAAGAAAATAGAAAGAGGATAAGACGAACAGAATGCCCAGCCCGAAGATGCCAAAAAGCGCCACGCGGTTGCCTTTGCTGACTTTCAGCTTGTAGATCATGGGTAATGGTAGAACAAAGACGCAGACGTCCGTTATGAGATCTAGAGTGCCGACAGCAAGAAAAGTTGCTTTTTGGTTGGCACAGCGGCCGCCTGGGATTGTCTGGTCCCAGTTAAAGGCTAGCGGCGTGCAAAGCAGGAACGCAGTCAGAATGACCATGACCCCCCATGACAGGATGAAGCCAATGGTGACCCACGCGGCGATGCGGAAAGTGCGCACGAAAAAGATGCGGCTGTAGAACAGGCAAATGGATGTTTTGATCAGACTTAGAGTTGATCCGTAGAATGCCTGCATTGCCACGAGAACCTAGACAAGGAGTGAGCAACCACTGAATAGTAAGCGGCAATGTAACCCGTTGCTAGGGCTCTAAGGGGTGGGGACCAATAGGTACCTTGAGGAAATTGGTGACATGAGACGGCGGGATTTCATTGGCGTGATGACCGGCGGATCCGAGGAAAATCTCTGCAAGACAATGATTAGCTCTCATGACTCTTGAATAGCCAAGAATAAAGGAGGGGGTGGCTCAAATCATACCAAGCATGACAGCAACACCCATGCCGTAGAGAAGAGCCTAAGCGTTCAGTTATGATTCTGAGGAATTTGGGCTTGTTTTCTGTTGCAGACCATACCTGTGCCACGAAAATTACATAGTCTTCTGCCAGCAGCTTTGTGCGATTCATATGCTTGGCGACGATTCGAAGAACCACCGACGTTGTGGAGGTGAGAGTGAAGACAATAGCCACTATGAAGATGGCCACGCTACGAGAAGAGCTCAGCTCGTCGGCGGCCGTCCGCTTGGCGGATGATTGGTCCATGGGTACAGAAATTGCAGACACGCACACATAGATTCTCCAGCGAACATTTTGCTGACAGGCAGCATGGGATGATGCTGGGACCTTATGTAGAGCTTCATGGGTATCTGCAGGGGGCGACAGATGACTAGTTGGCTGAATTCGAGTGATCGTACTTGGAGAGAGAACGAAAAGGCAATGGTGAGACGTGAAGTCGCTGATCGGCCCCAAAACGAACTGCAGAGATCATTTGTTCGCTTTGACTACTTGCAGGTACTTACAGGGAGGAGCCTGTCAGATAATCGAGACACCCCCCGGGCCAAGGCATACGTCGGACGTCTAGCCCCTCTTGAACATCCTGGCGTCCCAAAAGTCAGACCCCAGTAATCTATGACCAATATGCTCCAATGCATCCTCGCCGGGGTCTGCATGATTAGGCAGTGTAAACCGGGAAGAGGGAATATTCCCTTGGGGCTAGATAGATTTATCACGTTGCCCGCATATCGCGATGGCACTAAGGAGGCCTGACGGTCGTCTCCTAAGACGCCGTTATCCTTTAATGAGGCCAAAATTGCACGAATAGACTGCCTTTCCCCAATCATGGGTCCAACTAATTAAAAGAAGCGAGGCTCATTCGCCAGCTAGGCGCTCGTGGTAGATGTTATGAAGTTATGTTGCATTCGGGGGCCCCATGGTAGCCAGCCTCCAGTGCAAAGTACCCCAAAGGCCGTTGGAATGACGGATGTAAATAGGATAGCGAGCGTCTCTGTGCTCATAGAATTAATAGTCACTGGGTTCTCAAGCCTCCAGGATTGCCCCATCCTCCTTCGGAGCGTTGTTCGAATTAGAAGGATAAGCTCGCCCAGCTCTGAAGATGGTCAATGCGGCCAGTGTTCTCCATTTTGGAGATCAGACGGTGGATATTAGTTCCTCGCTGCAGGATCTGGCTCGTGTATCCAAGTCGTCTCAAACACTCGCCACCTTTCTGCAGATTGGTGTCGATACTCTGCGTGCAGCCCTATTCTCTCTCCCGTCGGCTGTTTTATCTGAATTATCGTGGCACACCTTGATAGATCTCGGAGATGCCTTGGCAGATAGGCCGTATGAGTGCGCTCCTTTGGCGCCGGCAGTACTGTGTATTTGCCAGCTAGGATATCTGCTTGTGTGAGTTGAAGATACTGAAACTCTCGTTTCGTAAAACCCGCGCTAACGACGACGTCATGATATAGCCATCTCGAGCGAGACCCTCAAACTTTGTTCAGCAATGATAGAAAGATTCTGCTGGGAGTATGCACGGGCATGCTTCCTGCATCTATAGCAGCGTGTATCACGTCTGTGAAAGAATTACTCAATATTAGTCCCGAACTGATTCGAATTGCCGTGCGATTGGGGGTTCAAGTCTCCGCTCGATCCCAAAGCCTGGATAAATCAACTGAAAGATGGGCATTAGCTTGCGCGGGGCTCTCGCTGAACTCTTTAAAAGAGATCATCGTTCAGTTCCATCAAATTCATGTTTGTCAAACACCGATTTTCTCACTATCAAGAAAATTATACTGAGAGGGGCATAGTCTGTGTCTTTACCTCGGCGACTCTATATTAGTGCCTTGGTGAATCAATCCTCATTCACAGTCAGCGGACCACCTACGAAGCTACGGCGTTTTTCGGATTTTATAGGAACACGTTGCCCTGAAACTCGGAGGACCTGGCTATCCTTATATGGCGCCTACCACGCCAGTCATATCCATGACGGGGATATTGAATCAATCATGGGCAACTCCCCGATACTCGACAGGCCGATCTCGTCAAATAGATCGGTTATCTCAACTAGCACCGGTCGTGCCATGGATGACGTGTCGACACTCGGAGATTGCCTGCACATTGCTCTACTTGATATTCTGCGGCGACCGCTCGATTGGACGGTAATAATTGACGACCTGGTTAACTGTGATCTGACTGATCCAGTACTTACTGTCATCGGGCCATCATATATGACAATGTCTTTGAAAGAAACCCTGAAATGGGTCGAAAAAACCAGTCCGACTGAATACGAAATCGCCCACCAGACTCAAGATGGAAGTATTTCAGGCGCTTTCGCAATTGTGGGAATGTCTGGGAGGTTCCCAGGCAGCGAGAATCTAGATGAATTTTGGAATGTCCTTGAAGAAGGACTGGACCTTCATCGAGAGGTATGTCAGCACCAGACCATTATACTGGGCTTACATGGCTAACTCATCTGTTGACTCTCACTAGATTCCCGCCAACCGATTTCCCGTCGAAACACATTGCGACCCCACCGGCCAGATTCCAAACACAACGACAACGCCATATGGTTGTTTTGTCGACCATCCAGACCTCTTTGACGCCCGCCTTTTCAACATGTCGCCGAGGGAAGCAGCGGCAACGGACCCCATCCACCGACTACTGCTCCTGACTACATACGAGGCGCTCCAGATGGCAGGATACTCCCCCGACCGGACACCTTCGACGCAGCGTCATAGGATCGGGACATTCGTGGGCCAAACAAGCGATGACTGGCGTGAGGCCAACGCTAGCCAGAAGATCGACGCCTTCTGGACCACCGGTGGCGTGCGTGCCTTTGGTCCCGGCAGGCTTAATTACCACTTTGGCTGGGAAGGGCCCAGTTACAGCATCGATGCTGCATGCTCGTCCAGCATGGCAGCTATTCAAATTGGATTGACAGCGCTGCGCAGTCGCGAATGTGATATGGCCGTTGCTGGGGGTGCGAATATCATGACCTCCTCGGATCCGTTTGCTGGACTAAGTCGGGGGAGCTTCCTATCGCCCACTGGATCGTGCAAGACGTGGGACTCCACTGCGGACGGTTACTGCCGTGGTGATGGAGTCGGTATGTATCTTCATCAAGATGTGTGGATCTGACTGCTGACTCGCGCTCGTCAGGGATTGTGGTGATCAAACGCCTCGAGGACGCCATCGCAGACCGGGACCGAATCCAAGCGGTGATCAGGAGTATTTCGACGAATCATTCGGCTCAAGCAATCTCAATCACACACCCTCATGCCGCTACTCAGCAAAGACTATTCAAAACGGTCCTCGATGACGCTGGCGTGCACCCCGATCAGCTCAATTACGTTGAGATGCATGGAACGGGGACCCAGGCGGGCGATGGCATCGAGACCAGCGCTGTATCCCAGGCACTTGCTTCGCGACGAACTGATAGCCCCCCATTATATATCGGATCTATCAAGCCTAATATTGGCCACGGGGAGGCGGCTTCGGGCGTCGCATCGGTCATTAAATCAGCTTTGATGTTCCAGAGAAATGTGATCCCACCACATACCGGAATCAAGGGCACGATCAACCCAAGCATCCCTCTAAAGAAGCTTAACGCGGTGAACATCAGGATACCAATGGAAAAAATTTCCTTTACGGCAGACCCAGCCGGTGACGGGAAACGACGTATTCTGATCAACAACTTCAATGCGGCAGGGGGCAACACAAGTATGCTGCTTGAAGATGTGCCCTCCGAGCGACCGGTCGGTCATACCCCGGATCCTCGAAGTTGTCACGTCGTCATAGTCTCTGCAAAGACGCCCGATTCTATCCAAGGAAATGCCAAGCGATTGCTCAGCTACCTCAAAGCCCATCCAGGAACGGATCTTGCGGACCTAGCCTATTCCACCACGGCAAGGCAGATGCATCATGGCTATCGAAGAACTCACGTCGTCGAAAGTAGCGAGCAGTTGATAGCATCCCTGCAAAATGATCTGAGCACAAAGGCCGATGTTACTCTTGCAAATAAGACCCCCTTCGCCGTCTTCCTATTTCCCGGCCAGGGGTCGCTCTACTCCGGTCTGGGGCACACGCTCCTGTCAACGTCCAAGGCATTTGCAAAGCGGATTGGTGAGATCGACGAAATTTGCCGCATGCTAGAGTTTCCGTCGGTCCTGGACCCGATTAGAGACCCAGAATTCGACTATGCCACTTGCAGATCGATCCAGGGACAGTTGGTCATTTTGGCCTGCAACATCGCCCTAGCCGACCTGTGGACCTCGTGGGGCGTTTCACCGCAGCTCGTGACAGGGCATAGCCTGGGAGCCTATGCCGTTTGGTGCACAGCAGGGGTTCTCAGTCTACATGATACAATCTATCTGGTGGGACAGCGGGCGCTCCTGATCGAGCAGACCTGCGAATCGGGCAGCCATGCAATGCTAACAGTCAGTCTATCGGCCGAAGATCTACAAGACCATCTTCATGCCTTTCCCTCCTGCGAGATCGCATGCTTCAACGGCCCAAAGAACACCGTTATCAGCGGGACGACAGGCGACATTGCTGGTCTAGAGACCACCCTGAAATCCTGTAGCGTGCAAACGTTATTAATCAAGGTCCCTTATGCGTTCCATTCCTCTCAGCTCGATAGCTGTCTGGACGGGTTGCAGGCTCTCTGCGAGAAAGTGGAGTTCCATAAGCCTCAGATTCCGATCCTCTCGACACTTCTGGGGGAAGTTGTCTCTGATGCAGGCATAATTAATGCAGACTACGTTACGCGGCAAACCCGACAGTCCGTGAACTTCCTCGGCGTCATTGAGAATTACGCCGCGATGGCAGGATTCAACGCCAAATCGACCTTCTGGATAGAGATGGGCGCCCGGCCCTTATGTCTGCCGATGGTGAAGACCATTCTCGGTAGCTCCGCGGTGAATGCCCTGCCGTCTATGACACCGCGCGAAGAGAACTGGTTCACGTTGAATAAGAGTCTCGCAAAGGCCTACTGCGGTGGATTTAATATCAATTGGATGGCAGTGCACAGAGAATATGAGCCCTCAATGAGACTGCTTCCACTGCCGAGCTATGCCTTCGACCTCAAGAGCTACTGGATACAATACGAAGGGGACTGGTTGATCACGAAATCAAGCCAGCAGGGCCTGGTCAAGTCGGAACTCTCGGCGAAAAAGAAGCTTAGCGCTACGCTGCAAAAGATCGATAGGGAACACTTCTCGGCTGGTGAAGCGACTGTTAACTTCGTTTCCAACCTGGCAGATCCTGACTTGAACGCAGCCATCTCGGGCCATCTGGTCAATGGACATCGGCTTTGCCCTAGCTCGGTGTATGCAGATATGGCGTTCACTGCGGCAGCGTATGTATGGCGCCGTATGGAGAGCAGCGAAGTCCCTGCAATGGACGTTTCGAGCATCGAGGTCCGGCAACCGTTATTGTACACCGGCGGCGATGGCCACCTGGTGAAAGTCACGGCTTTCAGAGGGTCCGGTGCCAAGTTTATTACGGTACAGATCAGCTCCGTGAAGTCCAATCAGGAGGAGACCACACATGCCAATTGCGAAGTCCACTATGGTAACGGTGATGCATGGATAGTGCAGTGGGCGAAACAGCATTATCTGATCCAAGGGCGGATGGACAGTCTAGACAAATCCTGCCAGTCGGGAATGCTGCATCGCATTGAGCGCAAAGAGGCCTACAAAGCGTTTGCCACATTTGTAGACTACAGTTCAAAATTTCAGGGCATGGACGACGTGTTGCTTGATCCACAGTTCTTGGAGGCTTCGGCGGTGGTGCAGTTCCAAACCACTCCGAGCGATCAAAAATTCACTGTTTCTCCATACTGGATAGACAGTCTGGCGCACCTTTCTGGCTTCATTCTCAACACAAGCGAGACCATCCCGGATGACATTGTGTATATCTCGCATGGCTGGGGGAGTATGCGCTTTGCTCGCCCTCTGTCAGAACTTGCCAGCTACCGGACATATGTTCGAATGCAGGAGACAGGCGAGCCGGGTGTCATGGCTGGTGACGTGTACGTTATGGAACAACAGAAGATTATCGCAGTCGTTAGCGATGTGAAATTCCGGTCGATCAAGAAACGATTCTTGAACGTTCTTCTGCCTTCCAACACCCCTGGAGTCAGCGTTCCCGTGAAACCGAAGCCCAGTGTAGCGAAGGCCTCAAATGAAAGACCACACGGTATTGAAATTCCAGCGCCACCGACAAGCCCGTCCTTTGATAAAGTCATTTCTTTGATCTGCGAGGAAACTGGCGTGGCCGTGGACGAACTAACCAATGAGACTGATCTTGCGGATATCGGATTGGACTCCTTGATGGCGATCTTGATCGTCGATAGACTGCGACAGGAGCTGCAGGTTGAAATACCTAGCTCGGCATTCCTTTGTCCACAGCTGGGTGATCTGCGCCAGTTCTTCGAGGAGCGCTTCCAAGACGCTATGGATGCATATTCCACGGCCCCGTCTAGCGTTAAATCCACATCGCCCATCAGCACTCCCACCAGCGAAGACGGACCTAGTTTTGCGAATACATTGCGCACTATCATTGCGAGCGAGCTGGGTCTTCCCCTTCATGAGATCGAGCCCGACGTTGCATTCTCCGAGATGGGAGTTGACTCACTCCTTGGGCTGACGATTACCAATGCTGTCTACGAACAGACTGGTCGAAGAATCTCTTCTAGCTTTTTCAGTGAATATTCCACCTACGCGGAAGTTCAAGAGGCCTTTGGTAGTCCATACGCTCCAGAGCCCGTGCCTATCGCTACTATTCCCGAGATCCCACCGCCTCGGCGTCAGTCCGTTCTTCTCCAGGGCACACTCACTTCGAGCTCTCCGGCCTTATTCCTGCTGCCCGACGGCTCTGGAAGCGCGGGTTCATATGCCGGACTACCTGTACTGGGAGACTCCGAGCGACCAGTCTGGGGGATCCACAGTCCGTTTCTGCGATGCCCAGAACAGTTCCAGCACTCCCTGAAAGAAGTAGCGGAGATGTACGTTGAGGAGATCTTGCGATTGGATCCCAACGGGCCATATTTGGTTGGTGGATGGTAAGTTGTTTATTCTTGCTTTGCCTTCCCCACCCCTGCGAGCTAATCTAGCAATCTCTTACAGGAGTATCGGCGGCATCTACGCTTTCGAAGCTTCTTGTATTCTCCGGCAACGTGGCAAGACAATCGTTAGCCTTCTTCTCATCGATTCGCCATGCCCCGGGACCATCCCCCCTCTAACCTCCGAGACCGTCGACCTGCTAGATCGGTTGGGCATCACGACTAGTAGTAAATCGCAGAAAGATCGCAGCGCCACGCACGCCCACTTCCTAGCCAGCATCGAGGCGCTGAAGTCGTATATACCGCAGCCTATGATGGATGAGAATGCCCCACCGTGTCTGACGCTCTGGGCGCGTAGCGGGGTGTGGGAGTCTGTTCCAAAGGAAGAGCAAGCAAAGATGAGGGCCACATGGGGTGATGACAGTTGTGACGCCCAGCGATGGATCATGGATCCAAGGACATGGCGTGGGGCGAACGGGTGGGATCAGTTGATGCCACAAATTAATGTGGAAGTGGTAGATGGGAACCACTTTAGCATCATGAAGAGACCTCAGGTATGTTTGAAAATCGCCACTAGCGTGAGCGAATGATACTAACGACTTGACTAGATTCTCGAAGTTGGTCGTGTCTTAGCGAGCTACCTAAAGGATTACTAGCAGGGGACGGAGAGAGAAGAGGAATTAGGGCTAGTGTGCTGCAGAAAAGAGCATGTACAATGTACCAGATAGACCAAGTAGACCAACTAAACTAAGTGGAGTAGTTAATACGACTCGGAAAACTCCGGTGGGGGCCAGGGCTATATTAGATTGCGCCACTGCTTTAGTATTACCAATTTAAGCCATGCAGGTAGCTAGTCTGATGCAGATTAAGCCAAGGGACTAAATCGCTGGGCGGAAGGTACTACGTCAGTAGGCGAGGCTCTCGAGAGTTCCTAAACTGGCTCGAGTTTCTTCGCGAAAGCCGCTAAATTCTGACTCTATCTTACTGCAGACATGGCCCTAATTAATGCTCGACAGTATAATGTTCCACGAGGTTACATCTACTAATTTCTGTCGTGGAAGGTGCCTGACAAATTAATCCTTCAAGCCCATCAGCTTGGTTAGTGGCTAGACAGGGGAGCAACGTGTGGTCTGACTGACTCTAGTGGACGATGCCCTCGTGGGCTCAAAATGCGAGGTACCTGCCGATCTCTCCGTCAGCTCAGCTGAATTTCTAACTCACGCGAATCGCGACAATGGCTCTTCTTCGCGCGTTTTCTTTGTTCTCTATATTGGCCGTCTCGACCGCCGCGGGCCCCTTCGACGCTCCCGAGGCATCTTTGGGGACTCCAGAGGATGCGAGCTATGACTACGTTGTTGTTGGCGGTGGCACGGCTGGATTGACGATTGCCGGACGCCTGGCCCAGGAGGGAGGCTACTCGGTGGCCGTCATTGAGGCCGGAGGGTTTTACCAGGACAATGGCAACTTGAGCGTCATCCCGGCCTTTGATATCTGGTACGCCGGTGCTAGCCCGGATGATACCAACCCTAACATCGACTGGGGCTTTGTGACGACACCTCAAGCGGTGCGTTGAAATGGAAACTCATTTGGAAAGGTAATTTCTTTTGCTAACATGGTCCACAACTAGGGCATGAATGGGAGAGAACTACACTATGCGCGAGGCAAGTGTCTGAGCGGCAGGTGAGACAATCGCGCATATCCACGATACCAATTTGAATTCCGGCTAACGCGTCGTATAAGCTCTGCGCGGAACTACATGACCTACCATTGTGGTACCACAGACTCCTACTCAAGGTGGGCCAAGGAGGTGAACGACCCAACCTACGAGCTGAGCAGCTTCTGGCCCTACTTCCAGAAGACGGTGAAGTTCACTTCGCCTGACAACAGTCGGCGCGCTGCGAATGCCTCGGCTCCGGATACGGATCGCTTCGCTGACGGTTCACCACTGCATGTCACAATCCCTGTCTACGCCAACCCGTTCTCCTCTTGGGTGAAGAAAGCACTCCGTTACATGGGATTCAAGGAGGCGAAGGACTTTGTCAGTGGCGAGCTTTCTGGAGTTCAGTACAACATGGTCACTATTGACCCGAGGTGGTCGACGCGTAGTTCATCTGAGGAATTCATCCGTAGCATCGGTGTCTCGGATAAGTTCAAGATCTACACCCATTCTATGGCGCAAAAGGTGCTGTTCGATGGCACCACGGCAACCGGTGTTAAGGTCACTACATCTGGTAAAGACTACACTCTTTCTGCTAAGAAAGAGGTGATTTTGTCTGCGGGCGCTGTAAGTTCAACTCTCTTCCACCCCTCTGCATTAGTAGGTTCACAATATCGCTAACTACGGAATCCAGTTCCAATCACCGCAGCTGCTCATGGTCTCTGGCGTTGGTCCGGCCGACACTCTCGAGCAGTTCAACATTCCCTTGGTCAAAAACCTCCCCGGCGTGGGCCAGAACATGTGGGATCATCTTCTGTTCGGCTTGTCCTACCGCACCAGTACCATCTCGCATTCCGCCGTCGGAAACGCCGAGTACATGGCAAAGGCAGCGGCCGAATATCTTGCCGACGGCAGTGGCATGCTGGGAAATCCTGGCGGTGACGTCGTCGCATGGGAGAAGCTGGCTGGGAAGCAGCTCAAGCGACTGTCAGCTAAGACGCAATGTCGGCTGGGCGACTCATTCCCTGCCGACTGGCCCGAGATGGAATACATCACGCTGGACGCCTACATGGGAAACAACCAGAACTACATCACGGGGTCACCTCAGGACTCCAACATGTATGTCAGCCCGGCGGCATCGCTTGTCTCACCGTTTAGTCGCGGTAACTTGACCATCGCCTCTGCCAGCATGGAGGATGCCCCCATCATCAACCCCAACTGGCTTACTGATCCTGCTGATCAGGAGCTTGCTATCCTTGCTGTCAAGCGCATCCGTGAGATGGTCGATACCCAGGTCATGCAGAAGGTCATTATCGGGTCAGAAGCCTACCCTGGACGCGACAAGGTGTCGACAGATGCCGAGATCCTTAACTTCGTTCGTGACAATGGAATTCAAATCTTCCATGCTGCGGCTACTTGTATGTATCTTTCCTAAATTCCCTTGAAATTCCGTCGATCTAACCTGTACTAGGCAAAATGGGTACCTCCAAAGACCCTCTCGCTGTCGTGGACTCTCAGGGCCGCGTCTTTGGTACTTCGAAACTTCGCGTCGTCGACGCTGCGGCTTTCCCATTCCTCCCACCTGGACATCCCCAGGCCACCGTTTGTAAGAATACCATAGCCCCTCATACTTGACCCTTTATTATCATGGTTGTGGATCCAGGCTAACTGATGAATTATTACAGATGCACTGGCCGAGAAGATCGCCGCGGATATTCTCGGGAAAAAGAAGTAAATCATCACGAGGCTGCACAAGAGGGTTTTTAGTATTGTACTCGAATAGTGGGAAATAATTAGATAGGGGTGGAATCGAATATCGAATAGTCGAATATTCGAAAATAATAGTAATTTCGAATACGAATAATCTATAAATCCCAGCTGACTGATATCTTTTCAAATAAAAATTCCTCCATTCGAAAATTTAGCACGTGCCTACTACCAGGCCCTCGCATTTATATATCTCCCTCAATAATACCAGCCGCCTCATTGTTTCCCCATGCAAGGAATGTCTTCGTAAACCTAACAAATCCCTCCTACTATTGAAGAGCCTCTCTACTGCTACCTCTGATGCTGGAATCGCTAAATAATCCCTGGCGGCAGCCGCAACGCGTAGATACTCGTGACAATAATTTCTCTACCAAGAAAATAACCACTTCTTGTTCTGTATCACAGGATCCTGAGCTATCACTACCCCATCGTGAAAATACCTGTTAATATCAGAAAGTTGTTATTTCGGTAGCTGCAGTCTCTAAAGAATTCGGACTTCTATCGTTCTTGCTACTGATTCCTCTGGGCCACTTGTGATAGTGGAGTCTACCCGAGACGGCAGATACTGCTCGTAAAGTATTTCTTTTATATATTTGATAACCTTGTGTGCAATTTATTTCCCTAACTCTCTTTCCAACAATAATGTCTTGAATCGTGGGTCAAGGACTTGGGTCACGTAATATGCATCTTGTCTATTCATGAGATCATAGTACTTTTTAAATTTGTTTAGTCCAGAGGATGCTGCAGAAGCAATATCTGGGAGAAATTCAGAAAATTCTCTTTCTCCGGATGCGGCATCATTCAGTATGTCATAAAGTTTATAGTAAATGGGTACTGCAAGGCTGATCTGCGGCTGGCGCCTAGAAACTGTAAGTGTAAGTTCCTCGAATTTCGCAAGAATGCATTCAATTTGATAAAAACACTCCTAATCCTCAGTCGTGAATGGTAGAAAGTAGGGTTGACTATCAATCCATTTTTTGATCTGTTACTTGGCCTGCAGGGCGTTCCTAATCATTCGAAACGTCGAATTCTATCTTGTATTAACATTATACTCAATGAACTTATCATTTAACCGATTTGTCTGACAAATCATCTTCTACTGCTGTTTTCTCTGCGGTATTCTTGCTATCCAGAGTCTCATAATTCGAAAGGGGAATAACGCAGAGTGCATCTCAATATCTTTATTTACTTGCATATAATCGCATGCAGTAATAGCAGTTTTGTGAATACCGGATTTTAGCGCAAGAGGATATCACTAACGATAAGATTAAGGACGTAAGCAAGGCAGCGGATATAGCTATCAGTATCTTAAAAACGAAAGGTATCTGTTTTTCTAATACCGTAGAATTTCTTTTTTAAGTTAAAATAGAGTTCTGACATTAACGATTCGTTATTAGTAGCGTTATCCGCAGTAATGGTAAAGATTTTAGGTTCAATTTTAAGCTCCTCAAGTATCGAGTGGAGTAGGTCTGCCATATTTTCTCCCGTATAAGCCCCATGCATTTCAGCAAATTTAAGTACTCGTTCTTGATAGTGAAAATCACTATCTAACCAGTGACCAATTACCTCTAATATCGGTTTTAAATTCTTACTTGTCCGCACATCCAGTGATAATGCAATGGTTTGACAGGTAATGACCAGCAAACTAAGAAGTTACCCTCTAAACAAAACGAATTCAGCGTCGATTCGACTAGCGATACCTTTGCGGCATGTAAATGGTAACGTAACATCTGGAATGTCTTTGAAGATCTGCTGAAATGCTGGTAACTCGATCACTGTAAAAGCTATATTGTCTAAGACTGTCTATCGTATCAAGTTTTGTTTCAGTCTTTTTAATTTTTCCGTCTCTGCTTTCTTCCTGAAGAGGCTACTTATAGATTGCTGCTTTATGCTACCACTATTCTCGGCATTATCGGTATTGTTGAGAAAAACCCTATACTTAACAAGATGAATCTTCATGTTAGAAGTTGATATTGCCCTCGCTGAATCAGAAGTTTGCCAGTTACATCGTTTGAATTGAATTTTTCGGTCCTTAACTGGTATCTTGGCACTTTTCCGTAACCAGCCTTTCTCTGGGAGTGGAGACACGATAAACTGGGCCTATAGTAAATCATTCTGCGGTCTACCGCGAGTAAAGGATAGGGTAGAATGCCGGGATATTTCAGATGAGTTCTATTCAGGAAACTCATTCTGCTGAAGTGGTTCTACAGGAAAGCTTCGGTTTTGATCTAACTGGCTCACTGAGTTATCCAGCGTTATAGGCTCCGGACTTTCTTTTGGATAGTTTAAACGAGGTCTTTTAAAGAACCGGTCTTCTGTGGGCGTTTTATCGTCGCTTCTATCATTCAAGAGGTGGTAATCTATTCTCTGAGACCGTTGAGATCGTCTCGGAACGTGAGAGGCATCATCCATTGTAAGTAATGAATAAATACAGCTGTCGCTCATTGGGATAAGATAGAGAAGCTTGGATATCTCGAACTATTCTCTCAGAAATGTGCAGGAGATATTGAGGTAAATAAAATGTACGCGACAAAAACACGCTAAATCGCGCGGGATTTAATGGGGCGTCAGCCAATAATTTCACGAGATCGAAAATTCTGCTAAGAATTTCGAATATTCGAATATCGAATACGAATAATGGGTCCCTAATTATTTTCGGATTCGAATAAGACCATATAAAGATCTTTTCGAATACGAATAGGAAAAACCCCTATTCGATTCCACCTCTAGGTAGGGAAGTACACGATCAGCTCGAATACAGAAAGTCCATGTCGATAATCGATCGCCATAATGGAGAAGTCTCGCGGCTTGGCTATTGGCGACGTAGTTCGAGTGGAATGTGTTTGAACAGGTCAGGTACCGGGACCATGCAGGCTATTTATTCCCAGCCCAGACTTCATTTGGGGTGTTCAGCGTTTGTTCAACACCGTGCGTCTCTTTCCCGATAAAGACAAGGAGTGGAGCTTCGGTCAGGTCAGGTCTATTGCACTTCTTGCTATTCCTTTGGTAAATGCCTTTGAGTTTTTCTATCCGGGTGAGTTCGAAGTGTATCTGCAATTGAGCTCTTCCAGTACTTGCTGACACATCTCAAGAATCTAAGACTCAAGAAGTGGAGGAGCTTCAGGGCCAAATGTGCTCTGTTTCGGTCGATCTCAGTGAGGACACCTCTGAACTTCCGGCCTACAGCGAGCTCCCCTTACCGGTTTCGCGAGATTTGGCCCGTCGGACCTTCAATGATCATCCTGACTACGAGCTTTACTACGCATCCGGCTCTCTGACCGCTCCCGCTGTAACGCTGGTTCTCTCTGTTGTTTCTCTTTCTCTTTGGTGTCTCATACGGGCGTGCACATTTAACGGCCTGGAAGACCTGGGGTTTTTGCAGATTTCCTTTTACCCTTGGGGCTTAACACCTTTGGTATTGACTTTTTGCATCTTCTATGGTATCCTTTTCTCCTTCATGGTCGCTACTATTGTATCGAAAAAGCGACGTAAGGGAGAGGGTCCTAGCTTGCTTGTGCGATCACTACCTGTGATAAACATCATTTGCTTGACTGGTGCCGCTTTTGTGATGTTTGCCTTTGGGGTTTCCGGGCCTTACCCCGGTTGGACCGCCCTTGGCGTGGCTGGTTTGTACGTCCTTTGCTCATTGTTTGCTTCAGCCCAGTGATTGGCATACAGTAGTTCACCTCGCCAAAGTATAATAGACTCTTGCCTTGGTGATACATTCTAGAAATTGGACTGCCATTGCATTATTTGCAGCAGTTTGCCGAACCTTGGAATTATATTTTTATCCTTCTCGCAGAGTGATGGACGTCCGACGTAGAGACAAATAGGGACTAGGTTATAAATAGACTCAATATCTCTCGGTACTCTCAAGATTGAACGACTTGGCCTCTTGATATCTATAGATCGCCTAATCAGAAGCCACATAGAGCACCGGGCTAGATGAAGTATGATCAATTCGTTAGCATGCATCCGGTGCCCCACAGAGAACATAAGTTTTTCAACTAATTCGGAAATGCTTGTCTGCAAAAAAGAAGAAGAGTATGAAGACGGAAGTTGTAATACAATTGTGAACTGACACTCCGTGGCCCTGGGATCTCTGAGAGTCCCGCGCTCGGAGCCCGCGGACATCGACAAGTATTGGAGATGGGACCAAGGCCTGACTCGGTCGTAATTCCAGCACTTTCATTGGTGCCGATATATAAGACTTTTGTTACTACTAGCCTAGTAGAAATGGCCTACAAGGCTCTGTTAGGACACCGCCAGTTGGTATGATGACGTCAAATCAGGGGCAAACCGGTTTAGAACATCTTCCCGATTGAAGATCAGAAGGAATCCCACCTAAAAAAAATGCTACAAGTGCATAAAAATGATTCGTGCTTCCGGTTGACGCTGAACACCCTGCTTGCCTACACATATATTATCGTTTAGGGGACATGTAATTGTGCTGCCCATTAGTTCTATGCATGATCAATGTTAATCAAGCGGTTCAGGTCACATCCATTAAAAAACAGCAATTTTAGGATTTTATAAATCATATAAATCAACAAGGCTCGGGAATTCAGTTGAAACTCTCTTTCCGAGAGCCAGTTTTCTCGCTACACAGCCTTGTGGCAGTACGATAGGAAGTCAATGCCAAGTGATCGCCTTGTTCCCCTAGGTGGAGCCAGAGTGCGGGCCCTTGATTTTATTAATACCGCACCGATTCGGCTATCGCACTACCTGGACGTATAGTAACTACAAGTTCTAGGGCTCCAGTTAAGTTCGGGTCTTCTTCGCAATCCTCTCCTGAATGTAAGAGATCATCTCATGGTGCCTTAATTTGTTGACATGAGCTTGTTAGGATCGAGGCTGTGAATATTGCGTTCCTACTATAAGAGCACCTATAAGAGCACCTATAAGAGCACCTAAAGCCTCTGTATCAAACACTTATCTCGGGTAAATTAAATCTTCATCTCTATCAACACCCGCAATTATACACTCATCATTCGAACTTTCGAAGACAATGTTCTTATTAGGATCTCCGTATCATGCTGCCCGGTCGCGACGACAAAAGTCCGCGAAGCCGGGAAGGAGGCAGCAGCGTGAAACAGATCTCAATATGACTAAAGCTTCTTCTGGAATGGAATACCAATCTGTTTCTTCAACTGCAAACACTTCCAATTGTGAAAAGTCATGCGCATGTTCATCATCAGATTTCCAAGGAAAGAATGGAACCGACTGTAAGGCTCTTGTGACAGCGGGGTATGGACTACCAACTCACCTACAAAGCAGCAAATGAAACACCAGTCGACTTATCCTTCGACAAAGATGATCCGCCCCCTCCATACCCTGGATCTACTTCCCAAGTGAACTTCGTGCCATCACAACGCAACGCTTTTTAAGGTTGGGCCAACGCTCAGCTTGCAATTTGAGTGTTTAATGCAAGGTACGGATAAGTAATTAAAATATAATGGACTTCAAGAGAAATTTATAATGCTACAACCAAATGGAAATGTATTTATGAATAGCCTATAAAAAAGAGATGGGAGGGTTAGTTCTGGATGACCTGGAGGATGTCCTGTGCGCTTTGTTGCTCTCATAAACGGAAAGCATTTTGGAACTACAAACACTAGAGATATGATAAAAGTTCGACAACAACCGGGCTTTGATTCTAATGTTTTCTCGTAAGGGATATAAAGGCTAAGTCATAAGGGAAAGAGTTGTCTTCCTCCCATTGCATAATGCCATCATAGCCTCCTAGCCCCACTTGGACTCAGTTGTGGCTATGTTATGCGCACACGGCAGAACGCGATGATCTTCCCCCAGGGTATTTTGGACCTTCACATTTCTCCTTTGTTGCCTGTCTACTTTCGTTTTTCCTTGCCTTTCTTATTTTTCGGTTTGCATCTTCTCGTCTACCGTTGACTTCTCCAGAAATGGGGAATCCAATTCTTGCCCACAGTAGCAAAAGTGCTGAGGCAGCATCCAACCCTCCATCATATGCTTCTATAACCGAGCCCATCGATGAATCACCAACGTACCGACGACCAAAAGTATCGCACAGGCTATCTCATGATCGATTTTCTAGTTGATACGAATCCATGGGATTACGTGATCTAGCGGCTTGGCCCGCACACTCGAACCCCTGAGGAACTTACCCCTTGATCTACCCATAGAAGAAGAGATAGAATCGTTATACAAGAGAATTAAGAGCCCTATCATTCAGAAAGCATTCGCTCCTCAGTAGGCTACGTGCGTATAGCCGATACAGTGTCATTCTGCCCTCCTTCCCCTGTGCATTTCATAACACTAGTATTGAGTAAGCGGTGGTTATTGATGAATTTATCACCCACCTGAAGTTTCTGTCCGCAACCGCCAAACTTAGCAACTCCATTACCTAGAGGAACGGAAAAACTCTTCGGAATCCACGATAGTGAGGTCAGGAACTTTGCAGGCCCACATAAGCAAGCGCAGGCAGCTGCTCGCATTCAAGAAAAAAGATGGGCTGTTTATGTGGCCAGAGCTGTGGACCGATTCACTGTCTGGTGGCAGACTTGCCTACCGAGTCTGAATACCAATCGCATCTCAATGCTGAATGGTTCAAGTGAAGCCAAAATAGTATGGACCGCCAATACGATGCCACCACTTGGTCAGATATTCTGAATTTTGGAGCTGTGTTATTTTTTTTTTCTAACTTCCAACTAGATGTTATCATGGTCTGGCATGCGTATATGCTTAACCCGCGTGCCTTTCTCGAGGATTGTTTGCGCCAATGTAAGATGAGCGTCTGGGCAACGGGATTTCCATGGGATGTAATCAACGCCTCCATCGATGATGAGACGCTTAACTTCTGGCCGGGCAGCGAAGCGAGAATAAATTTCGAGACAAAAACTGGTCATTCCTGGGAAAATGTTCACGACGGCCCCACAAAATCTCTACTTTGCTTCGGTTGTAAGCAGGAGATCCTTGCTCCCTGGACGGAAGGATCCATTAAATGTGTTATAGATGTCGCTTTCGCACACTGCATTGGATATGGGGACAAATCTTTGCGGGTTTCGTGCCCATCATGTCAATTCAAAACCACACATGACTGTATCGGGTACAAAAGTTTCGCAGTGATGTGCAGAAGTTGTTGAAAGATGATTTGCCTATGCCGGGCACGCTTTTGTCGCAGAATGGCACTCCCGCTGACTATGAAAATGGAGATAACGTGTCATTCCAAAACCGGCTTATCAAGGAAGGCATCAGAAGCCAGCTCCTGCAGCTAAAAGATTTCACTGAAAATGAAAGCACCACCATTGAAACCATACGCGACTACCTTGAGAATTTCTTGAGGAGTCGTTCATTAATACGTCGCGTGAGCAAAACAAAACTGGCTTCCGGGAATTCAAGCATGCCAGAGCGAATTTCTCTTCGCAATATGCTCTCCAGTTATTGGGACAACTCATCCCCCTTCGCCATCGACTTGATGGGGGCGGTCATACGGCAAGGGACTTTTGTGGACAAGATGGACAAGCTCGGTTGGCTACGTTCGCCAAATTTGAGATCCACCATGGGTCACTTTATTAGCAAATATGGAGTGTTCTTCCAAATGATAGCCAAGAACAAAGGCCATGCTGTTGTGCCCACTCTCGATGTAGACCTGATTTGGCACACGCACCAGCTTTCTCCCGCCCGTTATTACACGTTCTCGAGTGCGCAAACGGGGGGCATATTTATCAATCATGACGACAAAATCGACGAGATAAAGCTCAACGATGCCTTTGCATGGACCACAAGACAATACCAAGTATCTGCTGGTATTGTGAGGCGGTGCGTGAGTCCAACAATCAGGGACTTGGCAGGTTGATTACGCCGTCCGCCCTACATACCAAAGCCAACGCTGCTCTTCTTCACGCCAATGCCCATAAGACCAATGATGGGGGTGAAAAAAAAGGCCCGCATATTTCTTCCCACAATGCAGTTCGCATCTTGGCCCATGGTGGATCCAAAGACAATGCAGACCAAAACTGCCCAGCTTGAATCGTGCTGGGAGAAAGCGCAGCGACGGTCATATAGCCGCAGTGACAGCAGAGAGTACTGTAATGTCCACGAAGACCTGTCAAGGAAGGCTTTTTACGGCCCCTACGCTCGCGATCCAGGAATTCACCGTGAGATATACCCTTCCAATCCAACCTATGTGAAAATCACCGCAGGTATGGTTGGAAACTGCATCAGCGGAACACAGGGTGTCGGTCTTGCACAAGGTGCATGTGTGAGTGGCACCATGTCCGCCCAGACAAGAGGGAAAGGTAAGAGCTTCTGCGCTAGCATGGCAGGTTGTGGTACGAGTCTCTAGCCAGTCAGCGAATGTATGTGCGCTGCAATACCGAACCTAGTATCCTCCAGGTCAATAGGAAAACTCACTGGGCAATATATATAGATGAGTGTTAGACGCACGAATAACATACTTTCCTTGTGTAACTCTTCTTAAGTGGAGACCCGAATAATAAATTATCAGCTGTTACCCACCTCCACCCCAAACTAACTAGTTAACTAATTAGTTAGTTAGTTAGTTATCCCCGCTTAGTCAGCGGACGATAGAGACTCCCGCTCTCGTCTCGTTTCTCTTCTCTCGTCTCTCCTCTCTCCTCTGCCACCAGGCTACAATCAACCAGTCCAGGAACAAAGTGTCCGTCTTTGTACCTCTCTGTGGTCTGCAGCCGTCACCAAACAGGCTCCCGGTCTCTTGTCATGTCTGACTCGAATTCCATTGACAAGACTACTAAGCCTAAACGAGTAATTCGTCGCCGTCGAAAATGTCGCGCCTGCGATTCCTGCTTTAAAAAGAAGGTAACGACTTCCTTTCGTCTTAATGAATCTGTATGCAATCGAGGCGTGTGAATGACCCGTTTATGGATATACAGATTCAATGTGATCGAGCCTCTCCGAAATGCAATTGGTGTTATCATCATAATATCGCCTGTACGTTTACGCGCAATGCGGAGCGTTTCAAAGATCAGCAATTGCACCATACCAAGTAAGTTATTGTCGTGTTGATCTTGAACGAACAAGGAGTGCTTAGTGGCAATAAGCTCTGAGCCTACGCGTTTACCCTCTCGATCACCTCCACGGGAATATTTGCTTCTCGACCTTGATGGTATGTATGACATGGCCAACCAATCTCTCCTCCCTATAAATCGAATCCAATTTCGACGCTAGCAGAATGCAGTCTCTCATAAGTCCAGTTCAGGTGGGCCCTCCCCTGCATTTGCTCCCAGACCCACAGATAGACCTCATAATCCGAGGTTAACCCTTGGTAACATCTGCGCATTCAACGGGCTGCCGTTTTTTTCTCTTAGTGGCAGAGAATGGATCAAGGGGCAAACTGGGGAAGACGTTCACCTAAGCCAATTTTCACCGGATTGGAATCGCACGTCTTTTGCAAGTGGGTCGGTGACCACTACTGGATCCACATCTCACCGTCCAGTGCCTCTTCCAAGCAAGTCATTGCTATATAGAGTTGTGAGCTCTTATACATCCTCTGTATTCAGTCATATATTTCCCTTCATAACACCTTCGCTTTTCGAAGATACTATCCGCGCAGCCTATCATCAAGAGTTGTCTCCTACATCTCCCAGTGATATCAGCGCTAGAGCATGCGTGATGGCATTTCTTGCCATGGGGTCAATGTTTTGCAATTCTTCGGATATGGGTCAAATGGCCGAGTTTGCGTCTGAGGCGTATTACTTGCTGCCCAAAGTTCTCAGTGACTCTGTCACCCTGGACGGCCTGCAAACACTTCTAATACTGGTGAAATTTCCCTAGTCGTGTAGATAAGTTCTCTACTGCTAATGACTCTCATAACAGTGCATCCACAGCCAAGCTATAGTTGGCGACCTGTTTACCCAGGAGCTTCTCATAGCCGCAGCAACTAGATTTACCTTTCATCTCGAAGGAAATATAATTCCCACCCATATGGATGCGCCGTCATTACCACTGCAGCGACACATCCGCACGCTGTTCTGGCTATGCTATATCGTGGACCATGAACATAGCCTGCGGAGCGGTCTACCTCCAAACTTCAACGACGCTCACTGTGATCTCTCTGTTCCGGACTGCTATGGTGATTCGTCTACCCCTAGCACCTGTTCGCCTCTATTTCTCCCATTTATCCGTCTCTCAATCGTCCAGTCGGAAATATACCGTCGCCTGTATGCTGTTTCCGCACTTCGACAAACCGATGCCCAGCTACTCCGCACAATCCGAGACCTGGATGAGCTGTTAGAGAACTGGAAGCTTTCGATCCCAGTCGAAAACAGACCCACATTCACCGATCGACCCTCTGACGCGGGAAGCATGCCATCGTCCATCATGCAACTACAATATCACTACTGCATGGCCACTATCCACCAAGCAAGCGGTCGCTGTAGCTCCTGGGCCCAGAACCAGAATACCCACGGCCCGGGCTCCAGCCTGGCAATCAGCGTCGAAGCTAGCCGATCGCTTTTGCGAAAGTTTTCCGAGTCCGAGCTCGAGTTCCATCGCTATAACTTGCTGTAAGCCTGAGCTGATCGCTCTGTGATGAGGGTTTATATGCTGATTCCGTAGGTTCTGTCTCCCGTATTTCACCGCTGTCATGATTCATATTTTCTGCAATTTTCTTCTTCACCCGCTTGACCCGGGCTGTCAGGCAGATTTGGATATTATAGAGAAAGTCCCGCATCGCATTACGGCATATTTGTGGCCGGAAGCACCTGTTGCATTTCGAATGCAGGTGGAATTTGTGAAGGAGTTGAGTGGCGAGTTGAAGCGTCTTGCACATAGTGCGCTTCGGAAGGCTTTGAATGGTTGAATGCTGTATGAAAAAGTAGTGTACACAAATTATATCAGCACCCGTAGTTATACAAAGTTACACAAAACCCAGCGACATAAGCCCTTTTCTACTTCACACCGAACAGGGAAGGCATGTACGTCTCCCAGGAGGTGAATAGTCTCTGGCATATTTACCTACGAGTATTATGTAGTCTTCTAGCTATCCCAATGATCCCTCGTGTTGCCCGACCTACGAAGAGCAACCCTACGAATCCCAAGCCTACATTCAGATCCTTCGCAGCAATGGACGTGTTCCGAGACAATTTCGCGGCAGAGATAATTTTCCTGCAGATCGATGACTCTTTCGGGCTCGAGAGCTGTTTCTGCGTATGCGAGAGGCATATTCACTCTCAACGCGCACCTCATCACCAGGAACTTGATCGTGCTTAATCGTATCACTACCTTGAGCCGATTCCGGCGGCTAATCCGAGATATGAAGACCCTGAAACCATCACCCAAATTCCGACCCTCGCACGTTACGAGGAGATGTTTCCGACAGGCGTTCCGATACAGGAACCGGTTCTCACGACCTCTGCAGAAATGCTCAGATTGATAAGAATAGTCGCCAATTTGGAGCGCTTAGCCCGTGCGTGAATAAATATCATGTACAGCAACTGGTATGGTGGCGTACTAAATAGGTCGGGGAGTGATACAAATTTTGTACTAGATGGCATGAACAGCGATAAATGTATATTTTAGCCACGGAGAGGAAATTCATCATCCAAATGCCAGTTGGACTAGAAGCCCCCTTCACAGATACAGCAACCATTCACAACTACTCATCAGAATTATCCAGTCTTCTAGATCTGATCGATGATTTACTTGTCAAGAAAGTGAAAGATAGAAGCGACAGAATAACGCAAATAGATGCTATAGAAATGGTCAGCTTCAAGGGACCGAGCCACGAGATCTAATATCAATTATACCGAGAACCAAGTTCATATAGTAATACCCCACCGTATCTGCCAACGCACCGGAGAGAAGCGGTCCGACAAGTAGACCCATTGTGAAACTGACATTGGAAAGAGAGTAGCTACGCGAGTATCCGCCATTAGGGCCGAAAATACCGGGGTGCTTGGATTCTAAGTCATCGACCGTGCCTATTATCGGTGGAGGTAAAATTAGTTTTATAGGGTTGCTATTTGTGTCATGACGGCAAGATAAGGAACTTACAAGTGATTTCGATCGTGCCGACACTTGTCAAAAGGTTCTGAACACAGCCAATGGCGACGATGGTGATAATGTATATTATCTTGGCGTTTTTCTCAGATCCAATCCATGGGTAGTAGTCCAGTTTATCGGCCGATCCTAACAGCCACAGTAAAGGTGCTAGGAGCATGAAACCCAGAGATGTTGGGATTCTAGTTCCAATTATATCTCGCAGCCAGCCAAACAGCGGACTCAATAGCATAGTGGGCACCTGAAGACCCAAAAACAATAAACCTGTCGGTAAACTGCCCCATCCAAAGGCCTGCTTGACATGCGTTGGAAGCGTGGTATTGTAACCGGCAATGAGGGATGAATGTGCCATGTAGCATAGCAAGCCGACAACTACCCTGGACTGACTGAGTATGATCCGGTAGAAGGAAACGGCCGACATGTGCATATTCTTGGTGAGCAGTGGGCTCTGTTCATCAGCATGCTCTAGTCCCTCGTTGTTATTTCTTTCTTCTGTGCGGATGCTATGATGCACATCGCTGTCATCGTGATACATCTGCTTCTTTCGTGGATTTTCAATCATCAATACTCTCATGATGATATCTAGCAGAAGTACGACCAGAACAACTGACCAGGTAGCCCAATACCCAGCCAGCTCGAGCAGCAAACCGGCGATTGCCGGACCCGACAGAGCACCGACACTCACGAAACTATTCACGAGGCCAAACATCTTTCCCATATTTTCGGCCTGTATTGTGTCTCTGAGGGTGGCATAGCCGACGATCCAGGCTGTTACGCCACCTATAGCTTGTAGTGTTCGGCCGATGAAGACACCAGGCACTTTTGAGAAAAGATTTAGTATGTAATATAGCCTTCCGCTATACTAGATGATTGTATCAACTCACATCTGGTGGATATAGCTAGGACGAGTGTCCCGACAAAGGCAGTGCCCAGTCCAAGTATCAGAGGCAGGAATCGAGATCCAAGTCGGTCGGCCGAGTAACCTACTAGAACCCCGGCTACCACTGCCACCGCACCATATAAGGTGAGGACCTGATAGGTAAGGCGTTGGATCGCAGCGGGATCGACATTGTTGCGTTCCTCAAGGATGTAGGGTAATATTGGCACGATAAAGCCATAGAGAAACGTTTCTATGAAAGAGAGTCAGAATATGTACGTTCTTAGTGAAATAAATTTGCCAAGGAGACAGAAAGGTAGGTCTCGAGGCCTTGAGGAACGGCTGCTGATAGTTAAGAGAGACAGGATGAGAGCCTTGCCAGCAAATAGCGCGATGATGATACAGGTAATTATGAATGCCGACGATGACCTCCACCTATATCCCCAGGGCATCTGAATAATGTGATGAGAAGGCATTGAGACAAAGTTGCTGAAAAGTCTGGCGCAAAGTGGGTTTGAAACGAACCACCAGACAGAATCTGTCTCGGGTAGTCATGGATGATCCAAATGGTGACCCAAAAACACAAACCGGCAAGGGATATGATGTCTTTAATCTCAGGGGATTACGTGGCCTGTCAATATGTATGGTCTAATTTTGATCATGGCCGATGCTTACGCTGCGTTACAGGTCAGTACCTACAGATGTAAATGATTTTTGAGATGTTGTGATAATAGTGGGACTGTCCTATGTTCATCGGAGAAAAGCCGGACTGGCGAAAATATCTTGCGCTGAATTAGTGGGTACAAAATGCTGGTGTAACAACGTAGCCTATTCAATGAGTAGCTACCTGTTTTAAAGTTGAAAGAAGCCGACTTGAGTACGACTCCTAAGAGCTTTTGTGACTATACCATCAATCGCCTTTCCTGCCGTAAAAAAAATCACAATAACATGGCCGCCGAAGCAGAGCTAATGTTCGATGATATCGCAAAAAACTACGAAGCAACCTTTGCTGAAGACCCCAGCTTGCACCAAGTGATTGACCAAGTCCTGAGCCTTCTCAAACCAGAGTCTCAAGTCCTCGATGTAGGATGTGGAACAGGAAAGCCAGTATCCCATCGGCTCGCTCAGGCTGGCCACCATGTCACCGGAATCGACATCGCCCAGAACATGCTTGATATTGCCACCAACCAGGTAAAAGCGCAGTTTGTCAAGTCTGACATGACCCAGTACGAGCCAGCGAAACGCTTCGACGTTATATTCGCCATCTTCTCGCTGTTTAACATGTCGCGAGCCCAGGCGCAATCTATGGTGGCTAAGTTCCACGACTGGCTGAACCCACACGGTCGACTTGTTCTGGCTACTATCCCCAGCGAGTGCCTATTTCAGGACCCGAGTGCCTATGACGAGTCCGGGGAATGGGCTGACAAGAAATCGATGTATTTTATGGGACATAATTTCTACGGGTCCGCAGCGACAAAGAGCGGTTGGATGAACTTGTTCGCTGAAATTGGATTCGAGATGGAGGATCATTTCTCGTATCATTTCGCGCCGCCGACCTTGGATGCGCATAAGATGGATCCTGATCATTTGTATTTTATCGTTCGTCGAAGATGCTGAGAGTGTCTTAAAAGGAGCGCTTGAGGGCATTTTTCACCTATCACGCAAGATATTGGTCGCGTAGCTCTACGAAGATTAATGATAAACTTCAATAAAACCACATTACTAGGCTTAAATATAATTTAATTTTCCTCACTCGGTCTGGCCACCAAAAGAGCCACCTGATCTCCAATAGCATGAGGACGATCCAGGAAATGGAACTTCAGTCGAGGAATCAGAGCCTCCTTCATTCCATCAAAGTTGCTATCCTCAAGACACCATAGTCCCGCAATCACTTCCGCCGCTTTCTCGCATCGCTCCGATAGCTCCTGCTCTTTGAACTCGCAGTACGCATCAACTCGATGGAAGGTAATGTCTCCGAAGCCACACTCAGCGAACACCTCGACTGCCTTGTGCAGCAGGTATCCCTGGTGGTTGGGGAGAGGGTTCGACGCACTAACAGGCGCGCAGACGGTGTTCATCAAATCGATGATTTCATTATCCGGTGCCCCTTGAACGATCACGATGCGGGAAAATGGTGCAGAGCGGTCCGTGACTCGTACTATTTCGCGGAGTGACCTCTCCAAGTCCTCAACGTAGTGCATAACCCACATGGCTACTACGGCGTCGAAGTGACCATCTGGATAAGGTATGTTCTCGGCAGACCCTTGGGCGATCTCTACGCCGCGGTCGCGAGCATTAGCCGCTTGGATGCTGTTGCGGTCGGCGTTGGGCTCGATCGAGTAGGCTTTTCCGGTTCGAGCAGCAACTTCGATTGGCAGTCCTAGGATAAATGAAGGGATGAGATTCTTGGACCTCACGGAGGTAAGGGTAAGGGGTCAAAGAATGCGCCTCTTACTTCCATATCCACTTCCAACGTCTAATACTCGTTGGTTATTTTCTAGCACCTGTAGAACGAAGCCAAACTCATCGCGAACCAACCGCTCCACAAACGGTTTCCAGGCTGCCTCGCTAAGTGGAATAGGGCCTCGATACTTATCGGGAAGAGGATACGGCCCTAAAACTGAATGCTTCTCGGATTTATGGAAGCACATAAGGCAATGCGGGTCTGAATGACGGCTCTCTCCGCCCGGAAGCTGGAAATCTGCTTGATTATCGAAAACCAATCCGGCTTTAGCGAAAACGGAAATCCAAGCCCCAGAGGAAAGCAGGGTGGATTGAACAACATCGCCCTTCCGGTGCAGAGGATATTGGCGAACATAATACTCCGTCTGGTTATGAGATATGCCAACGGCTAAGTGCTCGGCTGGGGATGTAACCAACAGAATTGAGCCACCAGGCTTTAACCAATCGCCCATCTTGAAAACCAGGGAGCATATCTGTGCCCGACTCAGCTGGTCGATAGATAAGATGACTAGGATACTATCGAAAGTCTGCTGCGGCATGTATTCTATCTCGCTGACTGGGTCGAAGTGTCCGGGAATTTGGCTCTTCACGAGGCCGATTGTTTTATGGCATCTGTCAATGCCATAGATTTGATGACCGGCAGAAGAAAGTCGGAGGAGCACAGGCAGTGATGCCAGACAGCCAACCGAAAGAACTGTTGATTCTGAAGAAAGGCTTTGAATAAAACTCTCGATAAGTTTTTTAACACTTTGATTCTCCATTATTCCAAGTGGATCGGAAGTGCTATCCATATTGGAGCCCATGCTGAGTGGCAGTAGTCAAAAAGTGAGAGCAAACTGAGAGCAAACTGACAAAGTATGAACTGTTCACTGTGGGATAGTATCTGAGAATGATACAAGAGTTAAGGCTGGAGTAACGAAACTAGTATTGAGCTCTAATGACCTATTAACCAATATAATTGCTTTTCATATTACGCATGCCATAATCTTGCTTTAGTATTTGCCAGGGTCGAAATGAGGTTCTCCAGAACAATGTTCTCGAGAGAATTGCCAGACTAGATTACAAGCAGCAGGGCAAATTCAGTAGATTCAAATTGATGATTGCCGACAGGGCGTCAAAATTTCACAATGGTTCGAAATCTGTCCGTGGTTGACTATTAGTGGCTGCCTCGAAAGTCTCCTCTGCAACGCGATACCCCCGCCTACAGTTCAGAGTTCCGTCTAGTAACATGACTCACATTCATGAACCGCTGACTATAGTCTTCAGAGTCTGTACTACATCGTCGGTACTGGCATGTGATCAAGCTCTGACTGTTCGGACGACATACACGATCTGCTTCGGCTCGGTCCTAAGTAATAGTTAACTAACAAAAGGAAATCGATACAACACCCCGGCTGCATGAATCCTATATAATAGTGAACTGATTATTCTTTACTGAGCTGAAACCTAGCTTTACGTCTGTACTCGACATGAGTCTACAGGGGATTAATAGACACGATTCTAGCCATGTAGAACGAGCATCCTCCTAGTCACTAAGTGACTCGGCTTGGAATCAAGGAACAAAGTTCATTAAGGCGTAGTAAGATGACAATTGTACTGTACATCGGCCAATTTCAGGTTTACACTTCGGGGGTAAGGCACGTCATCCTACTATGTCCGTGAACCATTTAACCCCGGTGTTCCATTTAATTAAACATGAGTCTGGTTCATGGTCGTGATGTTACTACATTGTTTCTTTTTCGTTCATTTTTTTTTGAATTACTCATTGAATCTCTAAGAGTTAGAATGGGCTCGTTATCGGTCGACTTGATAGACATGGAAGCCACCACCAACCCGGTGGAGAAGATGAAGCGTAATGGGGCTTTATCCGAGGGCTCCAATGGTATCACGCCACTGGACCTGAATCTCTCTCTCAATGGGACAAAGGGTTCTACCGACAATGGGATCTTCACCTCCCGCAAAATCTCCCCTTCGCTTGTAGAAGGTAGGTTAAAAAGGCATTGAAGATATTGGTATGTCGAAACACGATGGGGCCTAGACTAACACACCCGTCAATGAAAGACCCAAATGTGCCCTCTCACAAGCCCAACGACGGTGCCGAGGTTGACACAAGGATTGCCACCGCAGTACGAACAATCCTAGAATGTCTCGGTGAGGATCCCAGTCGAGACGGGCTCCTTCGGACCCCTCAACGCTACGCCAAAGCCTTGAAGTTCTTCACCCAGGGCTACAAGATTAGCCCCTTGGATGTTGTAAACGACGCAGTTTTCGACGTTAACCACACCGAGCTCGTCTTGGTCAAAGACATGGAGATCTCCAGTCTATGTGAGCACCATCTGGTGCCGTTTATGGGTAAAGTAAGTTTATCTTACCTGCGTTTGGCCACCAGCCGGGTACTAACTTACTATACTTCGAAGATTCACATCGGCTACATTCCCCGAGGTCGAGTTATTGGTCTATCTAAGCTCGCGCGCATTGCTGAAGTCTACGCTCGTCGGCTTCAGGTTCAAGAGCGGCTTACGCAGCAGGTCGCAAGGGCTGTTGATGAGGTCCTGAGTCCGCAAGGCGTGGCGGTGGTGGTCGAATGTGCTCATATGTGTATGTCGATGAGGGGGGTACAGAAGCCCGGTGCTGTGACTGTAACACAGTGTAAGTTGGGTGTATTTCTGGATGATGCAAGGCTTGATGAGAGGTTTCATCTGTTGCTGGGCATGGGTAAGAGATGGCAATGAGGGGATATATTTGGGTTTAGAAATCTCTAATACACCATGGCCACCTTATGATGGCTATACTATAAATCGGTTTGAATTGACTCTGTCACTGTAAAGCAGTCATACTACATACGATCAGTGAACTGTTCAAATAAAACTTCCCGAATACTTTTGGAAGGGGTGGGGAAGTATTAGAAATACCACTCACCCAGTGAATGTGTTGAAGAGCTTATAGGATTAAATCAATTGGATTGAGTCCTACGACAAGGGGCCTGTACACCTAGCCCTGGTTACTACAAGCAGCCGTAGCCAGAAAACGATCCCTGACGCCAACTATCCTTTGTCTCACTCCATTTCTAACCAAATAAAAAGCCGCCGGATTGAGTTTGTTATGTGGAGGAATTTACTACTCTTATGAACATGATCAGGAATCCTCCGTAACCTGCGCGCAAGGAGACCTGAAGTTACTATCGTATACAAAAGATGTCGTTTTGGTTACATAGCAATTTCCTATATCATAGGGTACTCACGGAGCCTGATTTTCAATTGTCCAAGTGTACACATGCAGAAGTGACGTAAATCAGGGCTAAGATAAACTGTTCCTGCGGTGGATGATGACAGAGAGTGCATAAACTATGACATTTCTTTATCTCTCAAAAGTCAGCAGAGATGTAAGCCTCCCTTTGCATTTCTCAGGACTTTATTTTGTGAGCACCTGTATCTGACCGCGAATTCGTATCTGAAGAGCAAATATGCTTGCGTAGTTAATCCTGAGATGGCTAGGTAATCTTTGAAGAAGGAGAAAGAACCACAAGCGACACCTAGCAAGTCACTAGACCTAGGAATTAACACGCATGAGAATTGTTTTTGTCTCGAGGAAACTTTCCAGGCTATCCATGTATCCTTCTCGACCAAGTCCACTTCTCTTCCAGCCACCAAATGGCATATCCGAGGCCAATGTTGGACTGGTACAATTGATCGCCACCGTCCCAGCGTCCAGCTGCCTCGCAACACGCATTGCCCTATCGATATCCCTAGTAAATACTGACGAGTAAAGACCAAGTTCATTTTGATTAGCACGTGAAATCGCTTCGGTCTCGGACTTGAAGCGGTTAATCACGACCACTGGACCAAAGACTTCCTCCTGCATCAGTGGAGAGCTTTCGGGAACATTCTCGAAGATGGTCGGCTGGACAAAAAGTCCAGGCCCAACATTTCCGCCAGATATAAACATGCCATCTCGACTCCCGATATTAATGTATGATTCGATTCGATCTCGTTGGGTAGAATCGATCTGAGGCCCTTGCGAGGTATCGCCGTCAAGCGGGTTGCCCATCCGAGAAGAAGTGAAGGCCTCCTTGAACAAGGCAATGAACTCCTCCCCAAGGGAGTCTTCGACGTAGATCCGAGAATTTGCTATACAGGTCTGCCCGCTCTGAAATGTCAAACTTGCTGCCGTTTGCTCCGCCGCGGCTTGGAGATCTGCATCGTGAAATATCAATGCCGGTGACTTGCCCCCGAGCTCTAAGTGCAGGTGTTTCATGTTGGAACTCGCCGCTGCCATTTGAATTTTTTGTCCTGTGAGAGAAGACCCAGTGAAGCTTAAACAGCGCACATCCATATGTGACGCCAGGGCACTGCCGGCCGGCGTTCCAAATCCCGATATCATGTTCAATACGCCAGGCGGAAATCCTGCTTTATCTACCAGGGTAGCTAAATATAACGCCTAGTGGAATTATTGTCAATATCATAGTGCTCTAAGTATCAAAGGGGTGGCGAGATAGCTTACTGATAGTGGAGCCTTCTCACTACTCTTGTGCACGACTGTATTCCCTGCCGCCAGCGCCGGCGCCACCTTGTATGCAAACAGAAGGATCGGGAGATTCCAAGGTGTGATGCAAGCCACGACTCCGAATGGCTGCTTTACGGAAACATTGACATGATCAGGAGTATTAAGGCTCGCTGTTCCTTGGGCATTCCATCCTGCCTCGGCGAAATATCGGAAGAATGATGCCGCGGCCTGGGCCTCGAAGAACTGGCTTACCGGCTTTCCCGAAGCAATAGCCTCGATAGTTTTCAGCTCCTCTTGAGATTCTTCGATGAGGTCGGCGAAACTGCGGAGGCAGACTCCTCGTTCGCCCGGACTTAGCTTTTTCCAGGTAGCAGAGGCGGATTTCGCTGCAGCGACTGCATTATCAACGTCGGTTTCAATTGCCTCGTAAACTGCAAATATTAGTGACATTTGCTATATACGAAGTGCAAGTCTCAAGGAGAATATTTTGGTAACCTTGGGTAATTTCCTCTTCTGTTGTCGGATTGCGTACCGAGAATTGTTTTCCTGAGTCGGAAGGACAGAACTGCAGGTGCTGCGTTTTAGAACATTCTTGCTTTCACATTAATGTATGCGTTATGTTTTACCTTTCCATTAATAAACAACCTCGTTTCGAATGGTTTTAGTATTGACATTTTGCTGTTTGTTTTTAATGTCAATCTTGCAATGTTGAAGCTAATTGTAGGGCGATTTAAATCTACCTTATTCTGAGCTACTAGTTAGGAGGCTCACGGTGGGCCTTTCCCAGTATTCTGAACTAATTGCAAGAAATACCCCGAATGGTTTACAGTCCTTCATGTTCGTGATTTTTAGGTGGGTACTAGTGCTGATCTTGTGCCCAGCATGCTGTTTGTTTAAAGGATTATGTTTATTCTGCCACCAAAAGGTTAATTGCCACAGCGAGGCAATTTTTTCGGTGATTCTAGATTTTTCCATTCCTTTCGAGATGGCCGCAATGCAGATGTATCTCGGAGTAAAATGGGTTACACGTCATACATAAAGGTAGCACATGCATGTTTGCTAGAATGTAGAATGCTGACAGTATTCCTCAAGTTACCACTCGAGGGTTTAATCGAGACATTCACGAAATTAGTTAATTTTTCAACTGGATTTTCTGCCAATTAAACTGTATCAACAATGAGTATTTCCCTCTTCTTCGGTCTCATTTTGTTCATTTCGCCCCAATTATCCAAACACTAAAGCTCTAACCTCAATACTCTCCCTCCCCGAAGCCCCAACCGGAGTCCTCGGATCATCAAACGCAGAATGAGGCACCTGCATCGCCACGTCCTCATTTGAATCATTACACTTCAACAGCAAACACTCATTCGTCTGCATTCCAGACCAGTACATCCACCTCTGGCTCGGACTAAATGCCACCCCAACGATCTCGCCCGTGCGATGCGGCAACCGGAACTCAATAGGAACCAACTCCCCGGGCTTAACTGAAGACCCGCTCGCAAACGCCAGCGGACAAGATTGCACAGGCCCCTTCAGTGGCTTCCAGACGTTGACGATGCGATAGCGTCCACGGAACAAGCTCTCGGCTTCTTCCGGGTCGGGAACAGACAGTCGCACGCGGGCAGCGGCTGCTCGCGCCGTCTGATCTGCATGGGCTGTATGCAGCGGCTTGCTGGCTGTATTGTCTCTGTCTTTGTGTTCCATGCGGATGACGTGGTCGAAGATAATGACCCGGTGGACTCCAGGGATATGTTCGAGTAGGAGCCGTTCGACCTCGGTGTAGAAGTCGCGTTTTACGGCTTCGTCAGAGAGAAATGTTTCGTATGGGGTATTTGATAGCACGTTAAAGAGGGCTTGAAAGGCATCTTTGTCAAGGTTATACTCGCTCTCATTTCCGCGAATGTCATGTAGTTGAACTTGGAGCGCTGGTTGCCCATAGTTCAATGCTGGAACACCCTCTGGTGGATCCCCGGCATACTGAAATGGCTGGGACCCATCTGCAGGCGGCTCATAAAAGTTAAGCTCCACTTGAACACCGCCTCGAGGAGCAATGCTAGTTGCATCATATGGGTTATCGCCGGTGCTCGACATTACGACAATATATTATTAGTCTGCGTTGGACCGTTGACTCTAGGCCGTCTCACATCCGAGGACATTGAGCCCTTTACCGCGTGATATAAGCAGGACATTTGGCCTCTTTGACTGGGATGTCTGTGGAAACAGGTAATACAGGAAGAGTATCTACGTTGCACCATGCACAGTACATCATAAACCTTCAAGCTCAAGATTCTGCCCGCAGTCGAATACCTGATTTATGTTATCACTTCTTCGGTTACATTTTCAAACCGCCTGTATCTATAAATAACCCTGGATGTTGACACGTCAACTGCAAACCTGACACAACATGAACTGTTTATGAATAATGTTAGATACTGACATTCACATGCTGTAAGAATTTTAAGCCCGGCCTACAAATCTCATTATATGCCGAGTGCACTTCATATTACAGATATGCAGATCGCTCCAGACCAAGAGCTAAGAATAACGATGACTAGTCTGCCTGTTCAAGCGCATCTCTGCCACGATGAACTGTGCAAAACAAGGAATCCGGATCCCATCTTCGACAAACAGTCGCAACACGCTCCGCATTTCGGCCCCAATTCCAATCATGGCCCATTTTCAAATCACACTCCCCGAGATATGATCCCACCGCATGATCTTTGAATTTTGCCATTGTTTTCTCCGCCCATTTCCTGCATAGGGTGGCCTCTTCCTTGCTTTTACCAATAGCATAAACAGCCAAATAATGTTCCCCTGGGAAATCCAACGACATGTCGGAAACATTTTGCCTATTGCCTAGGCATAGAGGGTACCAGAACGCGAATGACTTGCCTTTGGGAGCACTCAAGCAGAATATCTTCAAGGCCTGTTTGACATCGGCTAGGTTTGAAATGTAGTAATTATCTACGTAGTAGTAATGCTCTTGAGGGTTTGCCTGAACCTGACTGTCGAATAGACTTTCCAGACTTTCCTCTTTGCACACCCACTCGGTGATTATTCCTCGGGGTCGAGTTTGATGGAGCTGTCTTAGTGTATATTCAGCTTCCGAATTTGATTTCATTGTCACAAAGTGAACTTTCAAACAAGGCTCATGTTGTTTTTCTGGGTAGAAAGCCACCACTACAATCTCGGTGTCCTGGTCCGCGCTGGGGAGGATAGATTGAACCCAATTGAAGACATCGTGATATGAAGATACAGGATAGATGTATCCGGACGTTCGGAGGCCACCGGTTGGGTCTGGCATCAGTTTCAAATAGAACTTGGTCACGATTCCTGGAAACACTGGTATTTCTTGTCAGCTTCTCGCAGAAATCCCACGGACTACCTTAAAAAATATCAACTAGGAGCACTCACAAGGCCCTGCGCCTTTGGCGGTGAACAATAAATCCTCATTCTGGTCTTCGTTGCACAGCAGCAGTTCGCCCTGCCCAGTCACAACCTCCACGGCCACAACTCTGTCACAGGCATAACCCCAGTTCTTCTCCCACCAGCTGTCAGCAAATCGGCTGATATTGAGAATAAGGCAAACAAGTAACATGGCTGACCTACCCGACAGTTCCAACCCTGTCCACCATGCAGCAAAAACCCACCCAGTGCGACATCCGGATAGTGGCCCACGGGGAAGAACATGCCATGATGTGATCGCAGGTATTGATTCAACTCAGCTCCTGTCACACCGGGGGTTACCTCGGCGATGCCTGTGTTCGCATCCACCGCCATTTCTTTCCAGTCGCCCAGGTCGACCAGAATTGAGTTGTCGTGCAAGCTCCAGACGAAGAACGAGTGGCCGCCAGATCGGACCGCAACCTGGCATCTTTCGGGCTCCGTAATTGCCGTCTGCACTGCGTCAATGACATCTTGCGCGCATGTCGCCTTGACGATGGCGCGAGGGAAATGTGACGGTCTTTCCATGTTGAAGACATTGTGGATGCGGGCGCTGTCATAGGCCTCTTTGCTGTCTTTAGCCCTCCAGATAGTAGGCATGGTAAGACTGTTTCGAGTATTGCACCTATACACAGGTTATTGTGGACATCTACCCGACCGTAGCCCGCATTATATAGGCAATTCTTCGGTTGATTTCACTCGTCTCCTTCGGTGAGCATGAATGTATTTGAGAATTTGGCAATGCAATAAATTGTTTTCTCGTCTATTACAACATCTGCATGTTCATTAATAAGGGCACCTGATTCTAAATCGGTCAATCCACGCACAAAGTCGATGTTTTCTACGCATTATAACTCGTAATCTCAATTCAAGCGCCGGACTATGAAGAGCTTATACCGGCAGGTTGATCCCCCTGCTTTGATAATCGATCCATGAGAGTGTTTGAACCCAGAGGCCAATTACCTTGACACCCTTTGCATTTCGAAATCACATCCCAGAATACCAATCCTCCAATGTCTCAATCAACCTCTTCTATCCAGACCGCCCCCCAGCCGTCAACTATCGACACAATCCAGCTTAGAGATATCCAAATTCACCTACCCCGTGCACCAGATGCATGGCACCGGCCTGGAACGACCCAGCCGTGCTCCGCGTCACTTCGGCTTTCTTATTCATCATCAATTGCCGCAGCCGAAGCAGACGATGTTTCTCGCACAATCGATTACGGAAAGCTCTTTCGTCGCATCACCCAGTCTATGAGAAAGATGAACAAGACCTCCAAGCTATATGAATACACGCTGGAAAATTATATCATGGGTGCAGATGAAAAACCACTGCAAGACACGCTACGTGGGGAAACAGGTCAAGATGTCCGCTTGTTCGCGGCAATCATGGCGGAATCTTGCCTCGAGATCTTGGTTGAGTGTGCGGTTAGTGCTCGATTTCACTTCTCGTTCTCATCTGTCCTATATGTATCCATAGACTATGTTAACGAGAGACAGAAAGCCTCCCCTCAGTCTACCGCCATCCGTACCGATTACGGTGAATTCGAGCTCAGGTTACATCTTCCGAAAGCCATTCTCCGCGCAGCCGGGGGACTTTGGCATAGAGGTGTTTTTGTTATGAGAGCCATTCAAGAGCAAGGTCGTACCGCTCGACGCCTAATACTTCTCGAAGAGGAATTTGAAATTCGTGAGATCCGATCATTCTGCATCTTGGGCGTCAACCCCTGGGAAAAACTCGAGAAACAGGCCGTGAATATCTCGCTGAAATTCAAGGGACCGGGAGGTCACAAATGGGGATCAACTGTCGTCGACACATATCAGGCAATGAGTCGTGATGTTGCAGAGGTATGTGCATACTTTTCTACAAATAGCTATGGGCAATTAGTAACAATGAATGTCTTGTTCTTGGGGTAGCGGGTCGAGAAAACCTCATTTCAGAGTGTTGAGGCACTGGCTTCTTTTGTTGCACGTATCGTCACTATGGACCATGGGAATGATAAAGTTACTGTCTTGGTGGAGAAGCATAGTGCGTTGGCATTTGTAGGTGGATCAGGATTAGATATTACGCGCTCACGAGCCTTTTACTTGAAGACTTAAAAGTATAAGGGCAGTTCGCTTTGCGGCTCAACGAATAGCATGTCCCATTGAGTAAAAGCCAAAGTAAATATACCCTATCTATCAAGCGGAATCACCTATTTCAAAATCTTCCTTGATAAGGTCTGCCGCCCTCTCAGCAACCGCATACACCGTGGCCATCACATTTCCACTAATCTGAGTTGGAATGACACTGGCATCTACGATTCTCAAGCCAGACATCTCTTTGACACGCAGCCGTTCATCCACTACTCGACCCATGGCACAAGTCCCTAGTATATGATTGAACGAAGTAGTCCAGTCTCGCGCGAACTCTCGACCGTCGTCTCGATCGCACAGATCAACATTTACGGTCGGAACTGCTCGCTTTGCAACCCGCTCAGAGACATGGCCCGAAGAGAACACTCGATCAGCAAATTCCAGCCCAGCAGCAAGCAAGCTGACATCTGCCTCTTCGTTCAGAAGCCCCAGGTCAATATCCGGGGTCGCATGCGGATCCGAAGACGTAATATGGGTGCTTCCTCGAGAGAGGGTGCTAGCAATTGTGACAAGGAAAGTATAGTATGTGTGCTCATGGCCCGACGTATCAGGAAATAAGTTTCTGCGATTGGCATACCCTCTCTCGACATCGAGGTATGCCGCAATGCCGTTGAATTGAACAGCGCCGGACATGGGATCCCGTAGCCGTGAAACGATGGCGTGTCGCTCTACCTCGGACAGTGATGCGACTTGTTCAACTTGTGCCACCACCTCTTCCAATTCATCGTGGGATACGAGGCTGCGATACGGGAGAAAGGCGATCATGCTGACACCGCTGTGGATAGAGGGTTCCTCGTTTACCGCGTAAGTGAGAGACGTCATAGGGTGCTCGCAAAGGTTGTTTCCTACGTCGGGGAGTTCTTTTGTGCAAGGTATGCCGGCAGCTTGCAGGATCTTTGGGTCGCCAATTCCTGAAATTTCCAAGATTTGAGGAGTTTGGATCGAGCCTGCGGCAAGGATAATTTCTTTGGATGGGAATACGCGGTGTAGAGCACCCTGGTAAAGGAACTCAATTCCTGTGGCGGTTCCAATTGCTTGATTGTGTATTATCTTGCACGCTGTAGCTTCGGTCAACACTTTCAAGTTCTTTCGTGCTTCGTGCGGACGAAGAAAAGCGGAGGCGGCATAACTTCTAGTGCCGTCCTCAGGATCAACAGTTGATACGTGATCGTATAGACCGAGAGGTTTCCCACCGTACGGATCCTCTGCTCTTGATGATCCGGACGTTTCGTCGAACGCAGCAATCATGCCGTCCTCGATTGGTGGCTTCCCTGGTGGTAATGAGGTTATAATAGGCCCAGAGTTACCATGCGAGCCGACAGGATCTTTGCCGACACTTCTTTCTGGGCATATCTCCTTCTCGTCTGTCCCATGGAGCCTCTCGCTTTTCAAATAATAAGGCATGAGGTCGTTCCACGACCATCCTTCATTTCCCATCTTCCCCCAAAGATCAATATCCTCTGCCGCGGGTCTGATATAGGCCATGAAATTGATACCACTGGATCCGCCGAGCATTCTGCCGCGCGGGACATGGTGGACTCTATCATTGTTACCGGTCTATATTCACAGGGCTCATGATTAGCGTCATCCCAGCAAGTGTCAGAGATGGTAGTACCTGAGGAGTGGAGTGGAATATCCAGTCATACTCTGGATTATGTAATGTATTTGCTGATCGTTCCGGTCTGTCGACGTTCGGGTCGTTGGCTTTCGAACCGCCTGCCTCGAGAACTCCAACTTGGACATTGGGATTCTCTGTCAGCCGAGCGGCGACGAGTAGGCCAGTCGTACCGCCGCCGACAACTACATAGTCGAAATTTGTGGAAAGAAATTCTGGCAAGTTTTCTGAGGTATACCGTGTTTTGGCTGTCATTTTGGCCAAGTGGTATCAAGTGAGTGAATGGGTTTGGCGATCCTGCTTCTTAGGACCCGTGAGGGCGACGGGTTTATATGAGTTTGCAAACAAATTAGTTGGATACTAATGCTTCACTTTGTGCGTTGTCTAGCCGCTTTGTGTCATGGAAACCAAATTTCAGCCTGAGAGATACCAAGGGGTGGCCGCAGCTACTGGCTTTACACAGGGAAGCCCGACCACCAGCTTCTAAAGTGGAAAAAGCAATGAGACAACAAACATCGTCTGGAACCTATATAATTGGTCGGTGGTTATGGGGTATGGCATTCATATAGGTAGATCTAGTTAACTAAATAGATGAGTCAGATACCGATTAGTGGAGAGAGATGCCACCAATAGCTCTCATACCCTGCTGCAGCCTACGTTCATGGCAATATCAATCGCGACAATGCGACAACAGTCATCTACTTCGGTCCAATATATGATGTGTATATAAATGAAATCCCCTTGACAACTGAATGGTTCGTGGAATGATAGTGCCCTTGATGCTCGACCATCTTGTGCAAAATGTATTATCTACCAACGGATTATTCACTATTGACCGTATTCGGTGTGTTGATTCTATACAAAATCACAAAGGTGCGTTTTTCCCTCCACACTTTCGGTATATTCCACTAACAAGACCATATATTCCCACTCAGACAATACGCAAGGCTTATCAGAATGCTCTTTCGTCGATCCCCGGCCCTTGGCATTCCCGTTGGACTGGACTTATTGCTGAATACCACTGGGTAATGGGAAATCGACCACGATATGTACACTATCTGCACCAGAAATATGGTACCTTGTCTCCGCGTCTCTCATCTCTCTGTCCCCTACTTACCGAGGCTGTCCTCCTCCCGAAATAGGTCCCATTGTCCGAGTCAGTCCAGATGAAGTCGATATCTGCGACATCGACACAGTCCACGAGATGTATAAAGCTGGTAGCGGCTTCTTAAAGTCCGCCTGGTACGACAAACTAGCTCTCAACGGGGCCAAGAATATCTTCAGTGTGCGAGATCCAAAAGCTCATAGTATCCGTCGCCGTCTACTCTCGGCGCCCATGTCCGACGCATCGCTCCAGTCCATGCATCCGACAATCGACGCGAAGGTTAAACTTGCCGTGCGTCAGATGCAGCAGGAGTTGAACGCTCAAGGGGTCATGGATATCTTCAAGTGGTGGTATTTCATGTCGACTGATCTGATCGGACAGTTGACGTTTGGTCAGTCTTTTCAGTTGTTGGAGTGTGGTGAGGTGTGCTCTCTTCTTTTCATCTTCCTTTCTTCCTGCATCACCGAGCGGACACATCTCTCTAATATCAATTCACGTCAACTCTTCTAAAAATATCTTTCCAGAAAACCCAAATGGCCAAAGACCTCGAAACCCTCCCCCGTCTCGGGATGATCGGCTCCGCATTCCCCTTCCTCCTGCGTCTCGCCAGCACAATTCCCCTACCCTACTTCCGCTCCGCAATGCACGCGCGACAACGCATCGCACAATACGCCCAACAATCCATCGATTCCTACCAGACACTCGTCCAGGCAAATCCCTCACAACCCCCACCGACAACTCTCTTCACCAAACTCTTCCACACAGACCCCGCCGCCCTCGCTGACATCCGTATCCCCAGCGAAGCACAGGGCTATATTGTCGGTGGGAGCGACAACACAGCAATCACGCTAACATACCTCGTGTGGGCTGTGTGTCGGGATGAAGATATTCGAAGTGCGCTACTACAAGACCTAGATTCTCTCCCGACGGGGTTTGGAGACGAGGAGCTCAACGAACTCCCATTTTTGAACTGTGTCGTGAAAGAAACGCTACGGCTGTATGCGACGAATCCGTCGAATCGGCCACGGAATCCGCCTACCCCGGGGGCCAGGCTGTGTGGGTTCTGGATTACCAGTGAAGTGACGGTTTCGACGCAGGCGTATAGTTTGCATCGAGATGAGAGTGTTTTTCCGGAGCCGGAGAGGTAGGATTCCTTTGACTCTTTTTGCTACACTATGTTGCTCGTGACTGACAGTTTGATTGAAGATTCAATCCCTGGCGTTGGACCTCTGCCACGAAGGTGATGAATCACGCTTTTATGCCCTTTGGGGGTGGTTCTAGAAGTGTGTTCTCTTTTTCGTTTCTTTTCTTTTCCCTTCCTGTTTGCCTTTACCTCTCTCTTCGATAACCCCACCCCTCGAAACTGCTTTATATCGTAAACTCACTGTAAACACTATACTACATAGTCTGCCTCGGCCTCCACCTCGCGATCCGGGAGATTCGTCTCGGCGCAGCACACTTTTTCCGCACTTTCCCGGATGCCAGGATGTCTGATCGAGAGGGAATGAATGATGTCGAGATGGAGCAAGTCTGTTATTTTATTATGTCGCCTGTGGGAAAACGTTGTTTGTTGGAAGTTGGGTCATAGGCTTATTCCTACTCTGTGGGAGTGGGAGTACGTGGATGTTTATTTTTGACCTCTATGGTAGGGAATAGAGAGGGTGGTGGTGAGGGTGAGCTGAGGCGTCGGCAAGTGAAGCTGGGAATTGTTAATTCATGATATATAATGCTGGACAGTATGTCTGGAACTCAGGGGTTTTATCAGGAGAATAAACGTAACCATATCTTTTTATTCGCCTTAGATATGGGAGAAAAAAAAGAAATAAGGCACAAAGAGAAAAAAGAAACATGTCAGAGTGCAATACTCTACGCGATCATCCCGACCGAGTGAAAAGGAAAAACAAAACAAAAAGAAATCGTCAGCGACAGGACTCGAACCTGTGCGGGCGAACCCAATAGATGAGATAGATGAAGATCTATTCTAGTCTATCGCCTTAACCACTCGGCCACACTGACTGATTATTAATCCTGTTCAATTATTACCGCAATATAAGGAACAACAAGAACTTTGTATGAATCTCCCTACTATAGAATTAGCATAGATCGCTTTTTTCTCCATTCTTTCTTTTGCTGTCGTGTCTGTGCCCCTAGAATAAAACCCCCGAATGAACTTTTCAAATCACGCCAAGTCGAGTACCGCATCCTTTCTTTTGTCCTGTATAAACCTTCATATCAGCATCACGACATGACCAGCCCTTCACGCCTCACACCCTCATTCCCAACCCCACGCAACAACCCTATCCCCTCTCCAAAACCCCCGGAATCTCCGCCCCAGTAGTCCCCGCAGCCTGCCCGGACAGCTCCAGCCCATCAACATCCACCAAATGCGCATCATCCCCCTGCCACCCCTCCCTCTCATCCTTAACCATCCTCACAAAAAAGACATCCAGCACCAACGCCACCACACTAATGCCCACCCCGAAATACAACGCCGCGCGATACCCCCAAATCCGACCCGCCGTCTTCGCGATCTGCGTCTCAATCGTCGACGCAAAGCCCAAGCCAAGACTATTTCCGTACAGGTTGAGAGTCCCGATGATTGAACCGGCAATGCCCTGCTGATTGCGTCGCACGGAGTTACTCGCGATGATTTGGCCCGCTGTATAGACTAGATCCGGACAGAACGAGAAAAGCACCACGCTGGGGAAGACCTGTGCCCAGTAAGTTTGGCGAAGGGGCACGGTAGCCATGAGCACGTTCGAGACGAGGATGGTAATTGTCCCGATAGCGAGGATCCATTGCGCCGCGAGTCTTGGAATCAACCATGCAGCGAGACAAGCGGCGCCAGTAGCGCAGATGACGAAGGGGGTCCAGCCGACGGCGAATTCAAGGGGCGACCAGTTCCAGACTTCGAGGAGCCAGAGGACTTGGTACCAGATAAGCGTGCCGACGGCCATGTAGTTTAGGAGGACGACGAAGAGGAGAGTCAGGAAGCAGGGGGCTTTGAAGATGTCGAGGGGCATGATTGGGTGGGGGGTGAAGTTGCGTTCCCAGATGAGGAAGCCGGCGAAGAGGAGGATGGAGATGATGAGGAGGGCGATTTCGTAGGGTGTTTGCCAGCCGACGCTGGGTGCTTGGCTTGGGGAAGGTTAGTATGGTGGGTTGAAGCAGTATTAGGAGGGAAAAGGGGATACGTACTTCCAGACGAAGTTGAAGAGAATCAGCGAGCCGGTTCCCAGTGCCGAACCGATCCAGTCGATTTTGCCGTGTCGGTCCACGGCGACTTCTTTAGGAGTCAGAGCCCACAGGGGAACGAAGATGGTAGCGTTAAGACATGCTCTGATGCAGTTAGCATGGCTCATTTCCCTTATACCCGGCTTAGAGGTAAGACAAGACATACATGAAGACGAAAAACCACTTCCACTCCGTCTTCTCGAGGAAGGCGCCCAGAAACAACGCTCCAAAGTATCCTCCCATCGGTGCACTCGCACCAAACAACCCCAGACTGAGATTCCGAACCTTTCCAGGCGGATTGGTCGTCGCGATCATTGCGACCGCGTTCGGCATGATCGCGGCGCCGCCAACACCGGATAAGGCTCGCATGCAGACGAACGCGAAGAAGTTATTGCAGAACGCGCTGATCAATGTACACACGGCTAGCCAGATACCGCCGAGGATGAGGAGTCGACGATGTCCGAATACATCGCCCAGGCGACCGCTCATTAACACGAACGTGCCCTGCGTTAGTCTAGTCCATCGTTAGTATAGAAGTCCAGGACAGACAGGCCAGGTTCAGGCACACGCACGCATAGCTGGCACCGATCCACGATGCATAAGAGTCCTTGACCCCCATCGACTCAGTGAGTTTACTTCCCCCCGCAATACCAGAGAAATTGACTGTCATCTGCTGCCATTAGCGCCAGTTCGTTGTATCGAGGTCAGATACCATACCTGGACCAGATTGGCCAGAATAATCAGCGCCGTGACAGCCAGCCGCCGAGGCTTATTGATGACCGTCAAGGAAGCACTTTCAAAGACTTGCTGACCAGAGTCTGGAGCTGGAGGTTCGTCTGTTTGGACAGCGACCGAAGTTTTTGAGCTGGAGGTCAGCTCTGGCCTGGTCTGTTGAGCTGCGCTCGCCACAATCGGAGGCGTCTCCGATGCGGGAGTACTGAGCTCGAAGTGCAGCGATTGCGCCAATGACATGGTAGCAGATAGCTTGAATTCCTATCGCAGCGAAGAAAGGAAACTTTCCATGAGGAGAATACAGAGATTCGGTAGAGGAAAGAGGAGGACGGGAGAACGAAAGATAAATAGCGGCATCTGGAGCTCCCTTTGTGAATCACTCCGCGCGGGGAATCAATTGTTCATTTGTAATCCATCCGCGAGTTTTTGGCTAAATGCTTCATGCCAAGTAGGTCGAGTGGACACATCACGAAGAGTCTGTTCGGATGCTGTTCGGGTTGGGTTATGATAGGCCGCTCGGGATTCGAATTCCTAGCAGCTCGCACCATGAAGGAAGCTGGGGTTTCGCCGCTTGACAACGCTCAATAGCACCTATTCGAGAACAGTCAAGCTTCACTATGCTTTGCTCTCGTCTAGATTTTAAGTGAAGGCTTGATAATTCAGTACTCAAAATGTCCTAACCATCTCTGTTCGGAAAATCTCCTTCTGTCTATAAGATCGTTAACCTTGAATTACCAAATCTAAATAATAAGTCGAAAGTATATACATGAAGCGTAAACCATCACCATCAATCTAGACCACCCACAGCGCCTGCGGACACGACCCCATCTCCTGCACCAAAGCATCGATCCTCTCCGGGATCCAGCCCGAACTGATGCCCGTCGCCGCACTCCCCAACTTCGCCGTGGCAGACACCCAGCAGGTATCGGCCTGCTGGGCATACTGCACACAATCCGGGTCCGCCAGGCACTTCCTTCGACACTCGACCGAGCTGCGACTGCGACTCGAGATCGAATTCTGCGGCGCAACGCGATTATCCCAATCATACCGCACACCCGTCAACTGCGGCTGTACGACCTGGAGGAACACATCGCGATAGAGCAACAACTCCCTCCCCCCGCCAAACCACTCGCGATCCAAGCGCCAGAGCCGAATAACGTCAGGAAGCGTCAAATGATGAAACGTAACAGGCGCATAACACCACGGCGTCTTATAGTAATCCGGCGAGAAATAATCCAACTCCGAGGGCGGCCCGATCTGCAACGCCGGCCACGACCAGAGCAATCCGACCCCAGACTCAGCAAGCAACTGACCCAGTACACAATCCCCGGCCCAGTTCTCGCGCGTAATGCTATCCCACCTCGCGACGTCCCTGCGTCTCGTCGCGGCGGCCCTCTCCATCGCCGGTCGCGACAAGACGATCCCCGAGCCTCCGTGCGCAAACAACACGTCCAGGATCTGCATCTGATTACCTAGATAATACGGCCGTCGATGGTCCAGCTGCGCTAACCAAGCGACCAAGTTCGGCCACACGAAATACGTATCGGCTTCCATGAACACGTACCATTTCGCCTTCTTCGGCTGCTTCAGCGCCTCGTCGATCATGGGCAGAAACTTCCACTTATCAAGCTTCCAGCCAGGGTTATTCGGTTTCCCGAATACTGTGTTCACATCCTCGTTCAAATCCGCACGAGTCAGTGCCGCTCGCCCCGCCTGTCGCACGCGCTGGTAGACGTTGAACTCCTCATTCATCCACTTAACCGGGTCCGGAATATCACGAAGGACGTCATGCACCGGCACACCGTCGATTTCCTCCGCGTAGTCCGAGAAAATAACGGAGTGTGGGACGCAGCGGAGGGTGGTTTGGAGGTGCGTGGGCACTTTGTCGCGCGCTTCCGTGACGCCGGTTTTCAGGATCACCAGGATGTCCTCCATGCCGGGGATGGAAGGGCAGGGGGCCGTGGCATTATGCGGGGCGTGGTCCGGGCGGGTGGAGGAATTGGTGCTGGTAGATGAAGAAGATGATGCTGTTGAGTCTGAACGGCCGAAAAAGAGATACAGTGTGAACAAGAGGCCTAGGAGAGGCCAGACCCAGGGGATGCGACGGCCGGGCGGACGCCGAGGGTGGAATAATGTCGCCATGAGCGAGTGTTGGCGGTATTAGTTATTGAGTTATGTTGGTCGGTTGGTCGGTCGGGCGGGCGGTCTTCTATCGGTATACAACGCGCATGGTGCTTTGAACACGAAAGAAACGAACGAACAGCGAACAGCTAACAGGGGAAAGAACAACCCAGGAACTTAACTCCAACCCCGGGACGCGCCATGATTTAATATTCAATCCCTGCCAAAGATTGGCATGATTGGCATGATTGGCAAGGGAGCAAACCAGCGAAAAAACGACGAAGGAAAAAAAAAGGGGTGGAGAAAGCAGCAAACCAGCAGCTGCAAACCGCGCAATTCCCCCTTGCACTAAAGCTTGAATGCGGGAGGATCGTCGCGCTTTTTGCCTTGGCTGGGCCCGTGTTGACGTACGCCAGAAGCCCAAGGGATTCCAGTCCTTGGAACCACGGAGGTTGGTTGGGGAGGTTGATTGGATGGGACAGGGGTCGGGCTGGGGCTGGCTGGGTCTTTGATCGATCTCGTTCATGAGATTAGAGAGTTGGAGAATGTGCCAGGAGGGCGAGTCAGAAGTTAGGGCTGGAGGAGGCGCATGACTGACAGCTGCTGGGGTTGGTGTGTTTCATCGGGTTGGGGGAGGAGTTTATTCTCGATCGCAGATGGGCTGGTTCTTGTTGCATATTCCCTAAGTTATTATTATCTCTGCAGTTTCATCTGTATTCCGCAAGTATTCAGTAAGGTTTGGCATGCTCCCTTCCCTGCCTTCACGAATATCTGCAGATCCTGATCGCCACCACATTATGTAACGCCATCGTATTCGTAACACGTCCTTGCCCATATTCATCAAGACATTGTGATCTGTCCGACGCGAGAATACGACAACTGAGATGGAAATTCTCCTAGATCAGACTGACAATCTGTCATGCCACGATCGCTTGGTCTTTATGCTTAACGCAAGAGCTCCTTTTGGCCCCTGCGCCTGACTGTGGCTCGGCGTGACTCAAGCGCCATCACTGCCGCGCAAGGCTGAACTCACAGCCAATGACTCAACGATTGAGTTGGCTGTGCTGACTCCTCTCTGGTCGCAAGCGCTTCCCTTTCAAGATTCCTAGTCGATTAGTGCTTCCTTTAGATCGTACTAGGCTGCAATATGCCTGGCTGATGTGGCGGTGGCTGTTGACGGGATCACTTAAGTAGACTCTATAGTTCCTTGTGGCGGATGTCTCTCGATGAACCTACCAAATTATTCGACAGACAGAGAAGAAATCAATCCTTATCATGGCAGCTGCCTGCGAATCTTCCGTCTTCATGAATAACCCTTTCTCAAGGGACCCCAAATCGCGCCAGCGCTCAAAACCCCGGCGCGTGGAAAGAGCACGCATAAAGAATCACCTGAAAACAATACAACAAGAACCACACCACCAACACCACCAACCCAGCACATTCAATACAGAAACCCACGAACCCGACCTCCTACAAAGGTACCCAACCTACACCCCCCTCCCCCTCTCAGGGCGATTCCCTAACCAACCCAATCCCAGATTCTTCTCCCTTCCCCCCGAACTCCGCAACCATATCTACCGCCTCCTCCTCGTGCAGCCCTGCAAATGGGATATGCGCCATTTCCCCAATCTAACCTGCACCCCAGTCGCTTTCGACAACCCGGGCCCCAGTACACACTGGTTCCCCCGCTATTGCAACAACAGCTACGTCTGCGCCGCATGCCACTGCGCCAGCTGGCTCTGGCGCGCCAGAGTCCCCGTGGTCGTGTCCCCTCTACGAAGCGTGTGGGCACCTGAGCCCACGAACCCGTTCCTGTGCGATAACTGCTACTCGGAGAAGATACGCGCGAAGAGAGAACTTCATCCGCGGTTACGACTATTGAAGTGTTTATGCGTGAGGCGCGAGAATCTGCATATTTTTCTGATTAATAGGCGGTTTTATGATGAGGCGTCGCGCGTGTTCTGGACGGAGAATACATTCGCGTTTGAGAATCTGGTTATTATGGCTGATTTTCTAGAATCGATACGTCCGCAGACGAGAGATATGATCACCAAGATCTCCGTGGTCGCGGATCCAGATGGGGGGAGTTTAGAACCGGTATTGTCGAGAGATGTCCTCAGGGGAATGTACTGGTTGAGACAGTGTCGCGGGCTAACGGAGTTGGAGCTAGATGAGTGTTTCCTGGAGAAGATGTCCTGGGTCTTGAAGGTCAAGAATGTGACGCCTAAAACGCGGGTCCGGTTTATTCGGTATGAAGAGCTCAGTCGGTCGGCGTTTCTGGGGGATTGGTGTCCGCCCGTATGGAAGATTCTGAAATGTCGGAAAGATTCCCAGGATCCGGTGGCGGAGAAGTTGGCAGCTAGTATGGTCAGACAGAGGCCGTTGACGAACAAGGCTGTGAGAGCGCTGTTTAAGAGGTTTAGGGGGTCGGATGGAGAGGTCGTGCGCGAGGATGACGAGGAGAGTTATTGATAATTAGTATGGGAAATACCTGCGTCAGTTGAACACAACGAAGGCAGCTCGAGTTGCCCTATACGCAAGGAGTAGGTTGGTGCATCTCAACCTATTCTAACCACAAATAACGTTTCGAGAGGGTCACAGTTACAAGTCTAACTGTGCGAAAAGAACTTCGAGCCCCTAACGTCATTAAAACTGGCAGACGCTTTATTAAGCGCAGGCCCTTCCAGGTTAACATGTATATCATTATCGAGACTACCTCTGTAGGCCGGAATCTTACAAGCACAAGCCAACAAGAATACTTTACCTGCTTAACCCCTACCAAGAAGACTCAATCGCTTAGCAATGTCCAAGCTATTCTCCCGCCGCTCTTTGGCTCGTAGTATGTCGCAGGCAGTCCCATCTCCTTTAGTCGGCAGGCTACTGAAGATAGACACACATCATCATTCCGTGCCGGACTTCTACGCCAGAGGTACATCATCTCCTTGATACCCACAGACCAACAATCTCTAACTCTACGTCCAGCGGTCCAAGATGCCGGCGGCGACCCATTCGGCTGGCCCACGCCCTCATGGAACGTCACATACTCCCTACAAAACATGCGTATCAACGGCATTAAAAAGGCAATACTATCCTTCAGCCCCAGGCCCAGCTATCGCCTCTAACAACCAGTCCATTCGGGCCCTCGCTCGCCAAGCAAACAAATACGCCGCCTCCATCCGCGACCAAAATCCAGGGCACTTCGGCTTCTTCGCTTCCTTACCCTCTCTCCTCGACACGGACAGCGCTCTCGCTGAAATCCAATACAACCTGGACATCTTACGCGCCGACGGCGTCTCACCCGCTACGGTGCCGGAAACTACTATCTGGGTCATCTAAGCTTCACCCGGATCTGGGAGAAGGACGCGCGAGAAACTATCGCTTTCATACACCCTACGCACCCCGTCGATACGACCCGAGCAAATCCCCTCCTTGCCCTCCCCGCCATCGACTATCCGCACGAGACGACGCGCACAGCGGTCGACCTGATCATAAACGGCATTACGGAGCGGTTTCCCCGCTGCCCGCGGATCATATCGCATGCGGGCGGAACGCTACTGTATTTGATTTCCAGACTAGTCGTCACGACCGAGGAAACAAGACATAGTAAGCCCCTATTCGGAACGGAGAAGACTTCCAAGGAGTTGATGGCCGGGTTTCGGTCGTTTTATTATGATCTTGGGTTGTCGAGCGCGCCGGGAGTGTTAACCTGCTGTTGGGTTTGGTGCCGCATGAACATGTTCTATATGGTAGGTGGTGTTTGGCGCGATATTTTCTCTGCTTTTCGGTGCTAATGATTTCTCCTAGGCTCGGACTTTCCGTACGCTGAGGTAGATAAAATTGTTAGGTTTAGGGATTCCTTAGACTCGTATTCTATAGAGGATGAGTTGCGCGAGAAGATTTATTCTCGGAATGCTGAAGCCTTATTCCTTATTCTCTCGCAAGATGGGATAAGCCTATAAATCTACCCCGAGATAGTTCTTTTTGACGACAAACAGCGCCATGTCAAGAATTGAGTGTCTTCCCCATACTTTAACACCCGGGGCAAAGTGCATGACGTCATGACAAAGGATTGGCGCGATGAGCAGACGGGAAATTGGATGCCGATCGAAGTTCTTCATAATTTAACTCGAGGATCTTCATATGATTGATCTTCCATAAATCAATTGACTATAGCTGAAAATTTCTGCACCCCCTGAAGCACCGTAACACCGACAACAAAACTCCCTGGTACCTCGCCTAATCACACACCAACACCAACGCTCTCAACACAACCCAATCAAACTAACTCTATGCGACCAAAACGCCCCGGTATCTCATGTGCCCATCGTTCAATGTCTTCAAACACTCGGTCGCGCCGTCGGCGGTCAACGGATAGGTCATCTTGATCGGCTTGATGCCATGGAAAGCCGCAAACTCCAACATATCGCGATGAACCTGGCGCGACGAGACGATGGATCCCTGCACACGCAGTCCCTGACCCAACAGCGTCATATACGGGAACTTGAACTCATCCATAGAGACACTCAGCGGCGAGATAACAGCGCCAGCATCCAAAACAGTCGTATACAAATTCCAGTCCGGCTGGGCACTCGTCGTAACAATCAAATGGGTCAATTTATTCCCAATCTTCAACTCCTTAGCCCCCTTCGTCGCGTAGAACTCAGAAGCGCCCAACTTCAACGCCTCGTCGCGTTTACTATCCGTCCCCGAAAACACCACCACCTGGCATCCCATCTTCGCGGCAAACTGAATCGCCAAGTGTCCAAGGCCGCCGATACCCACGATGCCCACGCGCGACGTCGACGTCACCCCAGACACATGCATGGCATTATACACCGTCGAGCCACCACACATCAGCGGCGCCGAGTCCTCATTGCTCAGACCCTCAGGGATCTTAAAGAGGAAAGCCTCGCGCCAGATGCCGTGCGAGGCGAACGAGCCCTGATCGGTATTGGCGCCCGCGTACATCTTGCGATCCGGACACATCGTCTCCCATCCTGTGAGGCAGTGGGCGCAGTATCCGCAGCAGTCATGCTCGTAGCCCCAGCCCACGCGGTCGCCTTTTTTCAGGAACTTGACGTCTGGGCCGGTTTGTTCGACGATGCCGGTGCCTTCGTGACCGAGTGCCATGTCCGCTTGCTGGTAGTGGAGGTCGGTGCCGCAGACGCCGGAGTGGGTGACGCGGACGAGGACATCGTCGTGCGAGAGGTCGGGGCGGTGCGTGGTGGCTTTTTTGATGGATCCGTCGCTGGAGCCTTTGTAGACGGTGAAGTCGAAGCCCATGGTGATTATTGGTTTTAAGGTTGGAGGTGTAGATTGGATTGAATGGTATCGATCGCTTTTTGTTAATCGGGGTTCAAGATCGTTTCATGGGAGCTGTGATTTATGATTCATTTAATATTTATAGTTCCTCGCTGTTTCCATGATGTCACTGGAATGCTTCGGATATCGAGGAACCCTAATCCTGCACTTAACGTCATGCGGTGGATTCTGGTCCCCACGAGCAGTTTTCCGTCGTCCAGTCAATTGATCCAGGGTTGCAACTTGCAGCTAGTTACAGTTCGAGCTAGATTTAAAATTCCTCAGCCGCGGCAAGCTTTGGGTCTGGAATCGGAATGCATGTCGTATCACTTGCCTAGGTATGTTGCTGTTGTTTCATCCCTCCCTCGCTTCCAAAGGATACCGCACTTTTTCTTTCTCGCCACTATGAGTAAGGTGCACAGTGCCATGTGAACTTGTTCCAAGCAAGAAACACCCTCCAATTCAATTGCAATTATCTAACCAACAGTAAAACTCAAAATATTCAATTATTCATACAGATCAACCAACCGCCCCCAATCACCCACTAGTCACACTGTAGATCAACCCATCTACTACCCACACCCAATCCAACCCAGCCCAGCCTAGTCCAGTCCAATCCAGACCGACAGATCTAAACATGATGAAACCTCCGCATGCGCATAGTAGTAGCATTACCATGGAAGCTCGAGCTCATCCCCTTCCCCAACCCCGCAACCAATTTATCCCCCAACGCAGTAATACTCTCCTCGAACTCCTCATAGCTGCCCGCATCCCACTTCGCCTCATCACCCGGAACAGCCTCCTTTCCAGAGAACGCGATATACAACACATCCTTCTCATCATGCCCACTGTCCCCATTCATATCCTCCCCAAAGCAAGCCGTCGCAGTCGCAAGACTAGCTTCCCCAACAAGCGGCTTGCCATCGTCACCGTTCGTATCGCCCCAGATACCGTAGATCAGTTTTCCGTTGCACACGACCGCCACGAGAGATAGGGGCTCGACGCCATGCGCACGGGGGTCAAACGTCGGATCGTAATCCCCCTCGTTACCCAGCACGACATACGGATGAATATACGCATTCAGATCCTTAATCCCATGCTTCGAGGCTTCGTCTTTAAAAGCCGTCTGGCCCTGCGTGTCCTTCGAACTGCCGCAGCGGCCATCGCCTGAGGTTTGCTCGCCATCGCAGTCGATGTCCATGTTCACGAGCTCTTTGCCGGGGCCCTTAAGGTAGAAGCCCTTGTTGCCCATGGATCGGCTACAGTAGCTGTAGGAGGTCGGGCCTTCGTCGGTGTCATGGAAGCCGCCTTGCAGGAGGTCGGAGCCAGAGCAGTCGCCGGCGTTTTTGACGTGCGAGTAGAAGGCGGCGACGTTGGCGGGGATTTCCTTGGCGAGGACGCCGGTGGTGGTGCTGAGGAGGAGGGACAGCGAGGCTGTTGCAAGGGTTTGTTTGAGGTGCATGGTGGTGGTAGTGGTTTTTTGGTATGTAAGTGAGTGAGTGAGTGAGTGATTAAATGAAAGAAAAGGAACGACGAAGCAATTGGCCCGCAATTGTACTGATATAGGAGATTGGAAAGAGAATGTTTGATGATGAGATAGATTCTTGACAACCGGGGGATCTGTCGAGCTTTATATCCTCGTCGAGACCGTTGATCGCCGTCGCTGTCACTGTGCCCGACCCATCAAGTCATCGTATCGACCAGTAGACTTGGGGCCAAGATTCTGCGATTCAAAGAGAGAGGGGCCCGTAGACCTGTCATTGCAAGATTGTGGATACCGACCCGACCTAGAATGCCCCCATCGTAAATTCTACGTAGCGCCACCGATAGCCCCGAAACGTCGCTGGGTGAGAAGAACAAAGAAGGGGAGAATCCTATCCATTCAAACGCCTCTCGCTACCTCATCCTAGAAGACTAGTCCTCGGCAGCCATGAAACGCCTCCCGCTGAAACAGTCCTCGTATCTCATTTGATGAAGTATATCGAGGCGATATAATTTCCACCACCAACTCAACCAACGGAACACCGAATATATTCAATCACTCAGTATTGATTTTGTGGTGACTTCCGTACACTGTACCTACAAGAGCCTGTTTCATCTACAGACAAAGAAAGGCGGCAACAGGAACAGGACTAGTCGATCTGGGGCCAAAACGGAAACTATTTTTTTTGGACCCTCGCTTACGGTGTTCACGAAGAGTGTGTTTAGACCAGTTCCCCAATTCGGGTGGTACTTTGGCGCCGACAGTCCGTGAACATCTGATTGATATCTCCTATCGACAGCTGACTACTAGCCGGTTGCCTTCTCCGTCAGCAGCAACTGGTACTAAATAGCCCTGTGGACCGGCGGAATACGGGGAGTGCAGATTTGGGTTGTGGCGGGTGTTTCAGGAGAGGGCAAGTACGAAGTATAGATTGGCTATTGCTCAGTGGGATAAAAATAGACACCGCGCGGAAAAATTTGCCTGCAGACTGCAGTGAGAATTGAGCAGAAACGACAACTAGCACAAACGGAGGAGAAACAGTCCCGGTGGGCTAGAATTGGGGGCGGATCAGGATCAACCCACAGGGACCGCCATCCGTGTCCGTGGCTGGAATTCATTTCATTGGGTGATTCTAGGCCCAGAAACAGTTAAGAACTGAAGGGCGGTTCCGGAATGCTTATTGTTTAGATTAATCTCCTAGATGCTGACGGTTCGTGGCCTGTCAGTTTTCCTCGTGGTGGAGACTAAACGGAGTCTGGGGGCCGAAGCGTCGAGGGGAGGTAGGGCTGGTCTGGATGGGTTAGCGATCGTCAGGTTATTCTGGAACCTGTTTCCGTTTTTATGCTAGCTGGTTGTTAAATTATTGCTAGCGAAACGCATCGTTCAACTCCGTGCCTATTTTCAATCTACTGAGTAGTCTAGGAATCAAATTCGGCACCGGGGGCGGACAGGTAGCTTATTTCTCACCATCGGAGGCGTTTATCTTCCGTGATAGTCTGTTTCTCTTGAAACTCGTCGATCAATGCAATTCATGGTATGGCACGGTTTATGACCTTCCTTCTCATCGCGGGCCAAACACGAGTCTGGCAGGTGATCCTCATCCGAGATAATGAGACAAGCTGCCAGGCGCAGAGTCGGGGGTGTATCCGGTCCGGTGTCAAGTGTGGTAGTATTCTTGACACATGATCGGATTATAGTTTTTCGGTCATGTCGATCACTCTACCTCAGACAGTTAACGTTTCCTCGTGGATGCTGCCTGGTGGTGGCGCCGAGTTCGCCGAGTTTACCGTTCGGCGATGTTGCTCGTGTTCTGTACTGTGAGTCCTTTTCTTTTGACTGTTAGGGGGCTTTCGACATTGAGTCTACTGCTTTGATATTATGATCTGTACGATCACAATGGGAGACAAATACAGGAGTAACTGGTCCTTGTAGGTTGACGAGATGATTACAACCGATGCTATGCTGTGCTTCTGGCTGACCCCTTCCAGTCAACGGTGGAAATAGAATACTATGCTCACACTATTCGATGACTTTGCTTTCGCTCTGGACCTATCTAATGTTTGCGGTCTTCTATGCTACTGGCTGGAATAAGCTTTTCACAATAAGTGTGGTTCTCGTTTTCAAGCCCTTATCTATCCAGAATACGAGCATGTGAGTTGTCCATTTATAGTATTGGCTTTCCGCCTGGTAAGTCTCAGCGCTGAGCTTGACTGCGAATTTGTTGGCGCTAAAATCTACCTTATTAACTCGGAGAATTTCCAGTCGGGTTCGCAATCAACTCCATCAGATTCCTGCTAACCGCCCGAGGACGTGAGGATTTTATTCTGGCCTGAGATTATGTTTGCGTAGGGGTCGAAAGACAAATCAATATGTAGAACACTGTAGCGATACCTATATGCCTATGGTAATGTGCGCTGAGTCTGAAGCTACATACCCATAGTCTCTTGGCTAAGACTGCACAACAATTGCGTGCCCTCAGGCCAGTACATCTGGGGTGTGGTGAGAGATATATATTTGAGTTCAGCAAGGCAGCGGTGCATTATGCCAGATGCCGTGTTCGTTGGCAACGGTAGGGGTGAAGTGGTCGTGGTCGGAAGATATCATAGCCATAATGTCCACGGATTCAAGGCCATCCGTGTATCCCATGAGGTGAATCACCATCTGGATAGATCAGATCTACTCTGCTGCCTGCAGTGTTCGGCCCGGAGGAAAAATGCCAAGACTGTCGGGCCGGGGGATTCTCGGACGGAACGAATTGCGTTCAACCAAGTGGGACTGTTTTCCACTCCCGGCACCAATGGCAGGCCGCATCCGGATTGTGGCGAGTGTTGATTGGTCCGCTGCATCCCGACCCAAGGTGCGCCAAGACCAGCCTTACCAGATCGAGGGACCGCGGGAGCGTGACTAATACGACCCTAAGGCACCCAGGCCACCGTCGTTACGTCGGACGGTCCACGTTGAAAACTGTCTCGCTCGCCGCAAGCGTCAGTCTCCTTTACCTGTTCAATCCACTGGTTCACTGCAAGACTGGAACGTAGTCCCAAAGTACATAAAGTACCCGCCGGTCATCCAGCAACCATGAACTGCCCCTCTCGCACCGACGACACCCTGGAGCACGACGAGTGGAACCAGAATCCACCCTCTCTGGCCCCGGATCTCACTACTCGCCAAGACCTGAATGGCATCTCTAATGTCCGCGAACGTGAGGACCATGGGGGTTTGACCGGAGTATCGTTCGCCTGCTTTGACGAGGCAGGAGGCACGCCGATACATCCAATCGACCCTGAGAAAAAAGCATCGTCCGGGCTTGGGGCGTCTCTGACTCAGTCAGGTATGTGGATGGCATCGCGGAGGTTGATCGTGCTAACGTATATCGACAGAACGCCCCGTTTACCTTTTGACCGGCGGTGCTGGTCAGGGGAAGCCCCCGAGTACTATTCACTCAATGCCTCAGACCCTGCAAGGCTGGGCAGTATGGCTGCTGTCGGTTCTATTCACCGCAGCCCTTATTTCTCATGACACTATCTTGCGATATGTGTACTCTTTGCGATCGCCTCCTACTGAACTTGAACCATTTGAACCAGGTAAGGTATCCTCCTGTAAATTCCATCCAATGTCCTCTGACCAAAGTAGTCGAACGTTCCTACGACATGCCCCTTCCAAAACGGGACTCCTGCGCCTCCAACAACGTGAAAGGAAGCCAGTACAACACCCCTCTGCACGTCGCTGCCCTCTTCATCATCTTATCCGTGTCCACCCTTGCCTGCGTATTCCCCGTGCTGGCCACCTGGTCCCCTCGGATGCGCATCCCCGCTTCGTTCCTCTTCTTCGTCAGCCACTTCGGTACCGGCGTCCTGATCGCCACAGCCTTTGTGCATCTCCTGCCAACGGCATTCCAGTCCCTCAATGACCCCTGTCTGTCCAAATTCTGGACTTCCGACTACCCCGAAATGCCCGGCGCCATCGCCCTGGCCGGCATCTTTCTGGTGACGGTCATTGAAATGGTCTTCAGTCCGGCCCGCCACTGCTGTCGCGTCGGCGTTGGCGAACAGCCCGCTTTCATCTCGGGCGGCGAGACCGAGAAGGGCCCTTCCATGCCCCAGATCGACGTCACCGATCATTCGACTGACCCGGAAGGCGAGCGAGACGTCTCGCAGACGCAATCGCAAGGCCAAGATCTGGCGCATCTTCGTGACATGGGTCCGCTTGTGGGCCGCTCGTCTAGCATGAGCCGCGCTATAAACCGCATGGGCGAAGACCCGGAACGCATCTGTCGCATTTCCTCGACCCCCGAGGATCCGCAAGGCTACCAGTCGCAGCAGCCGCCCCAGCAGCCTAAAGTCGAGGCCATCGCTCAGGATGCCGAGCGTAATGCCTACAATGACAGCACAGACGACGCACAGACGCTCAATCCGCAGCAGAAACACAACAAGGCCGTGATGCAGGTGTTCCTGTTGGAGATGGGAATCCTGTTTCATAGTGTTTTTATTGGAATGTCGCTTAGTGTCTCGGTGGGGAATGAGTTTGTTATTCTTTTGATTGCGATCGTTTTTCATCGTATGTCCATCCCTCTTCCTTCCTTTCTATTTTTTCCCTGTCTTCTCGGTACAATCTCCTTGAAAGATGGTCGCTGACTCCACGGATGTACTTTTAGAATCCTTTGAAGGCCTCGCTCTCGGCTCACGCATCGCCGCTCTCGACTGGCCGGAAAAAGCCCCCCAGCCATGGCTCATGTCCTTGGCCTATGGATGCACGTACGTCTACCAACCCTATTCCCCAAACGTTTCCCCATGCCCCACTGGCCTCCCAGAATCTTTCCTCCCAATAAACAAACCCACCCCTCTCTCTAACCAAAAAACGAAACCCAGAACCCCAATCGGCCAAGCCATCGGCCTGGCCACACACACGCTCTACAGTCCAGACTCGGAAGTCGGTCTCCTGCTCGTCGGCACCATGAATGCCATCTCGGCTGGCCTGCTCATCTTCGCTTCTTTGGTGGAGCTGATGTCTGAGGATTTCTTGTCCGACGAGAGTTGGAAGGTCTTGAGGGGCCGGAAGAGGGTTTATGCTTGTTTATTGGTGTTTGGGGGTGCGTTTTGTATGAGTTTGGTGGGGGCTTGGGCTTAATCCTTCTCCTCTCTTGTGGGAGTATGGGGCTTGAGTGGGGTGGATGATTGTCTGCGTGAGACATTGTGTGTGTGTGTGTGTGTGCGTAAAGTTTGGAGGAAGGGATATGGAGAGGAGAGGAGAGGAGAGGAGAGGAGAGGGTGATTGTTGAAGATGGTTGTGGAAGACTCGTGGTATTTCTATGATGATGATGGTGATTTTGGTGCGCCGATAAGACCTACAAGTCGAGAAGGAAGTGCAGATAGCTGGCTAGGAATACGTGTGAGTACTGGATGGGGAGGTGATCATGTATATAGAAGGTTTCTGGACATAGTTCTCGTGAGTTTAAGTGCAGATACTCAAGATAAATAGTATAACTATACGTGATGTCATACATTCCTCTTTTTGTTTAATCCAGCCTCCTATCTAATGATCTGATTGTGAACCTTCAATTAGGCATTGATCTGAAACATCTAAAATATCGTATTAGGTTGTGTAATCTAGAAGGATGTCTATGTCTATCGCTTTAAATGCATCACCTCAGAATTCCACGCCGGGTATCCATCTATCCTCAACACCATACATAACCATTTTCCAAATCCTCACCACTTGAAGAAAGCTCACTCCGATCTTGCACTCTTAGTCTTCTTACTTCTCAGCTTCATCATCAAAAACACCAACGCATACGACGTGATACAAAACAACGCCGTAATACCCGTCTAAAACACATCATGATCAGCATTCATCCAACAATCAAAATCAACCCCCAAACACACCACCAGGAGGGGAAATGGGAAAGGGAAAAGGGAAAAACTCACATCCCTCCAAGAATAATACCTCTCTAGCAAATTGAACCCCTTCGCATAATCCGCTCCACTCGTATACTTACAAAACGCACACTCCCCACCCGTGGCCGTATTCGCAGCATCAACCAAATACCCCGTTCCCCTTTGAATAAAATCCCCCATATAGTCGGAACAAGTCATATTATCCGGCGCACTGAACCGGACTAATTCATCAGCCTGACACTTGACATCCACGTCCCAGAGCACTTCGCCGAGAAGACCGCCGACTAGATACGTGAACGGGTCGAGGTAGTAGAGCCAGTAGCGCCAGAAGGGCTGCATTTGGGCGTAGGGGACCACGACGCCACAGAAGCTGACGAGGCCTGCGCCGATGAGAACTGGGTTCATGATTGCGGCGAAGTATTCGTTGGGTGCGTAGGCCGCGATGGCTTGGCCGATTGAGGTGTAGAGGAATTCGTAGACTTTGTTTTCTCTTGGTTAGTGCTGCGAATTGAGGGAAGCGGAAAAGAAGGAGAAAGGAAGAACATACAGATCATTTGTAGATACACATGTCCTGAGATACTGGCTTGTACGGGGAATCCAGCAGTGAAGTACCAACAGGCGAAGTATAGCGTGGCGCAGAGGATCAGGTAGGGAATTTCGGAGACGGCTTGGGCGCCGATGAAGGCGAGCCAGTGGTAGGTTTTGGACTGGATGGTGTTAGTATCCTCTATTTTTATTTACTTTCATGAGCTGAGTATTTGGTAGACTGGTATACCTTCTTCTCTCTCGTCTCGAATATATCTCGATTATGTAGGAAGAACGGCTGCATCTGGTTAATGCACCCGGGAGCCACGAAGATGAAGTTAAAGATTGCAAAGAGACGAAGTTGCAGCGCGAATGTGCCGTCGCCGATTTTCCAGAACGTGAAGCCGCTGAACAACGCAGCAAAGACATGCAGGATGATTTTGTTCCACATGTAATCCTGCATTCTTAGACTTAGCTCCAAGGTCTGCGCTTCAAGGGGGTATAGGGTGTGTTAAGTGCACATACCGGCGACCGCCACAACTGAACCATAATCCTCTTCAAAACTATCTTGAACTGGAACCAGTGCGAAGTAGCAAAGTCCGATTGATCCTCTTCCTCGTGATGGTTTACCTTGCTTTCCCTGTTCAGGGCTTCCAGTTCCTCGACTGCGCGCGCCCGTTCCTCGGATTGACTCCAGACGTCGACCCAGTCGATCTTTTCTTCCGTGTTGCCTTGGATGACCTCGACGATGTGTTCGGCGGGATTGGCGTCGGGCGCACAAGGGGCGCCGTTCTTGCCGAAGTAGTCGAGGACTTTGGTGGAGTCTTTTCCGGCTGCGTTTGGTTAGATTGAGAATGTTGACAAGTGGTAGGAGAAGACTTACTCTCGCCGAAGTAGGCCATTTTGCCGCCCTTAGCAAGAAGAAGGAGGGAGTCGAAGGCTTCAAATAGCACGGCTGAGGGCTGGTGGATTGTGCACTGCGACTGTTAGATCGGGTTTGTCGTGGGAGAAGGGATACGAACCAGAACCGCCTGTCCACCGTCGACCAGCTTTCGCAGGAATCGAATGATATTGTACGCAGACTGTCCGTCAAGACCGGATGTAGGCTCGTCGAGGAAGAGAAGGGTCGGTTTGGCGACCAGTTCAACACCTAGCGTTACTCGCTTGCGCTGCTCGATGCTGAGACCGGCTCCGGGGACTGGTTTCGATATCAGTACGTTGTCCATCCTAACAATGCAAGTGACTTACCTCCGATTAAGGCGTCCTGGATATCGCTCAACTCGAGCAGTTCAATAATATGATCCACATACGCCAATTTCTCTTCTTCAGGAACAGCCGCCGGCTGACGCAGTAGGGCCGAAAAGACCAGCGCTTCTCGAACAGTCGCGCTGGATTCGTGCACGTCCATCTGTTCACAGTAACCCGTTGTTCGCTGAAAACTAATTCCCTGCGGACGGCCATCGATCAGAATAGACCCGTAGATCTCCCCACTATCCTTTCGCTGCGCCAACACATCAAGCAGCGTAGTCTTTCCAGCCCCGGACGAACCCATCAACGCGACCAGATTACCCGGCTTCACGAACCCAAACACCTGATCCAACAGCTGCTTCTTCTGGCCATGGAACGGAACATGGTAGTCGAGGTGATTCCACGAGAAAGTCGACTGTTTGGCCGTCTTGCTCAGTGCCGCAGCAGTCGCAGCCTCTGACTTTTGTTTGACCTGCGGATTTTCTTCATCATCCTGCTTCGTCTTCTTATCGCCACTGCTGCCTCTCTTATACAACAGCACCGACGACCCGCCCTGACTATTCCGCATTTCGAACCCAACAGCAGTCAAGAAGATATAGAAAGCCCACATCCCGACAATGACACCAAAACTGCGCCAGATATGATGCACCGAGTAACTGTACTGTTCGCGGATATACGCCGCTCCATCGATGACTCCGTCCTCGTTACTTCCTAGCACAGCACATCCTTTATTCGACGACGCAGCGTCCCCATAACCCGCCCCGTAGGGGATATAATCCGGCTCGACGCACTGAAGCTGCAAACCGACGAATTCATTCGCCATGAGGGCCTCAAAGGCATACGAGCCGGGATTCAAGTAGAAGATCCATCGGAACCAGACATGCATCTTCTCAAAGGGAATAAGGTAGCCGCCGTACACGAAGAAGACTGTTGACAGGAGACCCGAGATCTTGGATGCGTTGCCGAACTGTTTGCATAGCGCGCCGACGGACCGGAATAGTTGCATGAAACAGAGCGTCTGGGCAATGACGATGATCCAGAATGTGAAGAAGCGGCCGGCGTTCATTTGGAGGGCCGACATGAAGTAGAGAATTAGCGAGAAGCAGGATACTTGGACGATCACGATGGGGATGTCGGTGATGGCGTTGGCGATGCAGAAGGCTGTGGGGCGGTAGAAGCCGAAGCGTTTCTGGCGGGAGAGGATCGGGCGACCCATGAAGGAGCCGGTTGTTTCGGAAAGAGACTCGAGAAGGAAGTAGAGGACTGGAAAGTATAGAACGCCAGGGCGCAGGAAGATCGAGCTGCTGTCGAGTTTGAGATTGTAGAAGAGACTGCCGCAGACGAGGGCTTGGAGGATGGCTGAGACGATTTTGATGCATAGGGAGAGCTTGTCGCCGAGCATGATTTGAAATTGTCTGGACGGTTAGTATTGTGCGGTCGGTGTGTGTAGATGGGAGTACTCACCGGATCGTGCAGGCCACAATCTGACTCCATAGACTGGCGGTATACGGACTCTGCGGACGAGGGAGATGTTTCTTCCTCTTCTCGCTCGCCACGGCTATGGCCAGGTCTTCCTCTTCGTGCGTCAGTTTCTCCGGCGGATCAATCGACTCCATGGCCTGCGCATAAATCGGGCTGGCGTGGAACCGAGCCTCAAATTCCTCCGGCGTATTGGGGACCTGGTGCTCCATTCCTGGTTGCACGATGCGCTCCGTCACCACCGTCACCGAAGTCAGGAAATCCGCAATATTCGCACCCTTGGGCACAATGAATCCCATATCCTCGAAGTATAGGCGCGCCAGACTCCGCGGACCGTAGTAAGTGACTCGCCCGTCTGCCAGGACCAGGATCTTATCGAACTCGTCGTAGATGCCATTGCCGGCCTGATACATCGTCGCGACAATTGTCTTCTCGTTCTCACTGGCCTCGCGACGCAGCATTCGCGCAAACTCAACCGCCGTCTTCGAATCCAGACCACGCGTCGGATTATCCCAGAATTGAACCGGACTCTGTAATTTATCAGTATCATCCCAGCCACATATCGCATCTCGCGTAGACAAGCCAGAAGAGATATAACATACCTGACCAGCCAGAACCTCCGCCAACGAAACCCTCTTCCTCTCACCCCCAGAAACGCCACGAATAAATTCATTCCCGACCAAAGTCTTCTTCGTATGAGGAATACCCAGTGAGCCCAGAATGCCGTCCCTCGTTTCCTGCACATAGTCTTTCTCGTTCTGGAGATGTGCTGGTCTCTCGCGAGGCGCTTTATTGCGCAGCGCGAACTTCATCGTCCGGTTTACTGTCAGGGTCGGGAAGTGCGCATCGTCTTCGTCGTTGAACATGATCTGTTGTCGGAATCGTTGCGCCGATTTGTGGTCCATGCTGCCGTAGCGTGTTTCGCCGAGTACTTCCTCGAACGTGGTACGGTCGTTGGAGAGGACGCGGAGGAGCGAGGTACAACCTGAGCCGGGGCGACCGAGGACGAGCATCTAACGAGGAGAGGAATTTAGTTGGTTCTGACCTGGGTTTGGAGGAATGGAGGAGAGAAGAGGAGAGATACCATTTCGCCGGGCTTGACTTGACCGGTTACATCTTTGAGGATTGTCTATTCTACTTGTTAGTCTTTCTTAAACTGATATAGGGGGTATTAAGATAGTATTTACCCTCTTTGGCCGCTGATTCTTCTTGAAGATATTCAAGTACTGGCGTGGATCGGCGACGGAGAGCAGCGTATCGCCCAGCGCCGCGTCAGGCGCGGTAACGCGGACGTTGACATCACGGAACGTCAGTGTCAATCTCTTGCGGATCTGCTGGTTGACGCTTTCCAGATCGAGCGTCCCTGAGGAGGAGTCCATTGTGCTTGTTGCTGTCTAATGATTTGGGATTAGTATATAGCCTCACATTGATCACGTATGGGACTAACTTACCAACCAGATCACCAAATAACTCTTCTCAGCACAATGAAAGCTTGATCATTGACAACTGCTGCCTTGCGCACCTTATATATCACCCATCATTCTCATTTCCCCGGTGAGCTCATAAAAGGAGACCCGTTATGCCGTGCAGGCTCTTACATCCGTAAAGCCGCATCGCCGCATCTCCGAAGACCGTATTGCCGGACCCACTGTATCATTTTCTGCCAATTAAATCCATGTTTTGGAGAGCGGAATTCACCCGCGGAAAGCTTCCCTCGAGAATGCGGATATATTAGAAAGCGGGTCTGTCGAGGCCCGGAGAAAGTTGCCTGCCTGAACAACATCTCAGGTCTATTTGCACAGCATCTGCCTAGCTAAGAAAGCGGTATATACAAACTATATGGTAGAATCTATATTACTATTATAATTCTATACTTGATGTTTACTATATAACTGTTCTAACTATTCCTCTTTCCTATATATTTAATAGCTACTCAGAAGTACCAGGAAAAAAAGAGATAGATCTTATAATTCCCAATGATCCGAATCTAAACAAATACTCACCCCTAATTCCAAAGAAAGTTGCGAAGTATAATGTTGTAATAGTGGAATAGACTGCTTTCTAAATCAGTAGGTGTTGTACAGATAGGCAGCTCCGGCCCCGAGTCTGAATGGGTGGATAGAGGCAGTTGCATCGAATGGATCCAGATGATAAACGGCAAGCAAGGTAGGTCACTAAAACTTGTTCAGGTACCTCTCACTTTCCGCAAGATACCGTTCCGCGCTGAAGTTCTGCGGAAGTATCTTTTCTCCCCCTGCCAACATTTGTGATAATGCTCTTCTCCTTTGCCCTGACAGTTCTCGTGCCAAACACTTATATGCAACCGCCAAGTTCACTATATGCCGCACTCATCAATCGACATGGAAACAAGGATATATCGTCGCCTGGAATCATATCCTTGAGTCTGCGTAGTGTTTTCATTAGGGTTGGCTTCCCTGCTTCAGCTTTTCCAGATCACATAAATTGCTACTATTGTCGCTGACTATCCGAGTGCTTAGTAGCCCCCGAACCACCAAGGGACTGATCTAGACAGATCAAAATGTCATGATTTCTTTACCTTCTACAGAACATACCTCACATAGTGGCCGCCGTCCAAAGGTACAGTGCCCCAAGGTGAACTCCACCGAAGCTATTTGCGGATGCCGTGCCTCAGGCAAGAACAAAAACACTTTTTCGGCCTGCGTAACCGTAGCGCGGATTACAACTGGATAGCAGACATGTAGAAGTTGGAAATACTGGGTCTGATATCTGCAGTAACTTGTGATTCCACTAGCTGGACAGGAATTATTTGTCGTTAAAACGAGCAAAGGAAGCCATATGTTCTGAGAGCAAGTCTCGACAAGAAGAACTTCTTCTCTTCTTTGATAAACCCATAGTATAGAGCAACTGGAGGCTAGTGCGGAGATAATTGATAAAGACTAAAAGACTAAGATGCAGAACAAAAAGTTGAATATATGAGAATCGTAAAATAAAGAAAATTTTGATCTTTCTATTAGGCTATCATCATTCAGATGTTTAAGCTCTAATATAGGGAGATAATCTTGAGCAACCATCAGCTTCTATTAATCCCTCTCCCAAGCGTACTAGATACTATTATCTTAAGTCCAAGCCGACTGCTTTGAACTTAATATAAGCAAGTTCCGAAATTCCCTCACGAACAGCCTCACATATGCCGTATCCAGTTACTCAACCTAGAACTAAATAACCACCTACAACCATCACCGGGAAATTTATCCGACACCCTCCTCGCATGTTCAATCGCCTGCAGTCAGACAAAAGACTGAGAAAGCCATGCCGGTCAGAATAAAATCCGCTCCACAGACACAATAAGGCTGAAAGCCAAAACTCCCAGATGAGTATCCAATAACCGCACCCCAGTCAGCAGCAAAACCACCGAGATCTACCGTTCGAGATGCACCTACAGAGAAATCCATTCGACGCTCTGATTCAGCTCTCAAATGCACCTAAACCAAAAGTCCAACCAGCCATGTCTTAAGGGTGGATTCCTAGACCGACCGAAGACAGGGATGCGTGTGGGGGCGAGCCCCGTCAGAAGAAGGGAAAAGATCGACACAGGACCACGTTGTCAGAGTTCGAACCTATTCATTCCCCCTCTCCCAGCCCACAACCTAGACTCCATCCAGCACGGTTGATCGCTACCTATGAACACTATGATAATGACACAAGTGGAGTTCAGCCACGGAGCCATCCGAACCGAACACATTGACCTCCACAAACCGAACCTTCCCACGGTAAGTGTAAATCCTCCGACGTCATTTACAACACAGACCTCGAGGTTAAAAGAACTCTGTCTCGCCGGATTTTGACCCCGTCCTTCTGCTGCTGAGTCCAAGTATTATGTCCCACCCTACTGGCTCCTGCGTCCTTGGCCCGCTGGGGCTTGTCTTGCTGTCCGAATGATCAATGGTTCCTATTTCCCTTTCCGCCCCCTTGGGACTCGGCGCCTCGTATTCAGCCCGCCTTAGCTGCAGGGGCCTTGACCAACGAGTTGGCGGGATGGGAATCGGATTTGAGACGGAGAGAACTGAGTATAGACTACGTGTGTGGGGTTGAGTACTGGTGGGTGTCAATCTTAGGGTTAGGGGGTTAGCCTGGTTAGCCTGTTAGATACGCATGATGTGGTTTAGGGTAATCGCCCCTTGAAGAGATAGAGGGGGGATTATTTTATTTTATCTTATTTTCTTCGGTGCTGTCTTCCGGCTTGAGACTTTCTTTTCTATTCTGATGTGTTGATGTCTACTTACTTAGTCACTCCCTTCTAGGGACAACCATTCATACATTCGTTCCCTAGGTCTATCCACCTACCTATACAACCAAACCCGACAGTCGGACACATACACACACACATACAGACCTACACATCCTCAAGAACAACGCCCACCATGCACAACCACATCCTCCTCTCCCTCTGCCTATCAACCCTCCTAACTCTCACCTCCGCCTCCCAAAAATGCTATCTAATGGACGGGACCTCCGCGCCAACCCTTTCTCCCTGCGAACCCCCCTCTTCCTCCACCAGCACCTCCTCGTCCCCCTCCTCTACCTCAACAACAGAATCAACAACAAAACACTCCGCCTGCTGCCCCCTCCGCCCCACCAACGCCTCCTCTACCGCAATCTGCCTCTCAAAAAGCGGTCTCTGCCTCTCCAGCAACGGCCTAATCTACGAATCGGGCTGCACAGACCCAACCTGGCAAGACAGTGCCTGCCCATTCGTCTGCCCCGACGCGCGCTCAAACTGGAAAGGCAAGGCGCTCGAGAACAGGGACTGGAAACAAGGGCAAGTGGTAGACCATTGGCAGGTGATGACGTGTGCGCCGAAGAAGGTCTGTTGTCGGCGGTTCTCGGGGGGAGAGGGATGTTGTGGGAATCGGTCGTTGTGGATCACGGAGTTTGAGGTTGGGATGCCGAGGTTTCGGGTTTGGGAGGGGGAGGGGGTGGATGAGAGTCTTGATGGGAGTCTTGGTGGGGATGGGGATGGAAATGCGACGGTGACGGGGGGTCGAGGGGGTGCGACTGCGACGGGGAGTTGTGATAGTGAGAGTGCCGGTGCAGAGGGGAAGGAAGTGTGTCGAGAGGCAACGGTGGGTGCGGCCGTTGGGGCACCGCTGGGGGCAGCGTTCGTGGCGACGTTGGCGGCGTTGGCGTGGGCGATACGCAAGCAGAAGATCACCGAGAAGAGGCTAAGGGGGGTGGAAGCGCAGGTGCAGACGCAGCCTCCGAGTCTGGTATCGTCGCCGGGATACTATAAAGAGGACGGGGCACGGCAGGTGCAGAGACTGGGGAATCATGCGGAACTGGATGCGATAAGGCAGTACGAGTTGGATGGGAGGCCGAGTGCATAGCTGGGAATCAGCGATGGTCAACAAGATTTAATAATGAGAAAGAATAGTAAGATAGTATATTCCCGCAAACGCCATAATAATACATTTTTCCTACATATATACAAGTCCAGACACCACGAAAGCAACGCTCTAATTTCACAATCCGACCCAATGCTTCAAACCAAGAACCAAACTCAGCAAACATCGTATATACAATCAGGGTATCACCGTCTATCCGTATCCGTGTCCCTCCCTCGTATCAATCGGTTTATCTTCTCCGAAAGATCATTCGTCTTGTACGGCTTGTGGATGATATCGTCCATGCCAGCCGCCATCATATCGACCTGCTGCGCCTCGCGCACGTTGGCCGTCACACCCAGCACGGGGACGTGGGCTTTCGACTGTCGTTCCATGTCCCGGATCTTGCGCGTTGCTTCGTTGCCGTCCATGATGGGCATCACTTGGTCCATCAACACGCAGTCGAACGAGTACATCTGGACAGCGTCCAGCGCTTCTTGACCGTTGCTGGCCTCGGAGACCTGGAAGCCGAGAGACTTCAGTTTGCGCGAGAGCACCTGCCGGTTGATAACGTTGTCTTCGACCAGGAGGATGTGTCGTGCCGTCGACGAGGAGGAGCCGGTTGCCTGAGAATTCGACCGCGACGATGGACCCGGCGTCTCCGAATTTGATTTGGGCAAAGTAACCACTGTCTGTCCGGACTTGGTCTGTTTTCGGAGTTTGTCTGTGTGCTCTTGTCTGCCGTCACTGTCCGGGGGCGCATCCATCAGATTGGCTATCATCGGGGCCTCGGGAATCTTAGGCTCGATTGTCTGTCGATTGACGCCGGTCAGCTCGTTGCCCAGCTTCTGAATATCGCTGCACAGCTCGTCGATGGCGTCTTTCTTCTGGCGCGGCGGGTCATCCTCTGAGGCGGCCGGACAGCGTCGCACCGTGAAGAAGAATCCGAACGTGCTGCCCCCGCCTTCCTTCGAGCTGACGCCAATCTCGCCGCCGTGGAGATGGCACAGCTTGCGCGACACGTTGAGACCCAGCCCGGATCCGCCGTACATGCTCTCAGTGCGCGGCGTGGCCTGGTTGAATCGCTCGAACAGGCGCTTCTGCGCCTCGTCGCTGATGCCGATCCCGCTGTCCTTCACGGCCACCATGATGTACGCCGCCTCACCCTTGCCCCATTCCGGTCGCGACGTAGCGTCCATACGCAGCGCCGTCTCGTCCGACTTGAAAAACACCACGTCAGGCGGATACGACGCCGGACGCTTCGCCGACGCGCCCATCAACACACGCAGGGTCTTCGAATCGCCCGACTTAGCCATGAATTTAATCGCGTTCGACAGCAAATTAATCAACACCTGGCCCATACGATCCATATCCGCCAGGACCCAATCCATCCCACAGTCCGCATACGACTGATCCAACACATACTCAAAATGAATGCCACGCTTCCTCAACTCCGGCCGAAACATCGTCAACGAGGTCGCGATATCCCGTCTCGGCATGACCCGTCTCGGTGACAACGACAGCATCGACGCATCCAGCTTCGAGAACGTCAACACGTCATCAATAATCTTCTTCTGATGCGCCACACACAACGAGATCGTATCCGCCGCCGTCGCAATATCCGGCACGTCGATATCCGCCTTATCCCGGTTATGGATCGCTTCCAGAATATCCTCGGTGCAGTGCAGAATGGCGGACAGGGGATTTCGCACCTCGTGGCTGATCATATCGATGAATCGCTCCTGCTGCTCCTTGCGGTCTTGCGCCTCCTGCGCGATCTTTCGCTGCGAGAGCTCCGCCGTTTTCTCCTGCGTGATGTCCGCTATCGTGCAGATGAAGCCTCCTCCTTCGCTCCCGCCCTTGCCGCGGCCGGTCCTGTCAGGCGCCAGGTTGAAGTGGTGGAGTTCGGAGCGGGCGAGCGGCGTCAGGACCACAGACCGCCACATGCAGCAGTGGTTGCGGATGCGGTAGTCTTCGCGCAGGGAGCATCGTGAACGTAAAGCGTCGGCGTAGCCCCGTGCGACGCGGTCGTAGTCGTCTTCGTGGATGGACGGACTCCAGCGGTCGAATGTCGTGGGGGCGTGCGAGACGGCGAGTTCTTCGAAGCGGCGGTTCACGAAGATCGACTCGTCGCGGGTATTCAGGATGGCGATTCCGCTGGGTAAGAGGTCGGCGAGTTGTTGAGCTGAGATAGTCCCTGAGAATGGGAGGGCCATGATGGGGGTGGCGTGGCGGGGATGGGTGTGTGAGTGTGGCCGCCGAGATGAGGTTATTCAGTGCTCGTAGTGATAGATCTTTGTACTGTTTTTTTTTTCCCTGGAATATTCTGGGTGAGTTTATTTTTCGGTAAAGGGAAATGGGCGTCGGATGAAGATTACACAGTGTGGGCAGGAGGGTAAGGTTAGAAGGGTGAAACGGACAAGAATCTGAAGATAGACAGACCCACGGATCTGAGGTAGTGGTTATGATGCAATGGGCCAGGGAGGAATGCTGCAGCGACCGGAAGTGAAGAACAGGCAGACCGGATGAACGACAGAGGGACAGAAAGGAACGACAGAGGGAAATGAGTCTAGACTCGTCTGAAGGCAGTCGATCGCTCCGATCTGCTGGGCGGGAGATGCATGACACCATGTGACGTCAACAACCCTCGCCTCCGCTTTTTTTTTCGCCTCACTTTGTCTGCTTTCATCTTTGAAGCCATGTTTGTCAAACGGAGTCTATTGTCACTCTTTCTCTCTCTCTTGCTAAAGCCTTTACTTTTCTCTATCCTACTCGTGATACAGATACTCTCCCCTGTCTAATGCACCCTATTTGCGCTCCTCGGGCACGACAAAATGATACACACCCGGTTCCGCCTTCCGACCCGGCGCATTCTCCGACACGTAGATGCACTTGCGGAACGTCTTGACCAGCGACACGAGGAATCCCTCGTCCTTGGACTCGTGGTAGTTCTGGCCGAGAACCGACTGCATCGCCTTGGTGGCCTCCTCCGCCTTGTAGAAGGGAATGCGGCTGAACAGGTGGTGCACGACGTGGTAGTCGATGATCTCGTGGAAGAAGTGGCGCCCGATGAAGCCCATCGTGCGGTCGACCGTCGCCAGCGCGCCCTTGGTATACGTCCAGGATTCGGGGCTGTAGTGCGGCAGAGCCGAGTCGGTGTGTTGCAGGTAAGTGATGGCGACTGCGGCCGTTAGCCTTGTGTCTCTTCTATCTTGGGGGGGGGGGAATGGTATATGCAAGGGGGAGGAACATGAACATACTCAACCAATGGTGCACCCAGAAATACGGCACGCCGTACAGCAGCGCCACATTCCAGCTGCCGATCTGCGTACTGGCATAGTACAAGATGGAGCCCATGATGATCAGACCGAGATCCGAGAGGGCGATCTGGAGATACTGGCCACGGGTGAAGAGACCGCCGAGCGGGTTGAAGTGGCTGCCCGAACGACCGGGCCAGCTCTTAGTGCCGGCAGTAACGTTCATAATCAGATACAGCTGCCAGCCGAACAGCTGGTGTCCGACAAGCTGGAAGAACGACACGATGGGGGTCTCCTCGGTCAGATGCTTCAGCTGCTCGATGCGCACGTTCTTCTTGCTCGCCAGCTCCTTGTCGGTCCACGGCACGAACACCGTATCCTTCTCCATGTGTCCGGTGTACCGGTGGTGACGGGCGTGGGTAATCTTCCACGAGAAGTACGGCACCATCAGAAAGGAGTGGGCAGCCCAGCCGACGAAGTCGTTGAAGTTCTGGTAGTCCGAGAAAGCGCCGTGGCCGCACTCGTGGGCCAGGATCCAGAGCCCGGTGCCCACGCAGCCTTGGAAGAAGCCATAGGCGGCCCAGGCGAGGACGCGCAGCGGCAGGGACGGCAGTAGGTGGATATGGAAGGCGCCGTAGGTGAGGACGGCGCAGTAGAAGATGTCGCGGGCCAGGTAGAGCAGGGAGGTGACGACGGAGGATTCAAAGCATTCTTTCGGGATGCTGTCCTTGATGGTCTTGAGGTTGGGCACGGAATCCGTAGGCTGTGGTTTTGTCTTGATTGTCAGCGTTTGAAAGTTAAAAGGCCAGGCGGCCAATTAGAGTGGTTAAACGTACCTCCTCGACAGCCTTGACGGTGATGGATCCCCGACGGAGTTCAGTCACGACCGACATTTCCAACTAATCTTGCCTATACCAGGTTTCACAGAAATCCGGATTTAGAGAGCTTTAAAGCAGGATAGAAAGAAAACCGGGAATTGACCAAACATAGGGGCATCAGAGCGAGAGAAAAAATCGGAACCCATTGTACTACGGAGTAATGGCCTTCAGGCCAAAACCGAAAAAAAAAAAAATAAAAAAGATTTATCGGAATCCTCCACTCCCTCTCGCCTTCCCCAATCAGGGGATTCTTGGAGAACTTCTGGAACGAATTGCGCGGGCATTATTGGCTACTCAGGGATACTATTTGGCCAGTATCTACTCCGCCTACAGATCCAGTGGACCCGCTGCCGTGTCAAACCCGATGGATTCAACGGGAAACGCTGAAACGAATGAGCTGATCGCCTCGCTATTTCGGGCTGCCAAGCTTTGCCTGGAGTCCCAACGGATTTTGGCGTCTCCTTTTCCTGGGGACTTCCTTACGGAGTAGAGGCCAGAGGGTCGTGGACAGAGTGCTCTCTCTAAGAACAGTAGGACTAAAGGGTCGATCCCTGATAGCTCCGTGATCAACCACTGCACGGAGTTTACAGGAAATATTCAATAAAATGATCCCTGAAACCGAAAATAGGACGTGATCCAGGGAAAGGAGAGAGAGACAGGGGTAACCTTCCCTGGGTGCATCGGAAACTGTTAACCTAATGCAATGCACGGCTGGTCTGTCACATTTTCCCGAAACTCAGGCAGATTTTTTCTTTCCTTTCCTTTTTGCCTCTCTCCTACACTACAGAGACTACAGTACGGTGTACCTCCTGAACACCAAGACTAAGACTAACTCAAAATTAACTCTCAACAAATTCGTTAGTTCGCCCGCCAATGCAACGAGTAACGTCCCGTAGTCCCTGGCTCTAATCCCCTTGCGGCTTTAGCTCTGGGGGCCGATTCGTATCGCGATCCACTCTCGCCTCGCCGCCCATGGTTTTTTTTTTCACTTTTGGCCATTTTGGACCCTCGCAAAAGTTCACGGACCGGCGTGATTTTTTCTTGTCCGATTTTCACGCCCCAGGAGCCTCTAACTAGTGGGAAGGCGTACTGAGTGCTGAGAACGTTTTCACGGGGTCTGTGATTTGTTGGCGATATCGGTCGGGGGTTTGGGTTGGATTGTGGCTGTGTGATACTGAGTCTGAGTCTGGGACTGAAATTGAGAAACTGGATAGATGTATTCGGCCCTATTCCGGTCGTAGCACTCCAGAAAAAACGAGGATTGAAGCATGTGAAAAATTATCTAGCAACCACAGTAGTGGAGTCAAGTATATTGTCTTATCATAGGATGAACATGGAATTCCCTCGTTCTCGGCGTGCATACGGTGTAGTAAATAGCATGTGAATATGGACTCTTCAATTTTCGCCCTCAGACTTACCTGCCCCATTCCTTCCATTGACAGCCTGGATGTGGCTGGTAATCTCCACTTCCTTCTCTCCCAGTGTCTGCACTGTCGGGGCGAATAATCTCGCGATACTTCACGACTCCGTCCGAGGTCGAATGCGAAAATTTATTGAAGAGTCGGGTATCTGGCCTCATTGTTGTAGACTGCATGGTACGTCGATGCTGATAAACGGATTTAGATTTCCGATTCGAAGAGTGGACATGGAGGCCTCTGCGTGAGATTCGTATTGGTTAAAATATATGTCCGTGATGATGATGGTGATGATGAGTGCATTATACTCGAATATCAGCTTCCCAACGGGGCTCTTCCCTCGTCGCCAACGGCCATAAAGCCGCGACAGGACCAATGAAGCAGTAAATACATACACCGTTCCTGACACCAAACCGCTATGTAAAATCCCACGAACGTTCAAAGAGCCCACACACGTCAAATCCCATCCCGTCAGTCCTCCAACTGCTTCATACCGTCCCGGCGCTGCACCTAACGGCTGACACTGACATTATCATCTTTGAGTCTTGACACGCGGACCCGGGATGCAAACTCATCAATCGACCCCTAGGTATACACGCCTTCGCTGCTCCGGGGTAGACCCGCTTCGAAGCCCTGAGTGCGAGGCGTCTAGGCGTTAAAATATATGTATCAGATACGTGTCTACAGTATCCAATGAAGAGGCAAGATGGCCGAGCGGTCTAAGGCGCTCGACTCAAGAATCTTGAGGATTTAATGAAAAGATATCTTTCATGAAATCTTGGTTCTTTCCTGAAAAAGGTGTTTTCGAGTCTCGTTTAGAGGCGTGGGTCCGAATCCCACTCTTGTCAGAAGTTTTTGCCCGCCTGGGCAATGGGCAAGAAGAGCCTACTTTGGGATGTAGTAGAGCTCTCTATCTATATATAGGTAATAGGAACAAAAATGGAGGATCCGGGCCTGTAACCAAATTAATTAATCAATCAGAATTCTTTCTATCTATACAGAGATAGATATATAGGTAGGGATTTCTGCCACTGAAAAAGTCCCGTGTACGTACGTATTGGAATTATGGAGTTTGGGGAAGCCTTGATTGATGCCAGCCAGCCAGCCAGCCAGGCTTCTCTTCTCCTCTCGCTTGCGAAGAGCGGCTCCACCAGGTTAAAAGAATAAAGTCAATTAAGTCAATTCCAAGCAAGATCTATGATGATAATGAGAATCAATCATAGCCAAATATGACAGCAGCGTGAGTCGAGACAAGAAATCCCCTAGGGGGGACGGCGAAATAAAGATGCTGTTGTTGTTGTTGTTGTGTTTGTTTGTTATATATATACTATTTATTTATTGGAAGGTACTTTTTTACTTTTATCACTATATGATATGATCCAATAGGAGACTTTTTGTCGGACAAGGTTTGACCCCTAAACTTAGTATGGACAAGGCCACAAGAATCTATCTTTAATGTGGTTAAGAGATACAATAAGATCGAATAAGTTCAAATACTACTTACTTACTATATTGATTGTATAAATGTTTTGTGTCTGTTCCAGTCTCGTTGAGTTGGTCGTACAATCTCGAGGCGCTTAAATAATATACTTATCCTGATCGGTGGCGAGTTCCGGAAGACGTAGTAGGATGAGAACGAACAAGGACAGGATTTGTTTTTTGAGTATTAGAACTACTATGTTAAATAATATGTGCGCGTTGGAAGTTTTATAATAATTAGTAAAAGTAGGTCCAATATGTTTGTTTTCATCTAGATGATTCCCGAGAGAAGATCCTAGACTCTGCCTCTAGATATCGCTATCCTCCATGGCATATAACATTATATTATACACCTACTTACGGAACGCACAATATAAGTCAGACTTGAACCCTGAGCCCTGAGGAGAGCTGGAAATAACCCTCTGTTGGCCGTCCGGGTCAGGGCTTCGAAGACCTGTGATCATGATGGTGAGGTGTGCATAGAGTCACCATGACATCGACCAACCCCTCTTAAAACAAGACTCAAACATCACTTCATTCTTCTCATAAACAAACCCCCAGCTCAACCACTCCACAATGCTCATAGAAAACAACCCCATCACCTATCCACGCTCTTTCGGTTTCAAATCCCCGTGCCCTATCTGCGCCAACGGTTTCAGGCCACAATGGGAATTCGACCGTCAATTCGCGCTGGATAAAACTGGGATGAGGAGTCCCATTTTGGTATTTATAAGGCAGCTAATATGGAAAACTTAACCTTCTGGCGGCGATGAGCATGGTGGACTCTTTACCGGATGAGTAAGTCTCGCGTTTCCTGGGTTCCTGATTTTCCTGACGCTATATATACACTATCTATGATCCCGCTACCGGAAAGTGGGATCTCACTGGGATCGCAAAGGTTCCGCCACAACCGGACGCAAACATACGTGTTGCAGTCCCCAAGGACCCTGCACTGGGCGTGATTGGACGTCCTGGCTATGGGGTTAACGATTCACGTCTTCTCTACCCGCTACTAACGAACCCGCTACTAATGAACCCACATCGGTATGGCTATGATGCACAGGGAGTCAGAGGGTCGTTGGCTGGGTATGCTGTAAATCCGCTATGTTGGAATATGGTGTCGAGCCTTTTCAGAGAAGACGGTATACAGAACCTGTCTTTGCTGTCTGGCATCCTTATGGATAGATATAACTATGTTGCGGGGCATGGGGCTCCGACTCGAAGTTTAATGAGGCAGCCCTGTGAGAAGTGGACAGCGCCTTGTCTCTAATGAATCGTGCTGACGTTTGGTACTTGTTTCCAGATAATCCCATCGAGATGGCCAGGGTCCAGTTCTATATCAAATCGGCCAGGAAATATCGCGAAGCAGCAGCGCAGACTCGCTTCGCTCTGAAGAGTATTCATGCTCAGGAACATTTCCGATTGTCAACTCTGCCGCAGGAGCTTCGAGTGCATACTATGGAATACCTACGGTTTGAGGATGTGTTTGCGTTGAAGAAGGCAGTTGGTTGGACTGCACCCTCGATATACTGGAAGGAGCGCGTAGACACCATGATGTTCTTTGAGGTGAAGAGCGTGCTGGGTCATGAGGATATTGATTGGCATTTACTTGTCTGGAGGCTGTAAAGATCCAAGGCCAAGATTGCTCGAGAGCATTTGTTGGAGCATCTGGGGAATATTAAGACCGAGCTTGATCGCTGCATGTTGATGATAAGGAAAGCTGCTGTCGTTCCTGATTCTTCTTATTCTTGGTCTTCTAATCCCCTCTTCTAGCTACCTCTCTCTTCTCTGTGCAGTTCTCTATACGTAATTTTCCACTATTTTTCTTTCCTTATTGTGTTTATCTATGACAGCAATTATGCTAGATCATTAATAATTTATTGACGTCCAGATGACATGAATACAATCATATCTAATCCATCTTCCTAAAAGTCCGACCATGACCCACAGGCCGACCTATTGGTAAATATGCCAACAGAGTGCGAAGGTACTTGGACAGCGTCAAGCCTCCAATAGAGACAGGAGATGTCCAATTAATCACGAATCCGTTTCATAAACGCTCAACCAAGATTCACTTCCAGAATATCAGCCATAGACGAGAGCGTCTCCCCTATAACCCGAACAATGTCGAAGACATGGACCCCTCGAAAGGTCTCAGCCCATAATCTGACAACCGTCGCACCCATACGGCGGACACAGTATCCGTCCGTGCCGTTGCTGTCCAGAGTACCTGCCCAATTCGTCTCCCTAATCAAGCTAGCAATCATACCGAGCAGTCGTCTCTCATCTGTTCGGATGGATTCTATCCCCGTAGCCTGTACAGCCTGGGATATGATCCCCAGCCATCTGTTCAGGAGAATTGCGCATTCCAGTGCGCAGAGCGGATTTTGGATCCCCTCATTCACAGACTGCGTATATGCCACGAACGGAATCCCAGCTCGAACGGGGATGCTGAGAGCGTGAATACACTGTAGGATAGCGCGGTCTACATGAACCGAGCGCGTAAATAACGGCGGGATGTCGCTGCTCAGAGAGCGTGCGATGGACTTCGCGTCTTGTGATAGGAGATTGCGACAGGGTCCGATGTTTGCATTAAGGCGCAGATATGCGAGTCGTAACAAGGCAGCTGAGTTGAACCCCAGAGGTCCACTTGGAGAGGAAGGATCGAGCGAGGTTTCCTCTGTGGCTTCCCACGATCTCTGCCAGACCTGGAGTGCGCTTTCGAAGGCTTTCAATCTGTCCAGACATAGAGTGTGCGTGAGAGTAACCTGACGTTCGAAGTAGATGTTTTGGAGCAACGCGTTGATCAAGACGTAGTTTCCTAGAGCGGAAAGAGGCTCTTCGTCGTGCACAGTTCTTCCAGATATCATGTTCTGAAGCGTGGATTGGAATTGACGCTCAGTGTGTCCACATGTGTCTCTTGTATGCTGCCACTCGACGGCCGTTGCCTTGACCCATTCCGTGTTGCAATGGGGCAGCGAGAGTTGGATTTCGTTGTTCACGAGTAAAGGAGGGACGTCGTACGTGATGGACGTCAGGTTCAAGAGAATGAAGGACACAAAAAGGGTCCGTCGACGCTCTTCGCGACGAAGCCAATCCATCCAAGAGCATGGACCGAAGATTTGGTCGGGCTGAGAGAGTCCAATTTCTCGCGTGAGCATCGCAAGCTGACTACCCATCGTCAAAGCATCGCGTACGGCTGGAGCGTCTGCCCAGGTTACCATCGCCACTAGAATGTTGAGTGTTTGTAGCATCTGGAGTCGGTGCGAGGAAAGATCGGGGCGGGCAGAGGAATCCCCATTCTCTGCTCCGCTATCAATGTCGCGCGCATGCAGTGCACCGGTATTTAGGTTGATATCGAATGAGTCGCTTGCAAGACCCGCGATGGATAGTTGGGTGCGCTCTGCTAGGTAATGCATGACGAGGGCCTTGGTGGCCAGGTAGAACTCATATCCCTTGCGCTTCTCCATCCGTAAAAATGCACCCATCGCGATCATGGCCAGGAGAAGTTCGGGTCTCACGTTATCCAGTTTAATTGTTGAAGGGTGCAGGAATGGGAAATGCTCGTGGAAGCTGCGAAAATATCCCTGAATGTACCGAGACATTGTGTGTCTGGATGGGGTCAGAAATCTAGAAGGTAATACTTTCTCATGAGACGAGAGAGTCGCTGTTATACGCTCATACATCGACACAGTAATGTTCCATGGAGAGCCAGTACTAGAATCAGTAGAAGGATCAGGATCTGTGACGTTTATCTCGTTATGGGGAAGTCTCTCTGTTCGCGACGATAAAGAATCCGGCTCTATGGGTGGTAGTCGAGAGGATAGTGTAGCAAAGGGAGTTTCTTGGACGTTTCTAGGAATCGAGCCATTATCATAATTAGTTGGATGCGGTGATATTGAGCCGTTGGCACCGTAAAAATCTGTCTGCCAGATGTCAGACAGCGAATAATCTGTGTTAAAGAAAGACGTCGGCAGGAAGTCCGCCAAGTCGCTGCCACTATTCCACAGCAGTTCAAACTCGTACGTGGAGTCGACATACAACCCCGTGGAAACATCATGTTGAGAGAGCTCCAGATCTAGAGGAGAACGTAAAGTATGATTAGACGTAAGGGCGCTAGACATGGTTGAATGATGCTCTACAGGCGTTGAAGTCGCCACAGGCAAAGGCGAATGCGGCGTATCCTCAGCACGTGGTTCTGACGGCCTGTCGGTCGCTATGGTCAGATTTCACGTCTACGAGTAGTTCAAAAGTATCACTCGCCTTTCTTCGCTCATCGGAGTATCAAATTCGCTGGTACTCCTTGTGGCTGTCTCTGGTAGGCCCGGATGGCTGAGCCTGCGGTGACGCATGAGAAGATCCCTGAGCGACGCTGTGAGATAGAGAACATCAAGATCGAAGGACAAGCGATGCAATTACCTTCTCGAAAAGCTTTGCCCACAGTCGCAGGGGAACGGTCTTTCTTGAGTGTCTGCTGCATGTAAGAATGAAGCCAACGACAGTCAACCCACCGAATAGCATTTACGGATGCCATTTCAGGGTGAGGTTGATCTGATCTGACTCACGGATGCGTTCATGACGTTTAAGATGCTCCTGCCTTTGAAACTTCATGTCACAGAAGCGACATGGAGGCACGGGAATCTTAGGTCGTCCTCGAGCCATCGTTAGCCAAGATTCAACCGTGATAAATTGCCCGGTAAGAATCTTCACTCGCGCCGAGTGAGAATCATAGACGCAACAAATTCCCAGTTGTCAATCGCGGATTTTATTATTCTCTGTGTAAATCGTGTTTTAAACCGGTTTGAAGGGTGAAGCCTCTTGTGGTAGCCCGACTGTTCGAGCATGGCTGACTGAATATGACATGTGGACTTTTTTGGGGGAAATTTTCAATTTTGCCACTATTGATACGCACTTAATTCATTCTATGGACACGGCCGCTTTTTATTCCACCTATTCCACCTCCCTATCTTGTCCTTATTTGTATTCTCGAATTTTCTGATGTATAGAAACCAGTGTTCACTTTTACAACAGCTGTCAGATATAATAGTTACTGTCTCCAGACAATATTCACTTTGAACCTGTCGACCTCGGACAAGGCCAGGACAGGTGCACTAAAATATGAATCCCCTGAATACAAAACAAAATAAACCTTCTACATACACTCCTGGACTCCCCCTTTATCAGCAGAAGCAAACACCGCATCGATATAATGGTGGCGGCGAACAGCATCCTCAAAAGTAGGAACAGGAATTCCCTCAGCAAAGTTCTGATAAAGCCTTCCGATGTTCTGAGCGACCAAAGGAAGATCCAGAGCTTTGTGAAGCTCTGCAACTTCAATCCGACCTGACTTATAGTCCTTCACTCTAATCTTATAGTCAGGGGCACCAATATTCAACATGATAGAGCTTCCAGTGACTCGAATTTGGCCCTTGTCGCCGATAATATCCCACACCAGGCCTTCGCCGTCATCGAAGGCATCTCCGCCACGGATAGCGTATGTATACTTAACGCCTGACGAGAGCGTCCCTTGCAGGGAAGCATAATCGTCTGCCGTTCTCTTGATGTCACTTTTGACGAGTTTGTTCTCGTCGGAGAACAGATCGACGAGAGGCCATGTTGTCTTCAGATGGGCAGACACGGTAGTAGGTTGACCCAGGAGGTGAGCGAGAGGCTCGAATGTCTGCCCGATGTAGATGTTGAGCATGACTTGGCCTGGAAAGCCTTCGATATCGCGATCGTTGAAGTACTGATAGCGCTTGGAACCCCGTGTCCCTGTTTCTCCTGTGCATGCGCTGCCCGATATGTGAGTGACCAGTGGAGTCCCGATTCGGCCGCTCTTGATGATGTCGTCTAGGGTGGATTGGACGTGTGAAACGCATCCTTGAAGACCGATAATGGTGCGAATGCCCTTTCTTTTGGCGAGCTGCTGCATCTCCTCTGCTTGACTCGTTGTAGCACAGAGAGGCCACTCGACGTAGACATCCTTGCCGGCCTCGAGGGCTGGTTTTATAAGCTGGTAGTGCGAGAAGACGGCAACAGCACAAACAACCAGGTCCACCTGTGAGGTGCACATGCTTGCGACGTCACTATATGGTTGTGCTGATTCGAGACCGTAGATTTCGATGGCCTTTTGGCTGGTCTCAATGGTTGAGTTGCAAACGGCAACGATGGTGTAGTTGTCAGATTGCTGAAGATAAGGCAGATGGGCCATCGCAGCCCAACCACCCCCGGCCGACAATCCGATGATGCCAATGTTAATAGTCATTTCCGTGCGTTTTGGTGGTTGAAAGGATTAATAATGGGTCTAGTGAACATACGTGCTGAGGGGATTTCGGTGATTTATAAGTTTCCTCTGGTGGGGAGTGTCCAATTGACATCATTAACAATGTAGGTATTTTTACTCCAAAGCTCGGAATCAGTAAGGTCTTGGGATGCATTACCCATGACGTTAGAAGGGAGAGCAGTGGCATTAGTTGGTGGATATAGCGGTTGGGGTGGAAATTCGGAGGCGTAATTCGGAGGCGTAATTCGGAGTAGAAAGACCTTTGAGAACAAATGCAGATATAAAGAGCCATGAATGATACGCATATTTCGACGTGTCCTTTACCAATAAATCATTATTACTTTTGGCTGAGGACATTCCACCTCCCGGTCAGTCACATACTACCTGGCTTGAAAATTTCACTCGCTATTCCACCCGAAAATCGCATCACGACGATCCTTCCCGATCAATACCAGACCCCTTTCCAAATCTCCAAGTTCCAAGATGCCCAACTCTAAGCCAGTGCCCACTCAAGACTATACGGATGCTGCTGCAGCGGTTGAGAAATATGTCACTGGAGTTCAAACCGGCAAGTGGGAACTTATCGAAGAGGCATTCCACAAAGACGCCACGATGCACGGCTATTACGGAAACGACTTGAACGGCGGATCTTTCCAGGCGCTCAAGGCTTTTATCGATGAGCACGGGGCCTCTCCAAATATGACAACCCGAATCGACATTCTTTCAATCACGCCAACCACTGCCGTTGCCAGGGTGGATATGGAGGGCGCCGGTACGGGATTGGATTACACGGACTTTCATTCTCTGATGAAGATTGATGGGCGGTGGAGGATCTTCGCTAAGACCTTTCACTTCTATGGCTAGAAGTCCTTTGTTATTTGTTATATATGTATCCCACTGGTGCTTGCTTGCTAGTAGCAGAGTATGAACAACGGGAGAACAGGTGACCTTAGTATGGCTCGAGCAACACTGGTGTGCGACACATATCATTCAAATTATCGAGTAGCTTGTTTACACCAATTGAGTCATTCCACTAAATAAGAATTACTTCTGTTGTCCACTCAATGTGTGGGGGGGCCGAAAATAAGCTTCTGTTGGTCATCCGGGTTAGGGCTTCGCAGCCTGGTGATCATGGTGGTGTGTGTATAGTATCACCATGACATCGACCAACCCCTTTTAAGACAGCACACCTCGCTTCATTCTCCTCTTAAACAAATACCCAGCTCAACGACTTCACAATGGCCAAAGCAAAGAAGCAGCCAGACCCGAACCCTGTGATTAATCCAGGCTATATTGAAAGGTTGCCATGCTGCCCTATCTGCGACAATTATTTCGAGCCTAAACGGGAATTCGACCGTCAATTTGCGACCAGATGCAACTGGGGGGCCTCCCATTTCGAGGTTCGCGCGGCAGAAGATCTGGAGAATATGATCTTCTGGCGGCGAAAAGCATGGTGGACTCTTTACCGGACGAGTAAGTTATGCGGTTTTTTTTTCTTGGCTCTTATGGAGTTCTAAGGTCATGCTATTAACGGGACGATATGCCCAACTACCTAGTTATCTACGACCCCGCAACAAAGAAATACCAGCTCTCTGGAATCGCAAAGGTGCCGCCCATGCCGGACGAAAACGGGCGATATACAATGCCCAAGGATCCCAACCTAGGAGTGATTGGACGTCCTGCCGACAGAGTGAACGATCCGCGCCTTTTGCAGTCACTCATGGTTCATACTGCCTATAAATTGCGTAACGAAGAAGTGCTGGCAGGGTATCCTGTGCATCCGCTATGTTGGAACATGATGTCAGGATTTTTGGAGAAGATGGGATAAAGAACCTGTCTACATTAGCTGAAGTCTTCTGGAAGAGACGTTTTGAGGAGGACAGACTTATTCACGAGGAGGGAATATGGACTGGTAATCCTATAAACTATGACATGAGGCCGCTTTGTAGAGACACAGAAAGCCCCTTTCCTCGATTGATTGGTGACTAACGTTTGCGAATTGTTTCCAGATAATACTCTCTACACGAGTCAGGTCCAGTCCTATATCAAATTGGCTAAAAAGCTCCCCGAGGCAGGAACTCGTTTCTCTCTGCGAATAATTAAAACCCCTGAAACTTATGGACAGTCTCGATTGTTAATATTGCCGCAGGAGCTTGAAATGCTTATTATGGACCATCTGGAGTCCCTCGAGGATATATTAGCGCCGCAGAAGGCAGTTGATTGGACAATTCCTGCGATGGTCTGGAAGTCGCAAATATACACTGCAATCTTCTGAGGTGAAAAGCGTGCTGAACGATAAAGATATCGATTGGCGTTTTATTTGTTGTAAGCTGGAAGAAAGAACACAGGGCAGGATTGTTCGCGAGAGAATGGTGGGCTATTTTTCGGAGATCAAGGAGTATGATGACTTGATCTTGGAGAAGGCCCGGTTGGGGGACTGGTTTCGTTCCTTATTCTCGTTCTATAGATTCTTCTTGCCACTTATGTCTCTTTTCTCTGTGCAGTTCTCTGCGCATCATGTTCCTTTCTTTTGCTTTTCTTAGCGTGTCTTCCTGTCTATGACAGAGATGCTACTTGCTTGCTCAAAAATAAATCGACTCTCATTTGCTTTCACTAGAGAGGATCCTATTGCTTGCCCATATTCGACCCTCAAAAGGGATTATAATCCCACCTAATCCATCTTTCTCCCAACCTTTCCAATCCTCCCCAATCCCCAAATACTAACCCCCAGGCTCGCCACCGTCAACGCAAACTCGAACCAAAACGCCGCGCGATATCCCTCCAATAGCGCCCCCGTCTCATCCGCACCCCCCTTCCCCGACTTCTGCGTCACCCCGTTCGCCACCAACGCCGTCAACGCGATCCCGACACTCTTTCCCGTCTGCGACACCGTATTAAACACGCCCCCAGCAACACCCTGCGTCTTTGGCGGAAACATCGACGTGATCAACAAATTCGAGACAGTAAAGATGCCGTCCGCACCGATCGGATTCAAGAAATTAGCAATAAACGCGCACGACCAGTATGGCCATTTCGGGCTCGCGAGCGCCATGAGCAAAGGAGCGATAGCGGATGGAATGAGCGTTATGATCACGATCCAGTCGGCGCGAACGCGGTGCACGATCAGCCCGACGAGGATGTTCGCGAGGGCCCCGGCGACGGGCATAGGGAGGAAGCGCAGCGCGGAGTCGAAGGGCGAGATGTGTTGAATTTCCTGGAAGAAGAAGTTCTGGAATTGTTCGAAGGCGTTGAAGGCGGCCCAGACGCAGAAGACGTTGATGCAGATGCAGGAGAAGACTTTGTGGCGCCAGAGCGAGTTGGGGATTAGGGCGGGTCGGTTGAGACGCTCTTGTCGACCGACCCAGAGGACAAAGATGGCGAGGACGATGAATGATAGGATGAGTAGGGAGATGTTAGTCGGAGAGCGGATGGCTGTGGGACTTCCTGCGATGGCTCTGTTGTGGTCTGTTAGTGGATGTTGGTTGAGGAAAGGCCATGGGATGCGTACGCAATAACGTAGGATAGTATGGCGAGCGATGTACTGGCAATGATAACGCCCACCCAGTCTATGTCGTTCAAGAGACGCTGACCGATCACGCGCGCCGAAGGGTATTCGTTTCGTGGTAACTGCCATGCGGCCAGGAAGAGCATAACGAAGTTAATAATTGCTGCGGCGTGAAACCCCCATTGCCAGCCGATTTTAGCCGCAATGATGCCTCCCAGAGTCAAACCGAGTCCGAATCCCACCGGCTGCGCTCCTCCCATGGCCGCAAAGCTAATGTTGCGCGATCGGCCAGTCGGGAATACCTCGTTGATCAGGCTGACTGCCGACGGGAGACAGAACGAAGCTGCCACGCCGGAGAATCCACGAAACACAATCAATTGCGCGCCGGTGGTAGATAGTCCGCATCCAAGCGTGAAGGCGGTTTGCAGCAGACAGCCGAGTAGATAGGTCTGGCGATTCCCGACAACATCTGAGATTGAACCACAGGCTAGAAGTGTGCATCCACACGTTAACGAGTAGATGGTAACCGGCCTGGAAAGTCATGTAGTCAGCTCATTCATGAACGCTAGGATAATAGCCCGCAGAAATCTATACCATAGAACCAAATTATCAGGCAAGCTTAGATCTACAGCCACTGTCGGAATGGTGATGGTCACCAAGCCAGCCAGGAAGCTTTGAATCCCCGTACTGAAGGTAACGCAAGTAATCACAATGGCCGTGATCTGCGTCGACACCGCCCGTCTTTCTTCTTCAACTTCGCGCAAAGCCTCGTCGGACTTGGGCGCCGTAAGAGTGATCTTAGAAGCATCAGCAGAAATGGCACCGGCCGGCATAGGAGCCAGCTCAATTGAGGTCGCTGACCCCTCGTTGGGGACGGTAACAGCCATTGTGCAAAAAGTGGTTGGACGGGAGGAAACAAAGAGAAGGGATGGGATTAGGGAGTCAGAAGTGATAGATCCGATCCGTTAACTAACTAGTTAACGTATTTCCCCACCGAGTCGGCCACACCACCGAGTCGGCCACCTCATTAAAAATCTACGCGTTTTATCGC